CATACGCGCACTCCTGCTCCCCCGGCCGCTGTGGCACTCTTGCCTTTGATGTGCGTCAGAACTACCCATCGTAGGACCGTACCTCTAGCCGTGGAGGGTGGTTGAAGCGGCATCTAGATCCATACGCGCACTCCTGCTCCCCCGGCCGCTGTGGCACTCTTGCCTTTGATGTGCGTCAGAACTACCCATCGTAGGACCGTACCTCTAGCCGTGGAGGGTGGTTGAAGCGGCATCTAGATCCATACGCGCACTCCTGCTCCCCCGGCCGCTGTGGCACTCTTGCCTTTGATGTGCGTCAGAACTACCCATCGTAGGACCGTACCTCTAGCCGTGGAGGGTGGTTGAAGCGGCATCTAGATCCATACGCGCACTCCTGCTCCCCCGGCCGCTGTGGCACTCTTGCCTTTGATGTGCGTCAGAACTACCCATCGTAGGACCGTACCTCTAGCCGTGGAGGGTGGTTGAAGCGGCATCTAGATCCATACGCGCACTCCTGCTCCCCCGGCCGCTGTGGCACTCTTGCCTTTGATGTGCGTCAGAACTACCCATCGTAGGACCGTACCTCTAGCCGTGGAGGGTGGTTGAAGCGGCATCTCGAGCCATACGCGCACTCCTGCTCCCCCGGCCGCTGCGGGTACACTTGCCTTTGAGCCGACTCAATACATTCTCACCTCTAATCTGGGAGGGTGGTTGAAGCGGCATCTCGAGCCATACGCGCAGCTGCCCTTCCGCATGTAATACGCGCACTCCTGCTCCCCCGGCCGCTGCGGGTACACTGGCGGAAGCTTCCCTGAAGCATCCCAATCTTGTCTCATTCTTACACTCCCACCACCACCACTACCACCAGCACCAGCAGCAGCAGCAGCACCACCACCACCTCCCCCTCCTCCTCCTCCGCCTTCCATCTCAAACCCTCTCCTCTCATTGAAACTCCTGCTACTCCGCAGCTCTTCTCCTCCTCCCCCTCCCCCTCCTTTCCCCCCTCCTCCTCCCCCTCCTCTTCCCCCCCACGCTCTTCCTTCCGCGCCTCCCTCCCCTCCTCCCCTACTGTAGCTGCTCCCAATGCTCCCTGTACTGCTGCTGTGGCTGAGGTTTCCCGGATATACAAGAGACCTTCCCCCCGTGCTGCTGCTGTGGCTGAGGTTTCCCGGATATACCAGAGACCTACCCGTGCTGCTGCTTTGGCTGAGATTGCCTGGATACACCATAGAAGGAGGGAAGCCTGGGGTAAAGTAAGGAGAAGGAATGATGCCTGACGGAGAGAGAGAGGGGATGAGGGAGGGGAGAGTCCCGTAGGAGGAAGCGGGGGAATAAGCGTAGATCTGAAGGGGCGGAGGTCCCAAGCTTCCTGCTCCTGCTGCTGCTGCTGCTGCTGCAGCCGCTCCTGCTGCTGCTCCTGTGCCTGCTCCAGCTGCTGCTGCTGCTGCTGCTGCTTCCCGGCGCTCCTGCTGCTATTCCTGCTGCTCCTGCTGCGCCGGCTGCTGCTGCTCCTGGTGGCTGCAACAGTGTTTGCAGCAGCGGTACTGCTGGTGGCAGCACTGCTGGCATTACTGCTCCTCCTGCTGGCATAACTGCTCCTCCTGGTGTTTCTCCTGCTGTTTCTCCTGGTGCTTCTGGTCGGTGCTCCTGGTGCTGCCAAAACATGGCTGGGTAGGCCATTCTAGAGTCTGGAGGGATGGAAGTAAGGAAAGGATAAGGAGAAGGAGAAGGAGAAGGAGAAGGATAAGAAGAAGAAGGAAAAGGATACGGAAAGAGCAAGGTGCGTTAATACACCAAATAGGACCAGCAGAGCACGAGCGGCATTAACCTAATGACAAAATGCTGAAATGAGGCATTCATGCAAGTTTCAAACACTGGATCAGTCGGATGACCTTTGAGTCGACTCAAAAGTGACATTAACCCACTGACAAAATGCCGAAATGAGGCATTCATGCAGATTGAGCCTCAACCTGAGGTGACTTTTGAGTCGACTCAAAAGTCACCTCGATATTGATTCGACTCAAAAGTCACCTCGCTTTTGATTCGACTCAAAAGTCACCTGATGACAAAATGCCACAATCATGAGGCGTTCATGCAGGTTGAGCCTCAACCTGAGGTGAAGGATCAGGGTTAAGGATCACACTTCACCCACCTGACGAACCACCTGAAGAACCACCTGAAGGAGCACCTGAAAGGAGCGCCTGAAGGAGCACCTGAAGAATCACCTGAAGGGCCACCTGAGGGGGCACTTGAAGGGCCGTTTGTGCTTGAATGATCTCTTTTAATGCGCAAGATCTGATGGGGTCTCCTGAAGGATCACCTGAATGCATGGGTTTCAAACGCCAAAAAACCCACCTAAATTTGTCTGATTTTCTTCCGCTCCTGCTCCATCCAATGCACCTCCTGTTACAGTCACTCCAGCTCCTTCGGATGCACCCTCTTCAGCCGTTACGATCACACCACTTCCGCCGCTCTGCCTGTCCACTGCGGAATCTCCCCCTTCCGGGGGAGGCTGCATTGGTGCAAGATTCCGGGCTCCTGCCTATCACGGCGGCTTAGTATGGCTCCCTGGGCGTAGGATAAAGTGGGGACGGTAGAATGTGGAGATCCCGAGAACGAATGAAAATTTCCGGCATCTGAGCCGAACTGCTTGCGGGTCACAGCCACAGCTGCCGAGCAGTACACTGTTCTGATACCATGACGGCAGATCACATTAATTCCAGATCATATTTGCCGCCAAAAATCACATCTGCTTCGCTCCCAGATAGCATTTGAATCTGCTCCTGGATCACATTCTCTTCCAAATCACTTATAGAAGCCTACAGAGTTCTGTTAAGATATCTGAGAAAATGTAAAGCAATAGCTGCTGCTCCCCTCCAAATCCCAGCTTTCAGTGAGCGTATTATACTTCTTGAGGGGCCTGTGAATAATCTCGAGAGATTTTTTAAAGGATTCTAGCGCTAGAATTTTATTGCGCAATAAACGCATGTGGTTGGATTTTACTACTATCAGACCACTTCGGGGTGCTCTAAACCACCTGAGATTCCTAGAAATTCCTAGAATTCTAGCATTAAACACATCTTCTGCTAGCGCAACTGGTTAGGTTCTCCTATCAGGCCATTTCGGTTTTCTATACTACCTGGGTGCTGGGCTGACTCCAAACAGGTGCTGTGGGTGCTGGGTGCTTGTAACACTAATTTTCAGTGGCGTGCTGCTGAGAACGTCGCCGGCAAATGAAGTTAACTTCAGGTCGCGCGAATTCGCGCGATCTCAGACTCGTGACAGGTGACAACAGGTCGAATGATACGTCCAGTGATCTTCACCACTTCGGAATTAATATCTCTGTTCGCTGACGTCGCTATCATGTAACAGTGCTTTGTAGCAGAACAAAATATGTACAGAACATCACGACTTACTGGCAGAATTTTTTCAGAGACAGTCCAAGCAGCAACTGAAGTTTTCCTCCTGTGGTTGAAGAGTCTACTATAAGTGCGCTAGTTTTCCAAAAAGGTCACAGCATTTGTATGTCCTAGCGTGGATGCACGACATATCCCTTCTAGATCGCACCCTCACAAATAAAAGAAAATCTAGCGCAATATGGTCAGCATAAGCTATCCCTTTCAACCATGGCTTTGGTTCGGCGATTGTCCCCCATTTGTTCATCGGGAATGCACACTAATCACTGTACACTCGAGCACCTAGTAGAATTGAATTCTCGCTCTCCTCGCGTCCTAAAAACTTTCTCAAGGTGATGTCTCGTCCTTTCCAGGCGGAGGAGCACTGTGAGCGGAATGTATGCCTCTCGGAGCCAAAACTTCTGAAGATTCTTCTGCTCTGAAACTGATTGGTGCTGCCATCCATCCACCACAGCACAAATGAAAAAGTTCCACGCACATTCATGTTTCTCCCCTCGATTCTGTTGCTGACGCCGAGGCTTTTTTTGGCAGATTGCAAATGTGTCAAAGGCGGCGTTTAGTGCCGGGTTCGCACAAATGCCCGAAAATTATGCATTATTACCTTGTACACTCGAGAAAACTTCGATAAGTGAAAATAAAATAATAATGTAGGAAGTTTTCCACCCCATTCCCCATTCAGTAATACAGTGACTACAGTACCAGGGGCATCTTCTCGGAATATTAAAACGTTTATATTTTCGCGATCACCAAAGCTGATCGTTGGGGCAGGTGAGGTGGATGTGGACGAATTTCCGAGCCTGTAGTGCAGTCTGAGCCTCGCCTCGGTACGGTACCCTCGCTTTGAAAACGGTTTTGGGCTTGTGACGAACCAATCGAACGGCTCAGATTACATCGTTGACAGGTTTTGCACAGACCAGCTTCGCCACAGAAGCCAATCAAAATGGAAGGATTCCCAATAAATGGGGCACGGCAACCCGCGCTTTTCAGGGAAGTTTGACACAGCTTCTCTGAGTCGCACGAGTCAGTTGTCAAAGATGCTTGTCGACCGCTGGTTGGAAAGGAATCTTTCATAGCTCCTTTTGCTGCACTGTACTCCCGTCCGCAAGGTGGCATGAATGTGCCTCAGAAACCGCGCTACTTTCTGTGCAGTAAGGAAAACGCGCTTCACACATCAGAACTGGAAGGACAGAAATGGAAACAAACAATGAGGCAGTCACCTGCATTTACTTCTGCCACGTCAGCATTGGCCTGAAAGTTTTCGCATGAAATGAGCAACGGATTGGCCAGAATAGGCAAGTCTCAGCCAATGAGAATCACGCGCTAGACCGACCATCCATTGGTCAGGTAACATTTGGCGCTGGGGGAAATACTCGCTACGGGCATGCCACCATCAAGATTAACCTGAGGAACTTAGTTTTTGCCACGGAGAACGCAACCATATTATTTGTCTCTCAACCGTTTCCTATCAACAATCTTACACATCAGGATGATAGCTAAGTATATCCCTGGATGAGCAGAATACTAGCAAGAGCTATAGTCTTGTGATATCTTTAGCCTCTTCAACTCCCCTCGTCACCAGTGAGCCCTCTTTCCGTCCATACACTCTTAGGACCCACCCCTTGCAAAACGGAAGATCCCATGTTGCTTCCTCTCTTGGAGTTGCCTGAAAGCATCCCACAAATGAACAATAACAAAAGAGAACATTTGAAGCAGCTCAAAAGCGGTGGCAGTAATGCCTGCAGCACGACACAATATTTGTTCCAAAAAGTCAAAATAAGTAAAGGAGTGTGGAGGCAGAACACATTATATGAAAGCCTTATGCAATTGTAGCAGGTGGACTTTTACAAATTACCAACGAAGTTAACCAGTTGCCAAATACACTCACTTTTGCATGAGTTTGGAGCGCTCTTTAAAGGCCGTGGGGATATCCTGCCCCTCATAGGACTGCAGCACCACCCGAATGTCTGCCGGCCGCTGCCGTGCCACACCTGCCATGCAGGAAAGAGGAGGGTCAACCCTGGTCAAGCAGGTCAACTGTCAACAGAGGCCGTGGGGATATCCTGCCCTTCATACGACTGTAAAACCACCCGAATCCTGCCGGCCGCCGCCTCGCCACACCTGGGGATCAAGAAGCAAAAGGGGGTAATGTTGCAGGTCAAGCAAGTCAACAGGGGTCAACACAGTCAACAGGAGTCCTGCCCCTCATACGACTGCAGAACCACCCGAATGTCTGCCGGCCGCTGCCGCGCCACACCTGATAAATGAGGAACCAGGGGGTGGGTCAAGCTTGGTCAAGCAAGTCAATAGCGTCAACAGGAGTCCTGCCCCTCATACGACTGCAGCACCACCCGAACGTCTGCCGGCCGCTGCCGCGCCACACCTGGATAAGATGATGAACAAGGGCGAAGGTCAAGCTTGGTCACGCAGGTCAACAGGGTCACCACATATCCTGCCCTTCATATGACTGCAGCACCAACCTTATGTCTGCTAGCCGCTGCCGCGCCACACCTGCGAATCGAGCAAGGAGGGTCAAGCCTGGTCAAGCAAGTCATCAGGGTCAAGCAGACAGAAAGATGAGATTCTCCTTCCATACCACCACTCACACTCAGGCAAGGAGTCAGGCAAGGAATCACTCACACAAGGGAGCTGCCTTGCAAGCTCTCGCACTCGAGGAAAGGCAGGAGGTCCTGCAGTGACGTGTGTGCTGCTGTATGTCCTGCAGTGACGTGTGTGCTGCTGTAGGTCCTGCAGTGCCGTGTGTGCTGCTGTAGGTCCTGTGTGCTCCCATGTCCTTCCACGCAGGCAGGGGGACGAGATTCTCCATCTGCAGAACTGGCTGCCTGGGATTCCCAAGCACCCACTCGCACTCACACTCACAGCACCAACACTCACATTCTAGGAAGGGAAGCAGGTCTAGGAGGGCTGTGTCTGCTCCCGTGTCCTTCCATGCAGGCAGGGGAACGAGATTCTCCTTCTGAAGCACTGAAGATGACCTTGTTGGGGCATTACTAGCTTTCTAAAGTGAGTTCTTCCCAGGAGCGCTCACATTCTAGGAAGGGAAGCAGGTCCAGGAGAGCAGTATCTGCTCCTGTGTCCTTCCACGCAGGCAGCGGGATGAAATTCTCCTTCTGAAGCACTGACTTGTACGGAAAGACAAGAGGAGCAGATAACTCGCATATCACTCAGCAGAATCACTCACATTCGAGGAAGGGAAGCAGGTCTAGCAGTGCCGTGTCTGCTCCCGTGTCCTTCCACGCAGGCAGGGGGACGAGATTCTCCTTTTGCAGTACTGACTGCGGCAGAGAGCTGATATAGATGACCTTGTTGGGGTCGCGATTGAGCTTTGATAAATCCTGGTAGGAGCAGGGGAGGAAAAGAGGGAAAGGAGAGGGCAGTAGGGCGTGTGAATCACCTTCCATGCTGATAGAAGGACGAGATTCTCCTGCTGCAGCACTGACTGGGGCAGGGAGCTGATGTAGATGACCTTGTTTGGGATCCCGATTCAGCTTTGGTAGGTCCTGGTGGGAGCAGGGGAGGAAAAGAAGGAAAGGGGAGGGCAGTGGGGCTAGTGAACCACCTTCCACGCTGATAGAGGGACGAGATTCTCCTTCTGCAGCACTGACTGGGGCAGGGAGCTGATGCCGATGACCTTGTTGGGGTCACGGTTGAGCTTGGATAGGTCCTGATGTAGGGGGAGAAGAGGGGAAGGAAGAGTTTTACTTTTGAGAATTCTCCTTTTGAGAATTCTCCTTTTGAGAATTCTCCTTTTGAGAATTCTCCTTTTGAGGGGGGGGAAATGAAGAAAGAGAGGAAATGGAGACAAACCGAGGCATGTGAAGAATGCGAATGGCCTTGTGGGGAGATCGCAATTGAGCTTGGAGAGGTTAGAGTATTAAGAAGAACATAATGCCCATAATTTTAGGGGTAGAAACAGTACATACCCACACGTACTTCCCGTCCGTGTAGAGGGTCACATGACTGTAAAGCCGATAGACGAATTTTGAGACATATACGTAGAGGGAGACACACATACTTCTGAGAGTAGAGGGCAACACATACGCCCACAGAAACAGTACATACCCGCACGTAGTTCCCGTCCGTGTAGAGTGTCCCATCCCGGTAGAGCCGATATCGAATGCAGCCCTTCTGATCCAGACGATCCAATATGGGGTCGACAGACTGTGATGGGGAGAGATAAGGGGGGAATAAGGGGAGTTGAGAGGTGAGTGGGAGGTGAGTGGGAGGTAAATGGGAGGCGAGGTCCCTCTTCCAGTCAGAGTGCACGAGAGTACCGTTCGACTCACCACAGTCATTGTAACCTCACCATCTAGTCTTACCAGGTTCAGCTGGTCCGAGAATACCACCACCTCAAAGAACTGCGCCATTCTCTCCAGAAACGCCTCGGCGCCCGGCCGCTTGAACGTGCGCCAGCCACGGTCCCTCTTCCAGTCGGAGTGCACGAGGGTACCTTCTAGGTCCAGTACCAGCGTGTACACGTGCTGTTCTTGGGGTGCCAGGTCGGGGAGTAGGCGATCTGATGCCGGCTGGTTGAACTTCTGCTCGGGGAAGGAGAAGGGAAACAAGGAGATGTGTTCTGAGGACCAACACGAGAGTATAGACATGCGCCTCCTGGGGCGCCGGGGAGTAGGCGATCTGATGCCGGCTGGTTGAACTTCTGCTTGGGGAAGGAGAGGGGAAACAAGGAGACGTGCTTTTGAGGAGCAGCACGAGTGTATAGACGTGCGCCAGCCACGGTCCCTCTTCCGGTCGGAGAAGGGAGAAAGAAAAAAGGATACGGGAGGAGGGAGAAGGGAGGAGGGAGAAGGGAGGAGGGAGAAGGGAGGAGGGAGAAGGGAGGAGGGAGAAGGGAGGAGGGAGAAGGGAGAAGGGAGGAGGGAGGAGGGAGAAGGGAGGAGGGAGAAGGGAGGAGGGAGAAGGGAGGAGGGAGAAGGGAGGAGGGAGAAGGGAGGAGGGAGAAGGGAGGAGGGAGAAGGGAGGAGAGGGAGGAGGGAGAAGGGAGGAGGGAGAAGGGAGGAGGGAGAAGGGAGGAGGGGAGAAGGGAGGAGGGAGAAGGGAGGAGGGAGAAGGAGGAGGGAGAAGGGAGGAGGGAGAAGGGAGGAGGGAGAAGGGAGGACGGAGAAGGGAGGAGGGAGAAGGGAGGAGGGGAGGAGAGGGGGACGGGAGTTGGGAGAATGAAGAAGGGGAACAGTGGGAGAGGGAATGGTAAATGTGGTGGATGTTACAATCCATACGCATGGCATATGCATGGCATACGCATGGCACTTGCACGGCACACACACACGCATGGCATGCGCTCTTCCACGTCTGCCCGCATGTCACGCGCATGGCACACAACCATGCACATGCAAGCAAGCATGCATGGCACACGCACGACAGCGCATGGTAACCACACGGGGCATGCATGTACTCACATGGATGCGCTCTTCCATGTCTGCCTGCGTGTCACACGCATGGCGCACATGCGGAGCGCACATGTGGAGCACACACATGCATGCATACATGCATGAACTCACATGAATGCGCTCTTCCACGTCTGCCCACATACACACAGATGGCACGCACGTATGCCTGGCACATGCACGCACGACACATGCACGACACACAAGAGGCAACCACATGGAGCATGCATGCACTCACATGGATGCGCTCTTCCACGTCTGCCCGCGTGTCGACATACCATTGGGCCACGTCCACGGCAGCTGAGCGGGGGACACAGAAACGGGTGGGAAGGGGCGGAGAGGGGTGGGAAGGGGTGGAAAGGGGTGGGAAAGGGCAAACAGGGGGTGTAAAACCTCCCTGTGTCGACATACCATTGGGCCACGTCCACAGCAGCTGCGCGGGAGGGGTGGAAATCGGTGGAAAGTGGTGGGGAGGGGCACTTCTGAGGAAAAGACATACCATTGGGCCACGTCCACAGCAGTTGCACGGCGCACAGGGAAGGGCACAGGGGGCGGAAGTGGGGGAAAAGGGGTGGAAAGTGATGGACAGAGGTTCAAAGGGGTGGAAGGGGCAAAAAGGGAAGTGTCGACATACCATTGGGCCACGTCCACAGCAGCTGCATGGCGCACAGAAAAGGGCACAGGGGGCGGAAAGGGGGGGAAGGGGGTGGAAAGTGATGGAAAGAGGTTCAAAGGGGTGGAAGGGGCAAAAAGAGAAGTGTCGACATACCATTGGGCCACGTCCACGGCAGCTGACCGGGGTCACATGGGAAGGTGGAACAAGGGGTAGAACGGGGCGGAAAGGGGTGGAAAGGGGGGCAAACGGGAGGTGTAAATTCTCCTGATGTGCACCCTCCCTACATGCGCGCATGCAATTGTCGTTAGCACTTCGTTAGCCCTTCTTAAGACAGTGCTAACGACAATGCTTAAGCCAGTCAACAACAAGGTGGTGAGGAGAGGTAACAGCGGCAATGTAAAGTTGCGCAGCTATGTGAAATTTTGGCTTTTAAGCATTCTCAAAAGAAAATCCCACAGTGCTAACGACAATGCTTAAGCCAGTCAACAATAAGGTGGTGAGGTGAGGTGACAGCGGCTATGTAAAGTTGAGCATCACTCACCCACCCATCCACTGACCCACCCACCAATCCACTGACCCAACTGACCCACCCACGTACACAGCACACCACGCGACAATGCATTAACCATTCGAAGTTACCCCCACCAGTTAACCACTCACCATTTAGCCCCTTGGTCACCAATCCATCCAGTCCCTGTTGGTGCCGCCACATGCACCCTCACACCACACCACATGCACACCCTTCCCACATGCACACCCTTCCCACATGCACCCTCACACCGCATGCACACCCTTCCCACATGCACACCCTTCCCACATGCATCCTCACACCACCCAGCATGCACCCTACGCACTGCACTCACCATTTAGCCCCTTAGTCACCAATCCATCCAGTCCCTGTAGGTGATTACGGAAAAGGAAAAGAAAGACAGAAGGTAAAAACAAGGAAAAAAAGGGGGGAGGAAGGTGGATGGAGAGAGGGAGCGATGAGGGAGAGGAAAGAAGAGGAGGGAGGGAGCAACGATGAGAAAAACTAGCAGCAAAAGGGTGGGATAGACAAGAGGAGAGAGGAGTGCAACAATACGTTCCTGAGATAACGTTTTTGATAAAATGGAAGAGTCTCATTCCTGAGATACATGGCATTCTTTATTTCACTCAATTTACCCTTCCCCCCCCCCTCTCTCCCCCGAGACAGGCTCCTCTCTCTCACCTCTTGGCTTCTCTTGCTAATCTCTTCTCTCTTCTCCTTAGTCCACTGAATCACATCCTTTGTCTCATACGCTGGTGGGGCGACATGAGAGGGAGGGGGGAGGTAGGGGAGCGAGGGGAAACGGAATGGGAAGTGATGGGGGGTGGGGGAAAGGGGAAGCGGGGGAGTGGAGGGCGGGAAGTGCGAATCTTTCTTCTTCTGTTCTCATACGCTGATGGGGGGAAAGGGGAGGAGGCGATGCAAGGGGGAAGGAGACGGGGGGAAGGGGAGTGAGGCAAGGGGATGCGGGAAGGGAAGGAAAAGGGAGCGAGAAGAAGAGAAAGCGGGAAGGGGTGAGGGGGAAAGGGAGGGAAAACTTGGGAACGGGAGCATGGATGGAGGAGGCGCGGGGGGAGGGGGAAGAAAGGGGGACGGGGGGACTGGGAGGGGCGGCTGTACAGGAAAACAGGGAGCGGAAAGATACGCTGGCGGAGCGGGTATGGGGAAGATGGGTGGGGAATGCGCGAGGGGGAAGGGGGCTGAAAACAGAAACGTCGTTAACTTATAACGGGAGCAGCTTCATATCGGGTACAAAGCCTGCGCGACTTACCATAGGTCACGTACGCGCACCCCCCGCCAACGCCCAGGAGGGCGGAGCCTATTACGGCTTGCGCTGCGCGCAGGAGCGGATGTTGCGATCCGCGGGATCCCCCCTGCGCCGCCTCCCCCGCCGCTCCGCCCGCCGCTGCGCCCGCTGCGGTTGCCGCCGGGGAAGCGGTAGCGCTCGGGGGAACCTCCGCGGCTGCACCTGTGTTTGCGCTTCCGCCGGCGGCTTCCGCCGCAGCGGCGGAAGAAACTGCGGAGGATGTGGCGGCGGCGAGGGGGGCGGCGAGTGACGTCAGCAAACGGGCGTGGAGAGTTGGATCTGACGTGGACTGCAGCGACGCGGATCCGAGTCGCGCGATACGGTTACGCACGATATTCATCATGTGACACGTGTCTGACACGTGCTTCACACGTGGACTTGAGGAATGGACGAACACGAGAAAAGTTGACGGAGGCGTTTTCGGACAACACGAATGCACACGTGCCGCCTGCCAGAAAATCTCCCAACTGGCTGATAGCAGTCAGAAAGCGTCGAGCTGCTAGAAAACGTCGAACTGCGAGGCGGGCGAAGGAGACCGTTCCAGCTGAGGTAATGTCGAACAGATTCCTTTGTGGATCGGTAATGGCGACAGACAGTGGATCAGTAGGTAGGGCGTTGAGTGCGGACGGTGAAGGCGATCGGCGAGATGAAGGCGATCGGCGAGACGGTGAAGGAGGGGCGGCGAAGAATGGCGGAGGCGGGCGAGGTGCAACAAGATGAGGGAGCTCCTATTAGCTGGCGAGCAGAACGACGAATCCACGACTAGCACCGGCAGCTAAGTCTGATACATGATGCGATGACAGTTCTACCTAGTTCCATGCGATGAAGGTCCTCTGTTGTCTCCCCAGCCATGTATTTATGCAGAGAAGCATACGGTTCGCGTTGAAATATGATTTCTACTTCTGCTGTAGAGCTGCTGTGAGCCCTAAAAATATATAGAAACTCGATAGTTCGGCAATTTTATCGCGTATAAGGCCTGTCGATTCACGGACATTTGTCCGTTTTCCCTGAAAATCCAGGGATAGAGTTCAGAGTTTTCAGGATTTGTTTCCCAGACGGGTCGAAACAGTCATTCTGCAACTAGCTGATACGAGTTCCTTTGTAAAGTGCAGAGTGGAGGGGGTGGAAATCCCTGAGAATCGGAAACCCCTGAGAGTGGGAAAAAATTAGAAAACCATTTTGACGTGTGTGGAAACATCCAATGTTCGAAAACCATCGTTAGAATACCTCGTTATAGCTTTGTTTCTTATGGTAGAGCCTTCGTAAAACGGAGTCATTTAGGAGCTTACCCGTCACGAACTTTGACCCGCTAATTTACACCTGCTTTTAAAGCATAGCCCATCGTCATTATGGGGCCTGGTTATATAATTTCGCTGCAAGCACCACCGTGCCTGATCCACAAACCTGTGAATTCGTTTGTTAAGTGCTCCTCCACAAAGACGTCACTGAAGAGTGGACAATTCCAAGGAGAAGTGATAGAACAAATTTGGAAGGTGTGAATGGCCTTTGTATGTTCGACAAATGCCATCATTTCAATACCTCATTAAAGCTTGGTTACGGCAGTAGAGCCTTGGTAAAGAGGAATCGTTTCGAAGATTACCCTTCACGTACGTCTACCCTTTTAATTTCATCATATGTTTTAGCATAGTCCACCCTTGTTTCGGGATTCTTGGCTATGATTCCGTGGATGATTCACGGACCCGTGAAATTTGTTTGCGAGGCTCCTCCACAAAGACGTCACAGAAGAGTGACAATAGACAATCGTAGAAATACCTTTCTATAGCTCAGTTTCCAACAGTAAAACCTTAGTATAACGGAGTTGTTTGGAAGATTACCCGTCACGGAATTCTACCCGTTAAATTACACATCCTTTTAAAGCATAACCCACCCTCATTATGGGGCCTGGGCATAGATCGTGGACTTGCCCATCTCCCATCCCTCCCATCACCCACCCCTCCACCACCCCTCCGTTTCCCAATCGTGCTCTGCTCTGTAAAGTAGTAGCTAAAATAAGAATCAAACTTAGGAATCAAACTTTCCTGAATTGAAGGACTGGATTGGTCATAAATCCCGAAATTTAGGGCTTATTCAGGCCAGCTCAGGTAATCTCCTGGCCTTCCACGCTCCGTAGTGCGGCGCTGTCCTGCAGATGGCGGATGTTCGCCCTGACACGACTCACCGGGGAAGGCAAGCGTACCCCGCGCCTTCAATTCTCGAGTCACGCAAAATGGTCATGTTCTGGGTGGTGCAATTCGATACGGCTCGGTAAGACCAAGCGCAACGTGTTGGCTTTTGCATTTCAGTGAATTGTCATAGAAGCATATTTATGGCTCGGTAAGCAAAATTCAAGCTTGATACTTCCCCCATAAGGCACTGCATTGCGGGCTGCTCAATAGCATCAGCTATACTACCTCTTCTCGATGCGTACTGCCATTATGAATAAGCGAATTTGCATTTAGCCAGGCACAAAGCTACATGTACACTTCGTTGATAAGGTGACCTAGGGACAATGGCGACGCAATGCAGCTGAGCATGCAGGCTTTCATGCAACAAGTCCTTGATGCTGCTCGTATCAAGGCGGCTTCCATTTGACATTAGGGAAATCAACTTGAAAGTCCTTACTTGGCAGCAGACCTGAAAGAACCAAAGGGGAAACAGAAAAATGCATGCATTATGCAACATGCCTAAGAAAAATACATAACACTACCAATCAACTTTTTCACCTCATCTTGTGTTGAACTGTGACCATCTCCTTGCAATCCACCTTGGCACGAGGATCGGTGCCCAGCTTATTTTTAAACAAACAAGGCCTCGTTACAGTCACGCCTCATTGGCGCTTCGTTACAAGCACACTCATTAAAGAGTCTCACCTCATCTTGCGCAGAACAGTCTGCATTTCCTCGCGCTTCACCTTGGCGCGTGCCCAGCCTCTTCCTATGAACAACATTGGCGCTCCGTTACAAGCACAATCACCAGAAAGTCTCACCTCATCTTGCGCAGAGCAGTCTGCATCTCCTCGCGCTTCACCTTGGCGCGGCGGTGCGTGCCCAGCCTCTTCCTATGGACAATATTGGCGCTTCGTTACAAGCACACTCACTAAAGAGTCTCACCTCATCTTGCGCAGAGCAGTCTGCATCTCCTCGCGCTTCACCTTGGCGCGGCGGTGCGTGCCCAGCTTCCGCTTCGCCAGCTTCAGCGCGCGCTTGTCCTTGCCGACCTGCGTGGGGGGGGAAGGGGGGAGGGGGAGGCGGGAGCGGGGGGGGAGGGTTTGAGTCGACTCAAGAGTCACCTTGGCACGGCGGTGCGTGCCCAGCTTCCGCTTCGCCAGCTTCAGTGCGCGCTTGTCCTTGCCAACCTGCGGGGGGGAAAGGGAGGGCGAAGGGGGGGAGGGGTGGGGAGTGCGGGGAGGTGGGGAGGGGAGAGGGGGAGGACGGGGCGATTTTGGGTGGACTCGAGAATAACCTTGGAGCGGCGGTGCGTGCCCAGCTTCCGCTCCGCCAGCTTCAGAGCGCGCTTGTCCTTGCCGACCAGTGTGTGGGGGGAAGGAGGGCGCAGGGGGGAAGGGAGGTAAGAGTGAGGGAAGCGGGAGGGGGAAGGTGGTTGAGCGCCGAGGGGGGGCGTTCTTGAGTTGACTCAGAAATCGCATTGGCGCGGCGGTAGGTGCCCAGCTTCCGCTTCGCCAGCTTCAATGTAACGTCCCTACCGACCTGCGCAGGGGGGGAAGCGCCGGGGAGAGGGGGAATGGTTAGTGGGGTGGGCGGGAAAACAGAGGATGGGTGGGAGAAAGGGAGATTGGGGGAGGTACGGATGAGGAGCGGAGGGAGGGAATGCGGGGGAAGGTGGTGGAGGAGGGAAGAGAAGAGTGAAACTGGAAGGTTGGGTGAGGGGGCGTGCACAGAAATCCGGGTAAACGGGAACGACTCGGCGGCCTGAACACCAAAAATCATAAGAATAACGACGCTGGGAGATTTTCGACGACGTTGGCAGAGGCTGGGCGGCGGCTAGCATGCGGAAAAAAACAATCCCGAAATAAACGCACGCCCGAGGAATGCCCGGCTGCCTAGTGATCATTTGGTAGCACGGACGAAGGGACTATCGGGCACGTCCGCCTGATTAGGCTACGCGACGCATGTCGTTTAAACTGCCAAGCTGCACGATGCGTAGATAGTGATGTGAATAGTCCAGCTTTCGTCAATCCCAACCCATACCCTGATTCTACGCATGCCTGGCTTGCTGCCTGGAACTTGCGACCTGGCAACTTCGCAGTGATTCGGCTTCGGCTTAAGAAATGCCTAAAGCTAACGAGTCGGGCCTACGTCCTCCACGCAGAACCGATCGAAGTGCCTTAACCTTAGCCTCATAAGTCACTCGGGCTTCGGCTCAGCAACTGCCTAAAGCAAACGAGTCGGGCCTACGTCCTCCACGCACTGCTGTAGCAAAACCGAGAACCGATCAACGACGATTCCGAAAACCGAGGCATAAGCGTTTAAAGGGTCTCTCAGAAACCCGAGATCACCGCGACAGCTGCGAGAAATCGCTGCAACGCCAATTCTAGTCGTTGATAGCCTACCCTAGTCACCTAATTCAACCGCTCCCGACACCGCAATACACCGCTCCTCAGCCCGCCGCTTCTGCTTCCCGAGCTACTGTCGACGGCTACACTGCCGAATCGAAGCCCAGGAATCAAATGTGCTTGAAGTCTAGCGGAAATGAACGCATACAGAATGGATTAAGAGTGGATCCAGATACAGCCAAGGTTAAAAGGCACAATAACACTGCTCAGGCGCAATATATAGCAGTAGTAGTTAATCGACACGGCCATACCTTGAGCAGCTCCATGATTCGCTTCTCATAGGGAGAGAAGCCCGCAACCTCGCGAATCAGACCGCGGACGAACGCTCCGCGCTTCGACTGCAAACAAAATGCGCGCGAAACACGACCAAATGCACTGAGGGGATTACAATCAGCAGCACTGCAAGACGTTAAACCCGTTCCCGCTACGGCCTTCGCCTAAGGGAAACCCCACAAAGTCGGTTGCTGTGCTAAAACAATCAAAAAACTCCGTGACGAAGTCATGCGTAGCATGATCGCATAAAAAAGTGAAGACCGGATGTGCTGAGGTAAACCTACCGCCCGCGTTTTGGGCTTCGAGATCTCCCTCTTGGTCACGACGTGACCCTTGTTGAGGCCTACTGCGATTCCAGTCATGGTGGCCGCGGAAAAGCTAAGGGAAGGGGGACGAACTAAGGAAGTTGCTGCTGTGGGTCGGGAAAAGGAGGCAAACTAAGTGAGAGAAACCCTAAAGAGCTTCTCGCGGAGGAGTTAGCGGGGGGAGAAGAAGAAACGGATACAGGAATGTGTACAAGATTTGTTAATTCTATACACAAGAACAAATACACCCTGAAGATGAGCTAACTTGTTATAGCGAAGATAAGAGCGCAGGTGCGGTGCTGCGCGATGGTGTGGTGGGTTGCAGAAACGCGTTTTGGGGCTTTGTGGTTCTCAACGACAGTGGGGCATTGCTGTAAGGGGCAATCTATTTCGTGTGAACCAGCCTTTGTCAATTCTGTTATATTAATTTATAGAAACGTCGTACAGTACACGATGTCGCTTCGTTGTGGCGAGCGATATATTCCATGTCTGATAGCAAAGCGACAAACACAAAGAGACAAAGACAACGCGGCGCGACAATTCTCACCCGCCCCAACGAAGCAGCACAGCATTGCAAGAAGCGGGGAAAGTCGAGTCGCGCGACTGTCCTTTTGACACATTTCCAAGCCAATCGCCCCTCCAAGCACCGTCATCTGTGGGCTTCCTCAGAAGCCACCGAATTGCGATTTGGACGGTGGCTTGGGGGAAACGGAGGAGCCAGCTGCCTCAAGAACGGTACATATTCGGCGCCCTCTCCCCAATTCGGTTCATTCTGCTACCGACCATCAATCTCACACAATCCAAACATTTCTGTGAACCAGCAACCAGCATTCTAGGACACTTCCCTTCACCTATTCAATAGCTGATCCATTCAAGTTCATTTAGTAGTCTCCGTCATTCGACGTTTAGAATAATCACCTCGACTTCTTTCCTGAAAGACCTCAATAGCTTACTTACGCTCAACTCTGAGCTCTTCTAGCTAGCGCCGCAGCTTCCGCAGTAATACCACCAGCAGCAACTGTTAGTAACAGTATGGCTAGCAAGTCGAAGATCGACCTTACACCATCCAGCGAGCTTTCTAGCAGATACACGCTCAAGGAATTTCTGGGCGAGGGACAGTACGGCACAGTGTGGCGCTGTGAGAAGCGCGCGACAGGAGAGCACTTCGCACTCAAGTACATTGACCTCACTAAGTGCAGCAGCAGGGCCCGCCGCGCAGCTCTCGGCGAAGTCGAAATTCTCCAAAAGATACGCGATTCTGGCTTCTCCGATAGTGTCGTGTCGCTTAGTGACGTGTACGGGGACAAAGATTCGCTTTATCTTGTAATGGAGCTGTGCACTGGCGGGGATCTCCTCGAGCTCATTCAGAAGCGGCCCGGCGCGCTACTTAGCGAGGCGGAATCGCGCCACGTGTTCACGTCCGTAGCGCGCGCCGTGAAGCAGTGCCACGCCAGCAGCATCGTCCACCGCGACATCAAACCCGAGAACATTCTCATCTGTCCGAATTCGAGCGTCAAAACCTCCACCGTCGCCAGTGACGGCGCGTCGTTCGCTTACACCGCGAAGCTCGCGGATTTCGGGCTCGCTGTGGACGTCCCTTGGTGGCAGCAGATTCGCGGGTATGCCGGTAGCAAGCCGTATGAGGCGCCGGAAGTTATGGCGGGGGTTGCGTACGACGAGTCGGCGGATATCTGGAGCCTCGGCGTGACTCTCTACGCGATGCTTTCGGGAAAGTGGCCGCTGTTTAGGGGCGGGAAGCGGGTCCTGGACGAGAAGGCGGATTTCGCATCGGAAGACTGGAAGAAGGTGTCGCGTGACGCGAAGGATCTCATCCGTCGGATGCTGCGCGTGGATGTAAACGAGCGGTTCACGATTGACGAGGTTCTGGCGCATCCGTGGGTTCGTCCAGCAGCAGCGGCGGCTGCTGAGGAATCGATGGAGACCGTCAAGCTGTCGAAGAAACGAACGGCTGCTGTTGCTTCGCAGACCGAGGCTCAGATTACCCCAGGAATTGCGGAAGCCGATTCTGAAAGCACCGCTACCAGCGCTCCGATATTCGCGTCCGAAGCCAAGTCCACCGAAAGCACTTCCTTCAAGAGACACGCCACCACCCATGTCCCCGATACAAAAAGAGTCGACACTGCGGGAAGCATGCCTTTGGCGAGTGCAACCAACAGCACCGACAGTGATTGCGGGAGCAACGCAGAGAAGCCGCGGTGGGGCGGAAAGCTGTCTCCCCGCACCGTTCTGAACCGCGTCATGAAAGCCTTCTCCCCTCTCACGCGCCAAAAGGAGGCGTCGTGCATCCCCGTCGAAGTTCTCTGAGCATCTTCAGATGATCCAGTAGTCGGGTACAGACTTCTGTAGTTTAGACTTACGGTAGTCTGCTTCTAGGGTCAACAGGAAGAGTTGCTGTGGTGCCCGGAGATCTTAGGGTACGATCCCGAGCACCCCAGCAACTTATTCCTTGCATTTGAAATGTTGCAAGTTTCCTTTGTAATCATAAGTGATTTTCCTTGTAAAAATATTCATTGATTGCAACAAGCAAGTCTGAATTGGACTCTCGAAAATTGCCCTCAAAGTCGTGTCTTTTTTAGGGAGGAGCAACGATGGAGCTCTCCGAATATACCCTTTCACCCCCAAGTGGAATTCCAGAAAGGCGAAAGCAACAAGACAATGTTGTTTGAGTGAGGTCAGTGGTGCGGAAATCCCTGAGCCAGTTGCATGCAAGCGATTAGGTTCAATGCGCCTTAAAGTGGTCCTATGTCCACATAAAAACATCTGTAAATAGTCTCAGCAATATACCAAGGATGGGATGGAAATGGAACGTGCGTCACGGGCCCTCACTATGTTCTGATTTACAAAAGTGCAGAGCAGTTCAGCTCATTGCAAGAACTGAATTCACACAGTGCTGCTCATTCCCTATGGTTCGATGGCCCACTTAGGGCAGAGTGTTTACCGTTTAAATCAAGCCAAACCATGATCCCAGGCAATGCGCAGTCAACCACCAGCATACTAGTGGTGAAATGATATTCTACATCCTACATTTGGGAGATACCTACACTCAGCTTCATGATGGAAATGTCACTTCCCTCCCAAAAATAGGGTTCCTATCCTAATCATTTTAGACCATCACCATACATTAGCAGATTATACAATCAGCTGCTGCAGCTATAACCTCAATTTGAGGCCTAATTCATAGCATTCTGCCACGTCCGTCCCAATGTTACAAGTTGATCTTAGTCCTGTAGACGCTACTCGCCGTCCAATACGGGGGAATCGCATTTCGCACTATAACGGGTCTCGGTTCCGCGCGGGGCCAGATGCGAAACGACAGCGCTTTGCCGGTTAACGGCTGGCCGACAAGTTCGAAGACGGTGCCGAAGCTTCGTTTCATCATGAACCACGGCCCTCCGCCAACCGACAGATCCATCCGCTTGATGTCCCCCGATCCGCCCACGTTGAGCGGAAGAACTGGCAGAGGGGGAAAGAACCAGGGGGGGAAAGCGTGAAATCGCAGTTGGGGGGAATGCGGAGTAAAAAACACGCCTACGCGAGCGGAGGAAATGGCAGAAGGGGAAATGATCGGGGGAGAAAGGGGAATGGTTGCGGAGCTGCAATGTGGGCAGGAGAAAGGGGAAATGATCGGGGGAGAAAGGGGAATGGTTGCGGAGCACTGTGGGCAGGTGTAGGAAAGGGAATATGGGGGGCTCCGCCAGCCAAATGTTCCCGCCGAATGTCTCCCGGTCCCTCAAGTTACGCGAAACAGTTGGGGAAGAGGGAGCGATTATTCCATCTCAGGTTCATTCATGAGACGTCATACTGTCGCGTGGAGTGTGAACCAAAATGTAGTAACTATCACCTGCAACATTGGAGATAAAGCACGTCATTGCACTCGTACCTGAGATGTTGAACCCATCGCCTGTAACACTGAACATCGCACCACCGCCACTCGGTCACCGCACATGGCAAACGCGTACATTATCCATCACCTGTAAAATGAAGTGTAAGCGCATTGGTACACTCGTACCTGAGATGTAGAACCCATCGCCGGTAACGTTGAACATCACACCACCGCCGCTCGGACACCTCACGCGCGACACCTCTACCGGCACCACTCCCACGGACGGATTCCGCGCGATTTGCGCCCACACTTCGCTCGATAGAGTCACACTCAGCTTCCCGCCGTCGCACCACCCGCCGTACGATGCCGCGGGACAGAGGTTCGTGATTTTAACGGTGGGTGTGAAACGGCTCCCGGGATGCATTGCGGGCTGTTGACGCAGCGCACTCGTATGCACGCGCCGCATGCTTGGCCTCCCGCGTAGATTCGGGCAGAAATAGACGCGGTATAGCCGGGCGCGATACCGTATCCGCAGGAGCCGTACTGGCTGTTCTGATTGGCGTAGTATGTAGCAGTGAAGCCTGTAATCCACTTGTTGTATTGCGCGGAAGCCACTAACGCGAACGAGAGAAGGCAGAGAGAGATTAGGAGAGAGAATCGTCTGAGCGCGCCCATAATTTCTTAGCTATGAGGAGTCTGATTACGTGGGACGATAGTGATTGAAATGCACTAAACAGAGGCGTGCAAATCTAGGAGACTATCGCACAGCAATGGTGTGACGACTGCAACTAGCCTCACTCCAGTTCTTGAAAGCGTGGGAAGGGTGGAAAACAGCAGGCCTTGTAGCTTCGCTGCGAAGCCTACTTGGAAAAGCGAGTATTTTCTCCCAGATGGAAGAATGAAAGCGTAGCGGCGGCGGTGGCGCGTCTCTCGCAGTGCTGAGTCACACGCTGAAAAGGTGAGAAAGAAAGCGGTGCTTTGGGTGCCGTGTTGTGGCTTGTCGCGCGCGCGGCGCTGTCTGCTTGGATCATGGGGAGGGACTGGGGAAGGATGTGTGGGATGGTGAGGAACCTAGCACGCCTGCAGTGGTAGCTCGGGTTGTCCAACACACGAGCGCGAAATACCTGTCGTGCCACGAATCCGACCCCTCACCTACGGTCTCTGTGCATAGTTGCGCACGAAATTGGGGCGCACGAAATTCGAGACATGCGGCTCGACGAGTGGAATGTGAAAATCTTCGGGTCCTCGTTTGTGATATGCTCGAAAGCGATAATTCGGTACTGTGAGAAGACAACTGCTTGATAAAGAGTTCTACAAAGTCAGAGCTTCACACATCAAATCACATACAATATAGCAAGCAAGATTCAAGAAATATTCTTGTGGGGATCAGAACATTTGCAGGATTATAATAGAAGCAAAGCTATTGATTTCTTTGGGACAAAAACAGAAATTTAGGGGCTCCATTGAGCCCTCTGCTAACACCACCACAACAGCCTAGGCCCCTCCCATCAATTCCTCCCATCTCCCAAGCACATACCTAAAGTTCTTTCAAGCATAGATCTCAATTGCTCAATCCATGACATACAGCGGACTTGCATATCGCATATGCATGGGCCTTTCCTCTGAAGCCATCCATTGAGGACCTTTCTTTCAGAATTGTCTCGATCAAGTCTTCCATCCAAGCCTTTGGTTTGGTTCGGGATGTTCCGCCCGGGAACCTTCCAATTTTAGACCTCTTTGGTTCAGGGTGTTCTCGTCAATACCCCGAGCGCGGCTGGTTTCGCATTTGCCCAGATCCGCCCTTCCCCGAACCAGGGGACATTGGGGCTGACGAGCCATACGGGGCGGGCGGGACCGGTGGGCGAATTCCGTACGGAGTGGTCATGCCGCCGCCCATGCCGCCACCCATTCCGCCACCCATTGCCCCTGCCATTCCCATCCCGCCTCCTGCTGCTGCTCCTGCTCCCGCCAAGGCATTGGGATTGGGAGGTGTCATAGGGCTGCTGTAGCTTGGAAACTGCTGATGGGGAGAGGGGAAGGTAGGGGGGGTTGTAGGGGCGGTCAGGGAGACTTGATGTTTTGGGTCGGTCCAAAAAGCAAGGCGTAGGGATTGGGGGGTGACATTCGGCTGCTGTAGCTTGGAAACTGCTGATGGGGAGAGGGGGAGGGGGTGGAGGAATGGATAGGGAGAAGAGAATCAGTCTTTGAGTCAGGGAAAAAACAAAAAAAGAACCAAGGCGTTGGGATTGGGGAGTGACATTGGGCAGCCGTAGATTGGGAAATGCTAGACGGAGAGGGGGGGAAGAGAGGGGAAGGGTAGGAGAACAGAGAGAAGAAAGGGAGAAAAGGGATGCGAAGGAGAAATTAAGCGTTAACGCTTAAGTCATGCATTTAGCACGGAACAGATTACCTGGTTCAGCTGAGAGCCATAGTCCATGCACCCTCCACTAACCCCCTGGTAGGGCATCTCTGGATAACCGAAGGCTGCTGTAACGACCAGTAACTTGACTGAATGAATGACTAGACCACTAAGCTAAACATGTTACCTGGTTCAGTTGCGAGCCGTAGTCTATGTACCCTCCACTAACCGCCAGAATAGGCAAAGGATGCTGCAACGACCAGTACTTGACCAATACCAGAGTAGCACAGGACAATGCCTGAATAACAGAACATGTTACCTGGTTCAGTTGCGAGCCATAGTCCATATAGCCTCCGCTAACCCCCTGGTAAGGCATCCCGGAATAGCCACTTCCTGTATAAGGCAAGAGATGGCGGGGTGGGGAGGGAAGGGAGTGTAAGGGGAGAAAGGAAGGGAGGGATGGAAAAGTGGAGATCAGTTTGGCACAGCTACAGCCAGCAGTAGAAAGAGTTTTGGGCCGCTTCAAAAGTAGAAAGCGAATCTCTCCCTGGAGGAAAAGGGCGTGTGAACATATAGGTGGCATCTGAAAATTCTAAAAAAGCAGCTCGGCTTGGGAAGAGGAAATGAAGAGGAAATTCTCCAGATGTCCAGATTCGGCCCTCAGCCCTCTAGTTGGCGGCAAAGCCCCTCTAAGATCGCAGCTTTGTTGAGTCTCAAAAGCAAACAGCTTGCTTCAAGCGATTCTGCTGGGCCCGGCCTGGCCATTTTCCGGTTTACCAGTCACCCAAGCGCGGATTTGAGAATCCTCAAAAGTGACTCGAAAATGCCACCACCCGCGCGACGCCATGGCTTTACATCTCAACACTCCAGCCTGAAAATCCGATTTTGAAATGTCTCAACACTCGGGGGACAAACAGAGTCGGGCTCTGCATCGTTCGGGTCTTCTGTATGCAAAACCCACGCCTAAAGTCCTCAACAACCAGCAGAAGTAGGATTCTACTCTACATGCGCCAGGTATGCTAATAAAAAATACAGGTCTCGAGTCTTTCGACTCAGTTGTACCCATTTTTTTATCTGACTGAACCCTGAAACAATCTTGCTGAAACATTTGTTCAAAGCAGCTAAGGAGCTACATGAAGTGAACTGGAGAAAATTTGAGCATCGAGCGAGAAAATACGCCCTAGACAGAGTTGTATCTCCCAGACCTCCACGCCATGTGGTGCTTTTATTTTTTCTCAGAAGCAACTCAGATTCGGCTACTTTCTTGAACGCCCTTTTTGATATGAGAGCCATAGGGTGCTTTCCTTCCTGTATTGCACGGGAACCTTGAGTCCATTACACCCAAGTCTGTATGACATGAAGTCACAACTAGACCTATCAAGTCGAATCAAAAGGGGTCGCTATCAAACCTCTATTAAAAAATGGACTGGAAAACATAACATGCACTTCGCTTTGAGTTGACTCAGAAAAATAAACCAAGGGGGTGAAGGTTTTGAGTCGACTCAAAATCGAACCATGGGGGTGAAGGTTTTGAGTCGACTCAAAATCGAACCATGGGGGTGAAGGTTTTGAGTCGACTCAAAATCGAACCATGGGGGTGAAGGTTTTGAGTCGACTCAAAATCGAACCATGGGGGTGAAGGTTTTGAGTCGACTCAAAATCGAACCATGGGGGTGAAGGTTTTGAGTCGACTCAAAATCGAACCACGGGGGTGAAGTTCAACAGAAAAACGAACGCCTCGAATGTAGCAGGGAGAGGGAGATGAAATTGAACGTTCCTATTTACCCGGGGCATCCCTTGAGTGTACTGTAATGGCGTCACATACGGTACAGAGCACTCAAAGCCCCAGAAGGAGTGGGAGTGTACGAGCAAGAAAGCCTGTGTCTACAAGAGAAGAGACCCTAGCAGTAGCGACACCCTGAGACCACGAGGGAGGTTGATGGATACTAAGAGGAGATGAGTTTCAGAGGCAGCAAGAGGTCTGAAATTGATGAGGAGTGCCAGCTGGCATGCTGGGCGGCAGCACAGCGCTGATCACCAAGGTGACTTTTGAGTCACACTTGGTCATCAGTGCTGGGCGGCAAAGTGTCTCATAAGTCGCCAGCTGGCCATCTGGGCGGCAACACTGCTGACTCATCAGAGGTGGCAAGTACCGGTAGGATGATCTGATCCTTAAAATGATTCTCGCAGCACTGCCATCCCTCTCACCGTGCTGCACTCCCTCTCACCGTGCTGCACCCATCTCCAGGCAACCACTCCACTCCATTCCGTCCCACCACATTCGCAACCAGTGCCAATTCAACCAATGCTCCTAACTCACCTACCTGTGCGCCTGTTGCCTCCTCAGGTAAAAAGAGAAACCATCCGGGGATAGAGAGAGGAAGCTACAATAAAGAGAGCGAAACCAAAAGTCCCCAGCCCAGCCGAGTAGTGAACAAGATTACCTGTCTGCTGCACTGCACCCCCTTGTTGAACTCATTCTAAGGTTTTCAAAACAGAGCGACCGTTGGAGCGCAGAGAGAGAGCGCAAGAATATGATGCACGTCTTAAGGAGAGGCCCCAGAAACTATGGAGAGAAGTGCCAGCTGACTTTTGAGTCGACTCAAAAGTCAACTCAGAGAGGCCCCAGAAACTCTGGAGAGGTGTGCCAGCTGGCATGTTGGCCCGCTGCTGACTCATCATGGGCGTCAGTTATACATGGTCAAAGTGACGAGGCGAGCAATACTCGACTCGTCCATGGTCTTGCTCGACGAGCATTTGCTCCGAGTCGAGCAAAACTCTGACGAGCAATTGTCAACATTTTGCATACTCGGGACTCGTCGTTTTAGGCCATGCTCGGGCGAGTTTATGGGAAAGCTCGTCCGAGCACAAGACATGCTCGACTCACCACTCGCAAGCACTAAGTTACCACGGACGCGTCCAGCTAGCTAAGTGGGAATTATCGGAGTAGACTAGCGGGGGAGGGAAGGGGGTTGTGCGATGGGTCATAGGCTGGCAAGCGGAAGGAACGATGTGACTTTCTGAAGTGACGGGATCTGAATCTGGATCTGGTGGTTGGGTTTTGTAGATTCAGTGCGGTGAAGAGAGGTATGTGGTGGCGAATTGGTTGGGAAATCAAGTGGCAATTAGATGGAAAGGCATATTCGTTTTGCTCGACCAAAAGAAAGATCTGAGCGTAGTAATTGACACGACTAGTGGCAGACTCCGCAGCGCAATTGCCGGCGAACCCCGCGGATTGACGGGCGAAATCGCCGATCCGCGCGGATTGACGGGCGAAATCGCTGATCCGCGCGAATTGACGGGCGAAATCGCCGATCCGCGCGAATTGACGGGCGAAATCGCTGATCCGCACGAATTGGCGGGCGAAATCGCCGAACCGCGCGAATTGGCGGGCGAAATCGCTGATCCGCGCGAATTGACGGGCGAAATCGCCGATCTGCGCGAATTGACGGGCGAAATCGCTGATCCGCGCGAATTGACGTGCGAAATCTCCAGTACATTTGCCAGGTTCAGATCTGGGGTCAAATTTTGCCGCCAATTTTGACCCCCCGTGAAAATTCTACGCGGCAAGTTTTGCATGCTTGACGAGCATAAAAAAAACTCGTCGAGCATAAAACGAGCACTAAAATGCTCGTCTTAACGAGCGAGCATGTGACGAGTACGAAAAGCTCGGCGAGCATTACTCGGCTCGACTCGGCCGAGTAATTTTGCAAAAAAATCATGCTCGTTACTCGGCCCCCAACGAGCATTTTGAACGAGTCGAGCAAAGACCCTACCCTCGTTGCCCATGTATAGCGTCAGTTTTAGGGCGCCCCACATCCCGAGCAGAGGCGATGAGAATCTTCTCCATGGCTGCACGCTGCTCCACCAGATCTAACCGCACTGTACCCCCTCTCACTGTACCGCAATCCCTATCCACAAACATCCACTACCTTGGCTCATCACAAGCGGCGGCAGGTTGGCGAATTGGGCTTCAAGTCGCTCCACGTCACGAGCAGAGGCGATGAGATCTAACCGCACTGCACTCCCTCCTACCGCACTGCAATCCATCTCTCCTCTCTCTCACCCACTACCTTGGCTCATCACAGGCGGTGGCAGGTTGGCGATTTGGGCTTTAAGGCGCTCCACGTCCCGAGCGGAAGCAATGAGATTTTTCACCATGGCTCTACCAGGTGTAACCGCACTGCACTCCCTCTCCCCATACTGCAATCCTTCAACCACTACCTTGGCTCATCACTGGTGGCGGCAGGTTGGCGATTTGGGCTTTGAGACGCTCCACATCACGAGCAGACGCAATGAGATCTAACTGCACTGCACTCTATCTTACCGCACTACAATCCCTCTTAACGTGCTATACCTTGGCTCATCACAGGCGGCGGCAGGTTGGCGATCTGAGCCTTGAGACGCTCCACATCCCGAGCAGAGGCAATTAAATTCTTCTCCATGGCTGCCCGCTGCTCCACCAGGTCCATGTTGGCCTTCTTCTCGTACTCCACCGCTTGCCTGCTCCCATATGCATGGGCGGGGGTCATTCAGTGGAATGGGATGGGGCAGTCACACACACCAACACTGCCTCGCCTAGCCTACACTGCAACCAGCCCGCTGAGCTGAAGAGGAAGCAATGAGGTTCTTCTCCATGGCTGCCCGCTGCTCCACCAGATCCATGTTGGCCTTCGTCTCGTACTCCACTGCTTGCCTAAAATTTGACAAGAGAACACGACGGTATGAGTCAGTGGGATGCGGATGGGATGGGATGCGGCACGCACTAACACTGCCCTTCTAGCCTACAATCTACCAACCATCAACCCGCTGCTCCACCAGACCAGGTCCATGTTGGCCTTCTTCTCGTACTCCACAGCTTGCCTAGGTTTGAATAGAAACAAGATGGACATGTGGAATGGGATGGGATGCAATGGGCTGTGTATACCAGCACAACCTAGCATAGGGTCTACTGACTGCCAACCCGCTGCTCCACCCGATCCATGTTGGCCCTCTTCTCCTACTCCACTGCTTGCCTATACACGGATAAGTTTAATGCGGTATGAGATGGTATGAGTCGGTCATGGCAGTCAGTGGAAAGGATAGGGGTACACTAGCAATGCTGCTTACGAGTCAGTTACCAACCCGCAGCTCCACCAGTGACCTACTCTTTTAGAATTCTAAGAATCAGCCCGCTGCTCTCCTGCCCTGCTGCCCACTGCTTCACCACCGTTTCGAACTTTTGTTTTTCATCCTAGAAATCCGTCTGCTGCCCTGCTGCCCACTGCAACACCAGGGACGACGCCTTTAAAAAAACTAAAGAATCCACCCATTACCCTGCTTCCCGCGTGCTGCCCCATTGACCCAGCCCTGCAGTCTGCTGCGCTGCTGCCTGCTGCTGACTGAAAAAGCTATGTAAAGAATTCCTCTTGAGCAAGTGCCTGCTCCTTGGAACACCAAGTGTTAGGCATGTTAACATTATTCTTGAGAGTTCTGAAGAGTGACTCAAATTTGCCTGCTCACACCAAGTGTTGGACATGCGTGCATGTGCACCAGTCAAGCACATGATGCATTCGGCATCTTTTCGGCGCCTCAAAAAACAAGTCAGACAGATTCATGCAGGCGTACCAACCGAGCACACGATGCAATCAGCATTTGTGGCACCCAATAAATCGTGTCACTTTCGAGGCGCCTAAAAAATATGATAAACAGTGGGATGGGATGGCTGGTGGGGGATAAATGCATGCATGCATGGTAGAAGAATGCATGTACAAATGTGGAATGGGATGCGATGTATCATGCATGAGGGTGGGATGCTCACAAACAGTATGCAGAGAGATGTGCGAACATGCAGAGAGATGTGCGCTGCGCACATGCAGAGAGATGTGCGCACATGCAGAGAGATGTGCGCACATGCAGAGAGATGTGCGCACATGCAAAGACGTTTGCGCTAGGGTTTCATAGTTTCAGATCTCACCTGGCGAGCGCGAGCAACTGGGTGAGGCAGTCAATCTCCTGCCTGAGCTTTTGAGACGTCTCAACACTCCCTCCCTCTGCTAGGGTTTCACACTCTCACCGTCCACACACACTCTCACCTGGCGAGGGCGAGTTCTTGTGTGAGGCCGTCAATCTCCTGCCTCAACTTTGGAAGCAGCTGCACGTCAGCATGCATGCGGTTCAGGTCCTGGTTCATCTGCCCTATCTGCCCTATCTGCGCTATATGAGCTCGCCTGTTCCCCACCCTCCCTCACCTGGCGATGGCAAGCTCCTGGGTGAGGCCGTCAATCTCCTGACTTAGTTTCGGCAGCAGCTGCACGTCAGCGTGCATGCGGTTCAGGTCCTGGTTCATCTGCCCTATCTGCGCTATCTGGCCTGTTTTCTCTTCCTATACTGACTTGCTGCTCCCTCTGTTTGGTGCTAGGGGTTCAACTCTCACCTGGCAAGGGCGAGTTCCTGGGTAAGAGCATCAATCTCCTGCCTGAGCTTGGGCAGCAGCTGCACGTCAGCGTGCATGCGGTTCAGGTCCTGGTTCATCTGCCCTATGTGCGCTATACGAACTCGCCTGTTCCCCTCCCTCCCTCACCTGGCAAGAGCAAGTTCCTGGGTGAGGCCATCGATCTCCTGTCTCAGCTTTGGCAGCAGCTGCACGTCAGCGTGCATGCGGTTCAGGTCCTGGTTCATCTGCCCTATCTGCACTATCTGGCCTGTTTTCTCTTCCTATACTGACTTGCTGCTCCCTCTGCTAGGTGCTAGGGGTTCAATTCTCACCTGGCGAGGGTGAGTTCCTGAGTAAGCCCGTCAATCTCCTGTCTCAGCTTGGGCAGCAGCTGCACGTCAGCGTGCATGCGGTCCAGGTCCTGGTTCATCTGCCCTATCTGGTGGCCTATCTGCACTAACTGCCCTAGCTGCGACCAACTGCTGCCCCATATAGCCCATATGAGCTCACCTGGCGAGGGCGAGTTCCTGAGTAAGACCGTCTATTTCCTGCCGCAGCTTGGGTAGCAGCTGCACGTCAGCGTGCATGCGGTTCAGGTCCTGGTTCATCTGCCCTATCTGCGCCGCCTGCTGCTGAATCTTCGCCTGCTGCTGCTGCAGCTGCGCGCCCTGCTGCTGCAGCTGCTGCTGCTGCTGCTGCTGCCTGCTGATGCTGCGCCATCCGCGCAGCTTCCTCTGCCTGCCTGCGTGACGTCAGCGCCTGAATCTCGCCCCTCGTGCCCTGAAGCTCCTGCCTTGCCGCCTGCAGCTCCTGCCTCAGAGTGTCTACGGGGAGTTCAGAAGAGGAAGAGAGGGGGAATCGAAGGAGAAGACAGAGGGACGGTTGAGTGAGGTTAGGTAACCACAAATGAGCGCCTAAATCTCTCCCCGAGTCCCCTGAAGCTCCTGCCTCAGGGTGTCTGGGGAAGATAATCAGACGGGAAAAGGAGAAGGAAAACCGGATTAAGTGGAACATGCGTGAAAGAGCACCTGGATCTCGCCCCTTGTGCCCTGGAGCAGCTCCTGCCTTGCCGCCTGCAGTTCCTGCCTCAGGGTGTCTGCCTCAGGGTGCCTCAGGAGGAAAACAAAAAGGGTGTGCTGCTGCTGCTGCCATGCCGCTGCGCGCCCTGCTGCTGAGCCTGCTCTGCTGGTGTCACACCTAAACACTTGCACGCTGCACTGCACTTTTGAGTCGACTCAAAGTCCTGCGCGCCCTGCTGCTGAGGCCACTGCGCGCCCTGCTGCCGTGCCGCTGCGCGCCCTGCTGCTGAGCCTGCCGGTGCTACACCTAAACACTTGCGCGCTGCACTTTGCCTTGGCGAAAACAAACACATCAACACAGCAACACACACACCTGCGCCTCGCAGGTCTGCTTCAAGCTTCGCCTTGGTAACCATCAGCCCTCTGACCACCTGGTGTGGCCCTCGCTCATACTTACACACACGCGCATGCCTCTGCACTGCTTTTTGCCGCACAAACAACACCCAACACACACACACCCACCTCTCTAGCTCACTGCGCCTCGCAGGTCTGCTTCAAGCTTCGCCTTGGTAACCATCAGCCCTCTGACCACCTGATCCTCCTTCCTACATACATGATACACCCACGCGCCTGCACTGCACTTTGACTTACAAACACTGCGTAACAAGCACTCCAACAGCACACACCTGCGCCTCTCAAATCGGCTTCAAGCTTCGCCTTGGTATCCATCAGCCCTCTCACCACCTGATCCTTCTCTCCAACGGCGCTTTTCAGCCGTTGGATCTCCCCCTGCGCGGCCGCCAGCTCCTGCCTGAGCGCCACGTGGGTCGCCGCCAGCCGTTGATTCTCCATCAGCAGCTGCTGAATGTCCCCCTGCTGGGCGGCAAGTTTGACTTCTAGCTGCTGCCCGGAAACGTTCTGGGCGGCAGGGGGTTGCGGAACGGGAACAGGCATTCCCTGGGGGGGAGCCGGTCCCCGAACCACCACCTGGACCGGACCCGGACCTGCGAGTCCGGGTTGGAAGCCAGGTCCGGGAACGAACGGAGGTCCGGCCTGGTGAACGATAAACGGCGGCTGACCGGGCGGGCCTTGAAATTGGACGGGCACGGGAGCTTGGCCGGCTTGTCTGGCTTGATAGACGGTTCCGGGCGCGCCGGCCGGCAAGGAAGGGCCGGCGGGATGCTGCGGCTGCGGTGCGGTTTGGATTATGCCGCGCTGCTGCTGCTGATGCTGCTGTGTGTGGCTTGAAGGGGGGTCCTGACGGCTGCGTCGCGAATCTCGCGTCCTGAGCGCCATTTCGTTAATTTTCGCGAAAACTGGTTACAGAGAATCTAAGAGCTGAGGAAGGAAACAGATGAGCCTGTGCAAGAAACCAGGAGGAAAAGGAACGCACGGGAATATAATGACCGAGGAGAAAAATTACGCTGCGTTAATAAACTGTCGAAAATATAGGGAGTTATGAATGAACGAAGGTAGAAGCGTGTCTATCGCGAGGAGATAAAGCGCGGAAGCGGAAGTTGCGCCCGGATGGAGAAACTCGCCCTAGACTCAATCTCAAAGGTTTCCAAAACTTATGTCCCTACATTCATCGCAGACCTCAAATAAATTCGCTAATGACTTTAAGAGATCCTATCGCGTCCAGATTAATCACTAACGAACGAATATCAAAGCTCGGCGATGTCAAGACTCAAGATAGGGCTGAGGGAGCAGAGCCAACGGCCAGATTTTAGGACGTGCTACAACTTATCCGATAGTGAGCTCTGGGAATGCCGGCGGAAAAGGTTGGCGATTCAACGTCCTCGCAAGTGTAACCACCTAGGCTAAATTGGAAATTTTGTGTAAACCAAGAACCTCCATGCAAATCTTTTGGGTAGATTGAGGTGCACACATCAAGCCACTAGCACCTGTGGTTACAGCCCAAAAACACAACAATGCGAACAAACGCGTACAAACAAGCACTAGTTCCGGCAAGAGCCGACCGAACGCACTAGCTAGTTGACTATAAGATGGTTGATTGAAGGCACATGCTAGGTTCGTCGGAGCGAGCAACGACAGCTTGGTTGATTGAAACATGGCATGGAAGTTTGTGGGTAGAGCGGACCAGGAGCAGACCAGGGTTGTGGTGGACCTTGGAAGATGGGATAGGGATGTAAAGGCGTGGATAGAAGATGGGAGCGGGACATGTGGAAAAGGCGTTGACACAGCCCTTGACTTGAACCACCAAGTGATAGGAGTGGTGGTGAAGTCAAACCGTTGATTACAAACGGGGTCAACGGTTGAGATGATGATGCAGCTGAAGAACAGAGCCGTCGCAGCTGTGGTTGATGCGAGATGATGGGGTTTTATGGTTTCTCACTGTCGTGTTGTGGGACATCAGAAACGGGATCAACGGTTGAGATGATGATGCAATGACACAGCTGAACAGTAATCCTGTGCAGTTTGCAGTTGATGCAAGATGGATGGGGTTTGACGGTTTCTCCCTGTCGTGTTGTGGGACGTCACAAAACAGGATCAACGGTTGAAATGATGATGAACCTGAACAGTAATCTCGTCGCAGTTGCGGTTGACGCGAGATGGATTGGGTTTGATGGTTTCCTCATTGTGGTCAAACCAGTTGGCTTGGCGGCTATTGCATACGGTGCAATGTCCAAGGCAGCTACTACCCACACTATATCATCCCCCTCTCTGCCTTCCTCCCCTCCTCCCCTCCAACCCTCCTCTCCTCCTCCCCTTGTCCACTCCACTCCTCCCTCCTCCACTCCTCCCCTCCTACTCCGCTACTCCCCTCGTTTATTGCACATAAGCCACGATCACAGTCACATCGTCCCGCCTCCCCCCCTCGTGATGCACCCCTGCTGCCTTGGCTGCTATTGCATAAGGTGTTGGCTCTGTTGTGCTCTCGCCTGCTTTATGAGCCATCGAAACAAGCTTGCGAGCCACAGACTGGGGAGAGGAAGGATGGGGAAAGGGGAGGTGGGGAAAAGTGGAGGGAGAGGGGGGAAAGGAGGGAAAAGGGGAAACGGAATGGATGGATGATGGTAGTGTATATGAATGGGTCCTAACTCGTAAATTAGTGTGAAGTGCGGCCCCATTGGTCACCTTCTGGCTAGCACATTGCCATTCTCCTTTCCATACATGCTACTAACAATGGATTGCAAATACCTCAGTTTGCACCTACGCTAAACCATCTGCCCTCACCTCTACAGGTGCAGCAACAACTTGTGGCTCACCTCGGGTCCCTTGCCCTCTTGCAGCACACAGCACGCGCACGATGTGTCTGCCCTCCCCTCTCTCTTCTCCCCTCTCGCCTCCCTTGATCCCACACTCTCCCCTCTCACCTCGGGTCTCTTTTGCCCTCCCCCAGCGCAGCGCACAGCACCTTACGTCCCTGCTCTCTGCTCTGCTCCCTTCCCTGTTCCCTGACCTCTCTTCCACTTACCTCAGGTCTCTTGCCCTCGCCCAGCGCAGCACACAGCACGCGCACGATGTGGTCGAGAAAGAGATTGTCAAACAGACAGCCCACCTCTGCCCCTCTTCAACTGCTCGTCCCTGCTCTCTGCCCTGCTCCCTGCTCCCTCTGCCATCAACCCCCAACTGGTCTCACCTCGGGTTTCTTGCCCTCGCCCAGCGCAGCACACAGCACGCGCACAATGTGGTCAAGGAAGAGATTGTCAAACAGACCGTTGGTGGCCAGGAGAATGGCGTCGCCTGCTTGCACGGGGATGGTGTAATCCTGTGAGTGGGATGCCAGGGGGGACAGGGGCGGGAGAGGGAGGGAAGAGGTAGCACAGGAATCAACACACGATGGTGTGACAGCCCGTTGGTTGCAAGTAAGATGGCATCCCCTGCTTGCACGGGGATGGTGTAATCCTGAAAATGTGAGGGGATAGAACGGGAGGGCAAGGGGGGAACAATGGAGGGAAAATCTCCATTGTAGGAACGATGGTGACGAGGAAGAGATTGTCAAACAGCCCGTTGGTTGCTAGAAGAATGGCGTCGCCTGCTTGCACGGGGATAGTGTAATCCTGTGAGTGGGTTGTGGCGAGAGGAAGGGGGGGCGAGGGGGGCACAAGGGAGGGCAAATCTCTATTGAAGACACAATCGTGTCAATAAAGAGATTGTCGAACAGCCGTTGGCGGCTAGAAGAATGGCGTCGCCTGCTTGCACCGGGTTGGTGTAATCCTGCGCGCGAGAGAGGAGAACAGAGCAGAGAGAGGAGAGCAGAGCCATGAAAGGCGAGAAAGAGATTGTCAAACAACCCAACGAAATGGCGATAAGGAGGATCTCTCAGCTTGAATCACCCGCTCATCCCTGCAGCACAAAGCCTCAGCTCCCTATGGCTGAACCAGGGGTTGCTTACTTCGGCTGAGAAAGTGGTACTTACCTTGGCACAATCAGGGCCGTCCCCTGCCTCATGCCCGATTTGGAAAGGGTTGCCAAAAGAGTGCTCCATGCGCTCCGAGCGAATCACGAGCTCGCCTCGCCTCAACAGCACGAAGCCACAGCTGCCTATGCTTGCCACACGGAGACGCTGAGCGGGGGCGGGGCAGTGGTGGGACGGAATGGAGGGGGGGAAGATGGGACGAAAGGGCAGGAGAGCAGCGGCAGTCAGTGGCATTCCTCTCTGAGTGAATTACCAGCTCGCCCCCCCCTCCGCAGCACGAAGCCGCAGCTGCCTATGCTTGCCACTCGCAGACGCTGCAGGGGAAGGGAGGGAGAAGCAGGGCGAGAGAGAGGGAGGGTGTGGGAATGAGAGATGGAAGAGCGAGAATCACTCGTTTTGGCGTACCAGTACCACGCTTGATACCCACTCACATCTTTGTCAAGAACAGCGAGGGTGATGGTGCAGGAACCACGTAGATCAGTGCGGCTGTGGCTCTCCTCAATCACCCCCTTGGGATCCATCGGGTCTAAATCATCGCCCAGCCACAGCAGATGCCACACAACCAGCACGCTCTTTGAGTGACGGTGAAAGAGAGCGCACTCACATCTTTGTCAAGAACAGCAAGGGTGATGGTGCAGGAACCCCTCAAGTCAGTGCGGCTGTGGCTCTCCTCAATCACCCCCTTGGGATCCATCGGGTCTAAATCCTCCTCATCATCATAATACCCATAGTCATAGTCATCCCCCCCCGCCCCTGCTCCGCTCACCACCCCCCCTCCCGCCCCCCCCACGCCCCTCCCCCTCCTTCCCCCCGCCCCGCCGCCCGTGCCGCCCGTGCCGCCCGTGCCGTCCAGACTGCCGCCCATGCCGCCCCTCCCCCTCCTGCCGCCCGCCCCGCCCCTGCCGCCCATGCTGCCGCCCATGCTGCCGCCCGCCGCCGCCCCCCGCCCGACGCCGGCCGAGTCGTTGTGGTCGGAATCCAGCTCAGAGTCGGATCTGCCGCCCTCCAGATGGTCGGCAAACTCGCCGTCGCTGCCGCCGTCCTCGTCACTGTCTGCTCCCTCCTGCCGCGACCGGATCACGTTCACACAGTTCCACATCATCTCTCGGGAATATAGACCGGCGTTGATGCCTGGTGGATGCATGGAAGAGGATACAATGTGGGGAGCAAAAGGAACAGGATCACATTGACGCAGCTCCACATCTTCACCCGGGAATATAGGCCTCCGTTGCTGCCTGGTGGATCCATATGAGAGGGGAGAAGGGAAGGAGGAAGCAGATCAAATTGAGTCGTCAAATACAACCTTCACCACCCTTCATCACCCCTCATCACCCCTCACCGCGCCTCTCACCATCCATCACCACCCCTCATCAACGCTCACCTTGGTCTGTCCACGTGCCAATGCCATCCGCTACGCCCAGCCAGTTGCCCTCCACCAAGTACGCATCGTCACCCCCCCTTGACGCCTGCGCACAACAGTACCACACGGGAGGGACGAATGAAGTGGCCTTGAGAGTGGCAAAATATTTCACACCTCTCACATCACGCCCGGCCAGTTTCCCTCCACCAAGTATGCATCGTCACCACCCCTTGACGCCTGCACAACAGCAAAACAATCGGGTACAGAGTGGGGTTATCGAGGCAGGTTGGGAGACGTCTCAAGGCCACACACACCACGCCCAGCCACTTGCCCTCCACCAAGTATGCATCGTCACCCCCCCTTGACGCCTGCACACACACGACGGTACCATACAGGGAAGAACATAATGAGCTCGTTTCTTTCAGAATCCCAACAAGTGTAACCGAACCGAACCCAATCCAACCCAACCCAACCCAACCTTCAGATACAGCCCCTTATTTAAATTTCTCGAAAACCTAGAGCACAATGTAACTCCGAACACCATACCTTTCCCCTGAAAAAATACTTACTCGGGCAGGGTGCGGCACGCTGTAGACTCCAACCTTCAGCTGCAGTTGATGCAACACCACGTCCTCCTTGCGCTCAGAGGGCTGGATGGCCAGGCTGGAGAGGGAACGGAGGGAGGAGAGGAGAGGGAATGAAGGAATGTCCGGCTCTCAGTTGCCTGATTGCAGCTGGTGCAGAGCAACACCACGTCCTCTTTGCACTCAGAGGGCTGGATGGCCAGGCTGGGGAGGGAATGGGGGCGGAAAAAGGAAGAGAATGGTGAATGCTAGTCAGGGTGGGGCACGCTGTAGACTCCGACCTTCAGCTGCAGTTGATGCAGCAGCACCTCCTTGCGCTCAGAGGGCTGGAGGGCCAGGCTGGGGAGGGAAGAGAGGGAATGAGGCACAGGGAGTTTCACCAAGGTGAATGCAAGGGTGGGGCACGCTGTAAACTCCAACCTTCAGCTGCAGTTGATGCAACACCACGTCCTCCTTGCGCTCAGAGGGCTGGATGGCCAGGCTGGGGGTGATGGAGGGAGGAGAGGAGAGGGAATGAAGAAATGTCCGGCTCTCAGTTGCCTGATTGCAGCTGGTGCAGAGCAACACCACGTCCTCCTTGCGCTCAGAGGGCTGGATGGCCAGGCTGGGGAGGGATGGGAGGGGAGTAAGCAGAGGAGAGGGAACGAAGGGAAGTCTGGATGTTGCTTGCAGCTGCTGCAGGGCAAAACCACGTTCTTCTTGCCCAGGCTGGAGCCTGGATGGAACCACGTTCTCCCTCTGTGCCTGGACGGCCAGGCTGGAGCAAATTCGGGAATTGAGAGGGGAAGAGAGGGATGGGCTCTGTTGAAGGGAATCAGCGAATCTCTGCAAATCACGAATCTGTAATCTGAGGCGTGGAAGCAGAGAGCATACTTTCTGCTTTCCTCCTCATGCAGGCCGGTTTCTGCTGCCTCCTCACGTTTTGAAAGTCGTCTAAAAAATTATCTCTAAGGAGGAGATTGCTCACGAATGTGGAATTTGAGCCGTGGAAGCAGAGAGCATACCTCCTGCTTTCCTCCTCATGCAGAGGGGCTTCTGCCGCCTCCTCTCCTGAAACTGTGCCCCCTTCTTGTGCTAGCGCCTGCCCTGCTTGCTCCTGCTCTGCTGCTCTTGGCTCGGCATAGAACCCCCGTGCTGCGTATTCCTCCTGTGCTCCTTGCTCTTCCAGTGCTTGCGCAAGTGCTCCCTCCTCCCCTTGCGCCGCCGATTGCAGCGCTTCCAGTTCTGACTGCATCACTGGGACTGGAGCAGGGATCGGGAACACCTCCTCTTCTTCTAGAACCACGCCGTTTGGGTAACTGGGAGTGGAATCTGGAAATTGAGAAGCATTGGCGTCCCAACCTGCGTTGTCCCCAACCCTCTGCTGTTGCTCTTCGTATTCGTGTAAGCCCTGCTGCTGCCCTGCATACTCCTGCTGCTGGTCCTCTAGCTGTTGCTGCTCCTGCTGTTGCTGTTGCTGCTGCTGAAGCTCCAGTTGCTGTTGCTGCTGCTCGTCCCACCCCAACTGCACCTGTTGCTGCTGCTGCTGCTGCTGCTGCTGCTGCTGCTCCTTCTGCTGCTCCTCCCACTGTTGCTGCTCCCTCTGCTGCTGTTCCCACTGCTCCCGCTCCCTCTGCTGCTCCTCCCACTGATAATCTCGACTCCATTCAAACAGCCCACCGTCCCCACCCTCCTCCCCTCCTTCTCCCTGCTCCTCCCACTGCTGCTGCCCCTGCAACTGCTGCTGCTGATCCTGTGACTGCTCCTGTGGCTGATGCTGCCCCTGCCGCTCCTGCCATTCCTGCTGCTGCTGCTGCTCCTGCTGCTCCTGCTGCTCCTGCTCCTGCTCCTGCTCCTGCTCCTGCTCCTGCTGCTGCTCCTGCTCCTGCTGCTGCAGCAGCACCTGTTGCTCCCGTTGCACCTGCAGCTGCTGCCGCGCCAGCCTCTCCCTCTCTGCGTCCTGGATCTGCTCTCTGAGGCTCTGCGCCTGCTGCTCCAGCTGAGCCACTCGCGCCTCTGCCTGCTCCCTCGACCCAAACCGGAACACAACCGTGTCCTCCTCGTGCTCTGCTTCAGAGTTGAAAAAGGGGGGGTAAATGGGAGTGGAGAGGCGTGAAGAGAAGGCTTTATGGTGTGCCTGCTGTTTCAACTGCACCCCACTCGCGCCCCTGCCTGCTCCCTCGACCCAAACCGGAACACCACCGTGTCCTCCTCGTGCTCTGCTTCAGTGGAAGGATGGGAGGGGGCATGGATGGGAGGGGGGTTGTGGGGCATGACGGTGGAAGTTGGGAAGAGGAAGAAGAAGAAAAAAAAATCGGGTGAAGTGCACGTAGAGAGCGGGCATGGCAGGAGACAGACAAGAGGCAGAACCTCAGAGGGAGGAAGGAAGCTGGGGGAACGTTGGGAGAGAGGGTGCGGAGACATGGAGAGAGTGGAGAGAGGGTGCGGAGACATGGAGAGAGTGGAGAGAGGGGGTCGGCGAGCACAAGAACAGGATGGGCACAAAAGGGGAGCATACCTTGGACATCAGAAGCGACTTTTGAGGCGCCCTCAACTCAAGGGTAAAATCATGAGGGGTCGGATAAAGAAAGTGAGGGCATACCATGGACGTCAAGAAGCACCCACGCAGCTTCCTCCCCGCCCTCCTCCTCGTCGCTGTAATCCACGAACCCCACGCCCATCACCCCCACACCTGGGTCACTGCCCCCATGCTCGCTACCCCCCGGTTCGCTGCCCTTATGCTCACCCGCCTGCTCCCTGGCCTCATGCCCGGACGCCTGAAACCCCTGCTGCTGCTGCTGCTGCTGGTGCTGCTGCTGCTGCTGCTGCTGGAGTTGCGATTGATCCTGCTGCTGTTGCGAGTGCTCCTGTTGATTCCACACCTGTTGCTCACCTTGGCCCCAACCCCCAGCCTGTAGCTCTTGCTGCTGCGCCGAGTACTCTGCTTGTCGCTGCTGCTGTTCTTGTAGTTGCTCCTGCTGGGCCAAGTACTCTGCCTGCTGCTGCTGCTTCCGTTGTTGAGCAGAGTACTCTGCTTGTTGCTGCTGCTGTTGTTGTAGTTGCTGCTGCTGTTCTTGTTGTAATTGTTGTTGATGGTGGTGCTGCTGTTGGGCCAAGTACTCTGCCTGTGTTTGTTCCTGCTGTATTTGCTGCTGCTTCTGATGCTGCTGCTCTTGCTGTTGGTATTCTGCCTGTGTTTGGTGCTCTTGCCAATGCTGCTCCTCCGTTTGATTATCTTGCTCGCGTTGCTGCTGCTGCCCCTGTTCCTGCCACTGCTGCTCCTCGGATTGTTGTTCCTGCCACTGCTGATCCTCGAATTGTTGCTCCTGCAACTGCTGTTGCTCAGATTGCTGCTCCTGCCACTGCTCTGCCTGTGCTCGTTGCTCTTGGCCTAATTTCGCCTGCTCCTCCTGCTGCCACTGCTGTTGCTCCTCCTGCTGCTGCTGCTCGTGCCGCTGCTGCTGCTCCTCCTCCTGCCGCCTCTGCTCAGCCCACTCTTCAGCCTGTGCTTGTTGTTCTTGCCAGGCCATCGCTTGCCCTTGCCCTAATCTCTCCTTCTCCTCCCCCTGCTGCTTCTCCTGCTGCTCTGCTTGCTGCCTCTGATGTTCAGCCCACTGTTCTGCCTGTTCTTGTTGTTCTCGCCATTGCATTTCCTGCTGCGAGTCAAGCTGCTGCTGTCTTTGCTGTTGCTGTTGCTGCTCAAACTGTTGCTGTTCCAGCTGTTGCTGTTGCTGCTCCAAGTGTTGTTGCTGTTGCTGCTGCTGCTCCAACTGTTGTTGTTGCCGCTCCAACTGTTGCTGCTGATATCCCAACGCCAAGCCCTCTCCTACAGTATACGCGCCAGAACCGAGCGAAACCGCTGCATCAGCTTGAGAATCAGCCTCGGCTGACTCTGCAAAGGGATGATGAGGAGTTCTTTGCGGTGACTCAACCCAAGCGCTTGTTGGCGATTGAGGAGCTTGCAATGAAGCGGTTTCAGGTGCCGACAGGCCTAATGCATCTGATGGTACAGTTGCTGCTTCTTCTGCTGCCGGAACTTCTGGTACTGCTGCTGCTGATACTGTTGCTGCTGCTGCTGCTGCTGCTCCGTCTGCCGCTGAAGCACCTGCGGAACTCGCAATGGGCTGTTCGATAAGCTGCGCCTGCGCGGCTTCTCCTGCATGAGCGCGCCCTGTTGATTCCAAAGTCGCTGCTTCGATTCCATCTACTTCCGCCCCGTGATTCCCCCCATCCGCCCGCGCCTCCGCGCCCTCACGGTTCCGCCCCAAACTCCCCCATTCCGCGGGCCCGTTCGAATCACCGCGGCCCTCGCCGAGATTGCTCCAATCCGCTTCCGCGCGCCTTTCCGCTTCCGAATCCCCCTGCGCGAGCCCCTCTACGTTTTCCGCATCCGAAGACCCCGTGACCGGGCCCACGTAGGCCCTTGCACGGACCCTTCCGCGGACACCTGCGCGGAGATTTGCGCGGGAAGCCCCGCAGTCAATCGCGCGAGCGGTTGAGCGGACATGTGAGCAAAGATGCCCTTGAACGCTCCTTATCGAGGCCTAGAAAAGTAAGGGTGGAGAGAGAGAAAGGGAGGAGAATGAGAGAAAGGGAATGAGGGTAGGATAAGAGAGCGACGCGAAAGGCAACACAAGGGAGAATGAGAACGGATGCTTACAAACATTAAACGTGAATCGAACAGATATGCTTAACGCATGTTATACAGGCAGGACACAACTGCCACGGCTACTTCTTTTTCTAGAGTAAAGCCGCTTACCGATTGGAAGGTTCCAGAAGCCCTGGAAGAACTTTCTGCGAAACAGCTGTTGGAGTTTAATCTGCGAATCGGGAACTGACACGTCGCGCCATCCGACGCACTCCTGGGAATGCGACGGCGAATGTGCGACGAGGGCTGGAGGACGAGCGATGCGATTCCAGCTACTGGCTTCGCAACGGAATACGGAGTCACTAGAAACGAGGATGATCTTTCGAAGAGTCTACATGCGACAGACTTAGTGAATGGTTTTAAGGCTAATCCTGAAAAAGACTTGGTGTGTGGCGAAGGAAATGTTGAGGGTAGCTGCATCTGAGTGGATCGGAAATTGGAACGAGACGGTGTGGAGACGGAAACGAGAGGCGACGAGGAAGTAGACGACGCGTACATGACGGCGGAAGATCCGGAAAGAACTTGGCCCTTAATCGGCGACGATGCGGGAAACGCGGAGGCAGAAAAGGGAGCGGACTCGGTGTTGCTATTTCGTGTCTTTCTTAGCTGCTCCTTGCGATTCGTTGCTGTCCGCGTGTTTCGCAGCCGCTGAGACACACAGAACAAGAGCTTTTACATGCAAGCCATAACAAGATGTTAGTGTAGACGTTTCGTTTTAGGGCTTCATATTCCTTTTACATGAAGCCCTTGCCTAGATGGGTTCTCATAAAGCGCTTAAACTAGACCGAGTCGCATCGGTGACAATGGTGTTATAAAGATCCTCGCCAATCCTGCTAAACCAATCATGATAAGCGGTGACTACGGAGGGAAAAAAATTAGAGATGGGAACTATGAATACGACCACAAAAGAGATCGTAAGGGGAAAAGAAATCAAGCACTGCAAGGAAGCCAGCCTTCTAGAAATCAGGCCTGCTGCAAACCAGTGTCAGAAAATGACCACCATAACCAAACCACCCCGATCGCCATGGATGAGGCATGAATGGCTCCAGGCTCTAGGATGCAGCATGTATGGGTCCAGGTTAGGGAGGGCGATAACCCGTCAACAGTTCATGAGTCGGAGCTCAGACAGGTGAGTAGCGGTTTAGGTCGGTGAGGATGATTTACCGCTGTAAATCGTACAGGAACGTTACTGAATCCTATGTCACCGAACGTTACTTGTGACATCCCCTGAGGCTCGGTTCGGGAATAGGCGGAGAAATTGGCAGCCATGGGGGCGGGAAGCGGAATGGTTGTGGTGTTCAACGCAGGAGCGCGGCGGGCGGGGGAATGGGGGAGAAAAGTTTCCCATACCCCGCCGACCATGGCTGTAAATCGCTAGGCGCGGAAAAGAGCGGCGGGAGGGAGGGGAGCTTGGGGAATGAGGGGAAGGGGGATTGGGATGGGGGAAGAATCTTCGCGGATGCATTTGAATCACGGCGCGGGAGAGTCTGTGGTTCCCTGGCATGCGAAATGTCGAGACCAATCAGGACGAAGGTATTTGCTGGCCTTGAAAACAACGAGGTTCCAGCCGAATTTTCAAGGTTCTACGCGATTCTTGTTCAGAAAATGAACTTAGTCTGTCATACATCTGATAACTGTACTAATACGGTAAGCTAAAACAAAGGAAGCTTTGGCTTCCACAAGCAATAATGTACAACAGACATGCCAATCCACAACAAACGAGTTAGAGGTAAGAACACACAAAACTAATGACGATGTAAATTAGACAAACGCCTAGTTAGGCTGGACTTAGACAAAGGAGGCTGCTGCAAATTCGTTTGCTAGCACTGCAACAACCAAGGGAGGCAAACACAAGCACACACGTGCAAAACATTCATCAGGGGGGGACGGAGGACAAGACAAGGTTGACGTGACCAACAGACTCGCATGGAAACCACATGCAAAGGTGTGTGATTTTACAGCGAAGCATGTTAACCATATCGTGATACGACACACCAATATCACGTCGGCTCGAACACATCAAATCAAATCCTTACCGGGATCCACAGCTTCCTTGGGCCGCCCGCTGATGTCCACTTTGCAGAGCGGACAGCTGGCGTTAATGCGCAGCCACGTGTCGACACAGGATTGGTGGAAGTGGTGGTTGCAGGGAAGCTGTCTCAGCTCCGCCCCATCCTTGTAGTGCCCTAGGCAGATGCAGCACACCTGGTAACCAGGGGCAGAGTAGGGGGAGGGCGGGAGGGGAGAGGGGAGAGAGGAGGGGTATGATTGACTAGACTCAGCTCCGCCCCGTCCTTGTAGTGCCCCAAGCAGATGCAGCACACCTGGTAACCATGCAACAGGAATCCGAAGGGGGAGAGGAGGGGCGGGGGAGGAAAGGGGGGGGGAAAGGGAAGGGGGGGGGGAGGAGGCAGGGGGGTGGGAAGGTGACTGACTTACTTGTGCCTCACAAGCCCCCCCTGCACCACTTACTTCTTGTCACTCCCCTCCCACAGCAGCCACCTCCCACCTCCCACCTCCCACCTCCCACCTCCCACCTCCCACCTCCCACCTCCTACCTCCTACCTCCCACCTCATAAGAACAACAGCAGCTACCATCGTCAAACCACTCCCCGATCCGCAGAGAGAAAGAGCAGAAGCAGAACCTTAGCAGAAGCAGAACCTTAGCAGAAGCAGAACCTTAGCAGAAGCAGAACCTTAGCAGAAGCAAAACCTTAGCAGAAGCAGAACCTTAGCAGAAGCAAAACCTTAGCAGAAGCAGAACCTTAGCAGAAGCAGAACCTTAGCAGAAGCAGAACCTTAGCAGAAGCAAAACCTTAGCAGAAGCAGAACCTTAGCAGAAGCAAAACCTTAGCAGAAGCAGAACCTTAGCAGAAGCAAAACCTTAGCAGAAGCAGAACCTTAGCAGAAGCAGAACCTTAGCAGAAGCAGAACCTTAGCAGAAGCAGAACCTTAGCAGAAGCAAAACCTTAGCAGAAGCAGAACCTTAGCAGAAGCAAAACCTTAGCAGAAGCAGAACCTTAGCAGAAGCAGAACCTTAGCAGAAGCAGAACCTTAGCAAAAGCAGGCGAAGGGAGGATGGAGGAGGAAGGGACTTGGGGGGAAGGGGGCGCGCATGGGGAGAGCAAGACAGGGTGGGGATTGACTTGGCAGGGAGGAAAGGGGATTAGAGGAGCAACTCACCGCATCCTCCCCTTGCACCACCCGCTCCTTGTCTGGCCAGCCCACAGCAACCCCGCCTCCTCCGACGAAGAAACAAGTAACACTAGAGAAACAGGGTGAGAGTGGAACAACTAGCCCAAGAGAAACAGCAGCAACTCACCGCATCCTCCCCTTGCACCACTCGCTCCTTGTCCGTGCCAGCCCACAGCAACCCCACCTCCTCTGAAGAACAGTCACTATCCGACTCCTCATCCCCCCCAACACTACTGCTGCATATGATCTCGCTGCTCCCGCCCCTGCTCCTGCTGCTGCCACTGCTGTATGCTCTCTCGCTCAGCGTGCTCTCCTCTTCCCTGCTTTCCGCTGTCATCGGGCCCTGCTCAGCTGGCTCAGCTGTCTTTCTGTTTGCCGCCAGTGCTTGCTGCGACCGCCTCCGGTTCCTCCTAAGGCTTGGGGAGCTGCTGGTGCTGCTGCCGCTGCTGCTACTGCTACTTGCACTGCTGCCGCCGCTGCTGCTACTGCTGCTCGTGGTGGCACCACCACTGCTTCTGCTGCACCTGCTGCTGCTGGAAGTGCTGCTGAAATCACCACTGCTGCTACTAGCAGGGCTTAGTTCAGGTGTTTTCATCCCCTCACCACCATCACCACCACAATCGTCACCACCATCGCAATCACCTCTGATCTCACCACTCCCCTTGCTGCTCCCCTTCCCACCCCCGCCACTCCCCCCCTTCCTCCTCCGCTTCAGCTCCTTATACTTAAAGCACGGCAGCGAGGCGATCTCGTCAGGAGCAGCGCCTTTAGAAGCTGGAGAAATGGAGGCGATATCGTTATCGAAGCCCATGAGCGTGATGATGCAGGGCAGGCAGCAGCAGATGGTGGCGCAGAGGAGGAAGGGCATGGCGTAGCTGATGCAGCTCAAAGTCAGAAACACCACGCTCAGACTGGATAAGGAGGGGGGGGGGGGTTCGGGGGTGTGGGGAGGGGAGGGGAGCAGGAGCAAGGAGCAGGGAGCAAGGAGGGGAGGGGAGCAGGGAGGCGGGAAGTTGGGAGAGGAGAGGGGAGATGGATGCGATATCGTTATCGAAGCCCATGAGTGTGATGATGCAGGGCAGGCAGCAGCAGATGGTGGCGCAGAGGAGGAAGGGCATGGCGTAGCTGATGCAGCTCAAAGTCAGAAACACCACGCTGAGGCTGCAGAGAGGGGAGGGGGGGTGAGGGATGAGAGAAGAGTGGGTCAAGACAGGCAGGCAGAGGAGGAAGGGCATGGCGTAGCTGGCGCAGCTCAAAGTCAGGAACACCACGCTCAGACTGTAAAGGAAGGGGCGGGTGTGTGGGTAAGGGAGAGAAGGGGGGAACGGGAAGAGGAGAGGAAAAGAGGAGAGAAAGTGAGGGGAGCAGCGCCGTTGGAGGCCGGGGAGATGGAGGCGATATCGTTATCGAAGCCCATGAGCGTGATGATGCAGGGCAGGCAGCAGCAGATGGTGGCGCAGAGGAGGAAGGGCATGGCGTAGCTGATGCAGCTGAGGGTCAGAAAGACCACGCTCAGACTGGTAGCGAGGGGGGGAGGGAGGGAGGATGGGGGATTCTAAGGAGATTGAGGGAGAAAAGAGTGGGTCAAAGCAGGCAGCAGAGGAAGAAGGGCATGGTGTAGCTGACGCAGCTGAGCGTTAGAAACACCACGCTCAGACTGAGAGGAAGAGGGGGAGGGGGAGAGCGGAGGATGCGGCTTTGTATAGACTCAAAGCAGCCTTGGCGGCCAGACGGGACGGCAATAAGAAGCCCATATATGTTGTCGTGTTTCTCACTAGTAGCACATTTACATCATTATTAACTGGTACACTTTCACACACTTTCACGATGGCCGGCCGGTAGTGTTAGCATCTGGAGTATTTATTGAAAAAGGCTTCTAAAGTATACATCACTCACTTGTACACTCCCGGGGCAGTCTGTGCAACAGAGTTGGCACCAAAAATTCAGATATTGCCAAGTACAAACCAGATTGTAGAAAAACTCCTTCACTCCATCGAGTTTCTCATTAGTAGCACATTCGACATAGTCACTCACTTGTACAGTCTTGGGGCGGCCTGGGTGGCGGAGTTGGCGCCAAAGACCCAGATATTCCCGAGCAGAGCACAAACCACACTGCAAAGAAACCCATTTACTCTGGCTTGTTCTTCCCTTGTAGCACCCTCGACATAGTCACTCACTTGTATAATCTTGGGGCGGCATGGGCAGCAGAGTTTGCGCCAAAGACCCAGATATTGCCGAGCACAAACCAGACTGCAAAGAAGCCCAGTTCAACAATCTTGTTCAAACCGTCTTGTTTCTCATTAGTGGCACGTTTGATATAATCACTCACTTGTACAATCTCGGGCCGGCCTGGGCGGCAGAGTTGGCGCCATAGACCCAGATATTGCCGAGCACAAACCACACTCCAACAAATCCCACTTTTTTTGTGTTGTGTTGTTTTGTTTTGTTTTTTTTTCAGTAGGAGCACTATTGACATAGTCACTCACTTGTAGAGTCTGGGGGCGGCCTGGGCAGAAGAGTTGGCGCCAAAAACCCAGATATTGCCGAGCACAAACCACACTGCAACAAATCCCACTTTTTTTGTGTTGTGTTGTTTTGTTTTGTTTTTTTTTCAGTAGGAGCACTATTGACATAGTCACTCACTTGTAGAGTCTGGGGGCGGCCTGGGCAGCAGAGTTGGCGCCAAAAACCCAGATATTGCCGAGCACAAACCACACTGCAAAGAAGCAGTCTACTGAGACCTTGTATCGCTCCATCATCACCACCAGCCTGGGAATTGGGGGGAGAGGGAAGGGAAGGAGGAAAGTGAGAGAGGGAGTGTGAGTACACTGTACTCTGCGACTTTCACCTGGGCTGACTAAACTGCAAAGAAGCAGTCTACTGCCACCTTGTATCGCTCCACCATCACCACCAGCCTGGCATCAAAGCAGGCAGGGAGAGGGAAAAAACGGAGGGAAGAGGAACGGGAAGGGAGGGAATATGTGTGAGCACAAACTAGACTGCAAAGAGCAGTCTACTGCCACCTTGTATCGCTCCACCATCACCACCAGCCTGGGAAATATTTGACCGAGGGAGGGGTGGGGGAGACGGAAGGATGTGGAAGGGAGCAGGAAAGGAAGGGAGGGAGGGAAGCGGGAAGGAGGAAATGCGTGGGGCTGACTGGAACAAGAAGCAGTCCAGTGCGACCTTGTATCGCTCCACCACCACCACAGGGATTGGGAGGGGAAGATAGGAACGGTAGAGGTGTACAAATCTGCATGAGGGAGGTAGGGTGATAAGGGAGGGATGGGAGAGGGGGAGAAAACACCTGACAAAAAAAAAAAAAAAAAAAACCCACCTGGATTCGTCCCGCCAGTCATCAGCAATGTCATTCAAAAACCGCCACATGCACCCCCACCACCCCCTCCCCTCCTCCCCCCAATTCCGCTGCACCATCTCCCCCGCCGCCACTGCCCTTTCCGCCACGTAGCTCTCCCAGAACCGCGCGCTCTCATCCCTCCGCCCCGCGCCCTCCCCATTCGCGCCTACGCAGTGCGCATCTCCCCCAGTGCCCCCCGCCCTTCCCCACGTGCCCTCCGCGCTTCCCCCTGCGCCCCCGCCAACTGCTCTGGTCGCCTCTCCCTCCCCAACTATAAGCTGCCCCGTTACAAGCTGTCCTGCTACAGGCTGCCCCGCTACAGCCTGCCCTGCTACAGCATGTCTCGCTACAAACTGCCCCGTTACATTCTCCGCTGCTGCAACGGGCGGCTGCAGCGCCTCTGCTGACGCAAGCGTTACGGTCTGCGGACAAGAACATGCGAGCTCAAGCAGCGGAGACTGGGCTGAGACACGTGGCGCTATGTTATTGGTTGATTCTTGTGGCGTGTGCGACGGGGAAGAACAAGGGAATGGGGAAATGGATGGTGATGGGAGGGGGTCATTATGCTGCTGCTGCAGCAGTAGCTGTTCTTGACGCTGCTGTTGCAGCTGCTGCTGCCGCTGTTGCTGCTGCTGCTGCTGCTCCTCCAGCTGCAAGCGCGACAGCATTTCAACGCGCTGCCTAAACTCTTCCTCCCGTTGCCGCTGCTCCGCAGACCGATTCTGCAGCGATTGCTGACGGTAAACCTGACGAATCGGGGGGTTCACGTAAGCCTCGGCGCTCTGCGAGTGATGTCGGGTGTATCTATGCGTGTACCTCCAGTACAACAGTGGCAATAACAGGACACACCCTAACGCGTATCCCAGCACCCACGCGCGCAAGGGCACAGGCGGCTTTTCATCCATCGACGCGAAAACAATGAACGCCGTCGCGATTATCTGACCCAGGAGAAAGACAAACTCCGCCGCCACCCAGAGACCCGAGTTCAGCGGGCTCGTGCGAACGCGCCGGCCGGCGAATCTGGAACGGCCGGCAGCCTGCACGTTAGGTCTTGACGGCCGGCGCGGCAGCTGCTCGCCCCAGTCGCCCAGATTTGATGCTCCCAACCCCTGCTGCTGCTGCTGCTGCGACTGCTGCTGCAGGTGATACGGATGGCGCGGGTGATACGGTAAATGCGGATACTCCTCCCTCTGCGGATAACGCTCCAACCCCTGCTGCTGTGAATCTTGAGAATGAAGTAGACCCTCATCCTCTTCCGCTTCCCCTTCCGCTCCGCCTTCCCCCGTCCAAAATCCATTCACCGCACTTTCCAGGAAGTCTCTTCGAGCCCCCCAGCCCTCTCTGCTCCCCGCAATCCTCGCCGCTGGAAGCGCGCGCCACCGCTCTCCGCTCCCAGCAACCCCCCCGAGTGGGAAGCTGCGCGACGGAAGCGCGCCGAGCTCAGCTCCCAGCTCCGTGGACTGCGTGTCCAGCGCGAAGGTAGGGGGAATGGCGGAAGAAACGGCGGAATCCGCGGAGGCGAGAAGTTGCGCAAACCCGCCTTCGCCATCCACGTCCAGCCGCACGGGAGGCGGAGAGGCGAAGCCCGGAACGGCATGCAATGTATTGCTAGAAAGACAAGGCACGCCAGCGACATCATTTGAAGTCAGCTCCTGCAGAGGCGACGCTGCTATTGGCGGAGGAAGCGGCGGGAGCGGCGACGCGACATCTGGCTCAGATGTCAACCCTGGGATTTTCTTCAAGGGCGAGTTGGCGGCGATTTGGATGAGATGGTCTGACGCGGGGCACGGCCATGGCGTCGACATTGCCTGCGATTCGCCGGCGGTGGAAGAAGCGGCGTCGGGCGTTTGAACCGATTGGAATTGGCCGTCGATGAGGGAAGCTGGAGGCGAGGAGTTGGACATGTCTGGTTGGTGAGGGTTGCTGGAGGAGGCCATATTGCGGAACGGGGGGAATATACTCGTACTTGTTCGTGTTTCGAGAAATGTTTGAATCAGCACTCGCGACTCGTTCTTTGGGGTCAGAGGAACTAGTAAGGCCGAGTGGGAGAGAGAATGCTGCGAGATATCATACACGAATGAATTATTGTGCTTCAAGACAAAAGCTGGTAACAGGTGAGAATATCCAACGAGGAGGAGATAAGACGGATTGGTATATACATTGGATTTAGTAGGAAAATCAGGGCCGGCAACCTGCCCCTAACTCACGGCTCGCGTGGTGCGTAGTGAGCGAGGAAGCAGGAGCAGAGTAGCTAGAACATTGTTTGGACCTGCATGAAGCGCAACAAAATATTGCATTCACTGCATTCCATGGCGTTTATCGTTGGGCTCTGAAGGAAGAACCACCCTGGGCTTTGCTTCCTGGCACGGCATGGCAGGCACCCCGGACCTCGGTGTTACCAGATTGCACGGCTTTCTAGTTCCAGACCGGACCTTGGTCTTACCAGACCAGACCAGAGCTGGCTGGGAGAACGAGCCTGAACTTTGCCCCCAGCGCCTGGAGCCTGCAAATACCTAAGCTTTTCAAACCGGACCTTGGTGTTACCAAACCGTCAGGCTTCCTGACCAAACCTTGGGCTTGTACCTGGACCGAGGTCAAGGAATCTCATGAGTTTCCCGAGGCAAAATGACATTTTGTTTCCAGGCTGCCGAACTTGGCATGCCTGCTTCGGTCAGTGCTTGTTCGTCCAGGTTTGGGTGCCAGAGCGCCTGGTTGGGGGTGACCGCTTTGAGAAATATCGACGGTCGGATAAGGTGGAAGATGAGTCTGGGTCGTATGGACGACGTCGATGACTGTTATGTTCTCTCCGGGGCAGAAAGAAGTTAAGATTTGGCCAATGGAGAAAGGCCCAGGGCATGGGGGAGGTCGGGCTTGGGTGGCGTAGGTTGATTGCTTGGGCAAGGAATTTCAAGTGGCGGCAGTTTTACCGAGTGCGACAATCTTGTGACGTGGCCCTTGTGGTTGCTGATGGATTGAGCGCAAAGTGATAGGCTGGCGAAACGATCATGTTGGTCTCACGTTTTTTACCTGTGTCGCTCGCAGAATCTTGGACAAAGGGAACAGAGTACGACGAAATGAGGCTGCCAAAACAGTCGCACAAGAGAAGCCAACATCCACAACGAAGCGGTGGAGGTCGTGCATGAGTTCGCAAGTGAGGTTACCACATGGCATGGACAGATTTACAGTCAGCGATGGAATTTGACTGGATGCGTTTGTCCACCGAGCGAATCGCGAGCTTCCAACGCAGCGGCGCGCTGCACCCATCCGCGGCTGTTTCGACTGGCCGTGAAGAAGCAAATATTGGAGGTTGTAGGGGGAATTGTTGTGACTACGTCAAACCATAGCAGGGCCCTGCCCCAAGTACATTATTCTCGCAAATGATAAACCAAGACTACATGAACATCACTGCTCGTTTATGCTTGACAGCCTTCCTAAAAAGGTTCCGGGTGGGGTGGCAGGAAAAATACACAATAGGGTAAATGAAAAGGATGTGATCAAGTACTTGCCCATGAACAACTCCCTCTGGAATCCCGAGGAGCACTTTTAGCTACTGCAAGTTTCACATGATGGACAATTGTTCAGCTCATTATTGAGTTGGATTAGGGCTTTTCCTAGCGTCATGTCATCCGGTGTTTTCCGACTCGAGATTCGGGTTTTCCGACTTGGATATGGTGAGCCTCGGTGAGTTGTGTCTTAGAATCTTAGGCATAAAGTTGTGTGATTAGGTCAAGTTTGGGGTACAAGTCTAAAGTGTCGAGAAAGTTTTGTGTACCCTCTAAGGCTAGCCCCAATATAGCCTAGATACTAATATGCATATGTTTTGACACACCCCCATAGGCGAAGTGGGGGATAGCCAGCACAAGGGGTCACAAGACCAGTCAAGCAAAGCAAACCAAAGCAAAGCTCAGGGTGGATCACAACGTCACCACACATTCTGAGCAAAGGTTCAAGGCCTCAAGGCCAGTTCACATGCAGGATGATATATAGAGGTAAACAAACAAGAGCAGGTATATATAAGACACAGTACAAGCAAGGTCAAGAAGTAAGCAAGTGAGGCCAAGTAGGCACAAGACCTAGCATAGTACAAAAGCGCTGATGATCGCAAGGCGGAAGAGCCTTGGTGAAGATATCAGCAGTGTTGGCCCGAGTGGCCACGTAAGCAAGGCGCAGCTGACCACGCTGCTGCAGCTCACGAGCAAGGAAGTAGCGAAGAGCGATGTGCTTCGTTCTGTGCTCCAGTCTGTGCTCCTGACACAAGGCAAGCATGGCCTTGTTGTCTACGTACAGAACTGGAGGAGAACGAGGCGGCTCTCCAAGGTCAGTCAGCAGGTAGGTGAGCCAGCGTAACTCCTGTGCAGCCATGGCTCCTGCGTGAAAGGTGTAACCCTGTGACGACCGCTGCGTAGCCAGGTCGTCGACCCAAGACGCGTCTGCGTGACCCGTGAGGACCACTCGACTCCGCCCTCCAAGCACGAGCCCCATGCCCGACGTACTGCACAAGTAGCGCAACACCCTCTTCGCTGCAGCCATGTGCTCTGGTCGGTGTCTCCCAGGAGCAACATAGCGTGCGAGTATGCTAAGAGGGTAGGCCAGGTCAGGTCGTGTGCAGGTCATCAGGTACATGAGGCAGCCAACAAGCTCTGGGTACGGGCCACTCAGCTCTACGGACTCATCCGAAGGCAGAGCTGAGAGCGAGTGGCGAGTAGACAGAGGAGTGGCCTGAGGCGAGGAGTACGTGAAGTCGAAGCGCTGAAGGATCTGCTGCACCATGTGTGACTGAGTCAGGGTAATGGTGCGCCGTGCTCTGTCCCGAGTGATCTGCAGGCCAAGATAGCTGCGCAGTTCACCCAGGTCTGTGCACGTGTGTCGCTTCTGCAGCTCGGACTTCACGTAGGCGAGTCCAGCAGTGTCAGCTGTAGCAAAAACCAAGTCGTCGACGTACACGAGGATGTAGAACGGCGGCAAAGAGGTGTCGGTGCGTAGAAACAGCGACGGGTCTGCAGTAGAAGGAGCAAACCCAAGAGCCGCAAGCGTAGTCCTCAGTGTGTCGTGCCACTCACGCGGCGCCTGGCGGAGACCGTAGACTGGCCGCCGGAGGCTCCACTGGGTACCAGGAGGAAACGACCCAGTGAAGCCAAGTGGGCGGCGCAGCCAGATCTCCTCGTGCAGGCTGCCCTGTAGGAAAGCTGTGCTGAAGTCTAGAGAGTGTGAGCGGCTATGTGTAGCAGCATCCGAAGAGTGGTCATCTTCGGGGTGGGAGAGAAGGTCTGAAAGTAGTCAACTCCCTGCCGCTGACTGAAGCCTCGAGCTACGTAACGCGCCTTGAAGACAGGCGGAGAACCCGGCGGCCGCTTCACCCTGAAAATCCACATGCCACTGACGATGTTCGCCCCAGGTGGAGGAACCTCGTCAACGTAGATGCCTGTGGACTTCCAGGAAGCCATCTCTGCATCCATGGCTGCCTGCCACTGAGAGGAGTAGGGACCCTCTATCGCCTCCGCGTAAGAGCGCGGAGTCGGGATGTCTGGTGCATCCGGGTCTCCCTCAGGGGCAAGCAGCGAGGACACAAGATGAGGTAAAGCAGCAGCAAGACACTGGAACTCCTCCTGCCTGTCCTCAAGGACGTCCGTGCTAAGAGCACACTCACCCCCGATGGACGGAGGACAGACAGACTCAGACTCAGCAACAAGACTAGCGGCGTAGTCTAGACGACAGGCAGCAGCAAAGTCAACAAGCTCTCCAACCAAGGCAGACGCAGCAGTAGACTCAAACGACGGGTCAGTGACAACAGTGGCTAGGAGACGCGTGACAGTAGGGTGCTCAGTACGAAACCGGTCAGACTCAGGGTCCAGAACGGCAGGCAGAGAGGACGCAGGGGGAGACGGCAGAGGAACAGGCTGCGGAGCAGAGGAAGGACGACGGACAACAAGGTGTGCGCTGGGGACAGCCGGCTGACGCGCACGAGCGACACGACGAACGGTACGACCAGAACGAACAGGCGAGACAGGACGCGACACAGGCTCACGACGCGTAGCAGGACTGCCTGTCTGCTCAGTGTAAGGAGAGGGAGCAGGTAGCGGTGAGCCAGTCTGTAACGGAAGACCAGTAGACGACGGGAGAGTAACAACCTGACGAAGAGCAGAGTCAGGCGGCGGCAGAGACGACGGAGACGGCGGAGCGAAGAACAGTCGTGTCGGCGCAGCTGCACCAGTACCAGCAGCTCCAGCAGCTCCAGTACCTCCAGCAGCTCCAGCGCCTCCAGCAGCTCCAGCAGCTCCAGAAGCTCCAGCCGCAGAACCGGTACCTCCAGCGCCAGCAGCTCCAGAACCAGCGTCACCAGCAGCCGCACCCCCAGAACCGGCACCTGCAGTCCCAGGGTCTCCAACCGCAGTGTCTCCCGTAGCAGCACCCCCAGAACCAGCACCTCCGGTCCCAGGGTCTCCAACCGCACTGTCTCCCGCAGCAGCACCCCCAGAACCAGCACCTCCAGTCCCAGGGTCTCCAACCGCAGCGTCTCCCGCAGCAGCACCCCCAGAACCAGCACCTCCAGTCCCAGGGTCGCCAGCCTCAGTGTCTCCAGCAACGGCACCTCCAGGCGCAGCACCCCCAGCCCCAGCAGCTCCAGTACCTCCAGCAGCAGAGCCCCGGGCTCCAGCAGCGCGACGCTGACGGCGACCGTACCAGTCGTGCAGCTGCTGAGTGGTGAGAGGCACACGCGGACGAAGGCGGCCACTCCAAGGAGACCGCGCACCAGCAGTCCCAGTACCCTCAAGCGTCTCACCTCCAGACTCAGCACCCCCAGACTCCGCACACACAGGCTCAGTACCCCCAGACACAGCACCCCCAGGCGCAGGACCTCCAGTCTCCTCACGCGCAGGCTCAGCACCCCCAGACTCCGCACCCCCAGACGCAGCACCTCCAGGAGCACCACCCCCAACAGCACCAGAGTCAACAGGAACCGGCTGCAGAGGCGGCGAAGAAGGTCGCGGAGGGAACCCCGGAGGGGTCTCCAAGCGTGGTGCGCGGCGGTAGGCCGCCGGGGCGTCAGCAGCAGCGTCACCCCCCTCAGGTGGGCCAGAGGTGTCGGAAGTGACCTCCAAAGGCTCAGCCAAGGGGGGGGGGTCTACCTGAGACACACCTGAAGGAGCAGGACCCTGAGGGGGGAGGGGGTCTACCGGGGGGGGACCTGGCGTAAGGAAGAGCGGCGGGGGGGGAAGAGGGGCAGTGCGGTAGGGGAAGAGACGGTAGTACGGAACCGACTCGTCAAACGTGACGTCCTGGGAGGACAGAACACGGCGCGAGGTGGGATGGTAAAACTGCCAACCAGGCGCGTCAGGGGGGAAGCCAAGGAAGACGCAGGGAACAGCACGGGAGGACAGCTTGTCCGTAGACAAGTCTCGGACAAAAGCCCGAGATCCCCAGACACGGAACGCAGACGCATCGCCAACCTTCCCCGTCCACAACAGAGTGGGGGAGGTCCCCGGCATGTAGACTCGGGGCTGAAGGTTGATCTGACGCGCCGCGTACTGAACCGCAAACGGCCACAGAAAATGGGGAGCAGCCGCATGGATCATGGACGTACGAGCGACATCCATGACCATGCCAATGCGGCGCTCAGCAATCCCATTTTGCTGTGGAGAGGCCGGAAGCGTGAACGTCTGGCGGATGCCCCTCGCACGACAGAAGGCTCGCAGAGGGCCGGAGGAAAACTCCCCACCTCTGTCTGAGTGCAGACGCAAAACAGGAAAGTCCGAGCGGAAACTCTTCCTGAGCTGGACGAGTAGCGCGGGTCCAGTCGATCAACACCTCAGTGACCTCATCCTTGCGGCGCAAGGGGAAGACTGTGGTGTAACGCGAGTAGTCGTCAACCACCAGCAGGAAGTAACGCTCATGACCCTGTCCACGGACGCGGGCTGGGCCCCACACGTCCATGTGAAGAGTCTGCAGCGGAGCCTCTGTCGGCGGAAACTCGGAGGAGTGAGGAGCGGCGCGCTGCCGCCCCTCGACGCAAGGAACGCAGGTAGGGGCAGGCCCCGGGGGGAGGGGAGGGAGCGACCGGGGAAGACCAGAGACCAGGACACGAGAGGCCATGCCTCGGAGACGAGGCAGGGAGGGGTGACCAAGACGGTGGTGCCAGAGAAGAGTCTCGTGGGACAGGAGGCGACACGAGCAGGGGGCAGACTCAGGACCAGACCGAGACGCCGCAGCAAACACCTGACCCGACGCAGCTACCTGACCAGGCACAGCAACCGGAGGAGACTCGGTAGTGAGGGTGTACAGGCTCGACCCCGGCCGACGGGTAAACGTGGCCAAGTGTCGGCCCGTGTCCGCACACGTGCAGTGGGTCACCCGCTGACGCGCAGGGGTGAACTGGTCAACCCCCCCATCCTGTAGGTCAGCACCCGCCACCAAGTTCGTAGAGAACGAGGGGAGGTAAAGACCCGACAGGGAGCCAGACGGGACCGCTGGACACGGTAGTACAGTGGAGTAGTGGGCAAGAACAGGACCCCCAGAGGGGTCTGCCAGGGAGACCGCAACCGGCCGACTGAGCGGCGTGAGAGTGGTGCAGTCTCGAAAGAAGGAGCGGGAAGCACCCGAGTCAAGGGTGAAAGTGTGCGACGCCGGAGCAGACGTGGTACCTGAGAGAGCAGACTCACCAGCACCTGGAGCAGCAGACTCACTAGCACCTGGAGCAGCAGACTCACTAGCACCTGGAGCAGCAGCTGCACCGCCCGGGTCGGGCGGAGCACTCAGGGAACAGTCACCGACATCACTAGTAGACAATGCATACATGGCAGTGAGGATAGCATCAAAGTCAAGAGCATAGATATCTACCCTCTGCCGGAGCAGCTCCACCCAGTCGGGGAGCTCAGCCGCGTCGCCAAACTCTGTACGCCAGGCGTCGCTCAGACTGGCGAAGCAGCGGGACTCTGTGTGACCAAACGTCCCGCAAGGCTGGCCAGTCCGAGCACCAGTGCGAATGACGTACGGGCAGCGAGCAGAACCCCGTGACCCCCCCCGCTGAAAGTACCACTCATGAAGCTGCGGGGGCGAAGGGACCGCGCGCACACGACGCTGCAGCTGCACCTGGCCACTACAAGAAGCCCCGAAACTACTTATGCCAGAACGACTCCCACGACGGCCACCCCGACAACCCCAGCGAGCGTACCACTCATGAAGCTGTGGGGGCGTGAGGGACTCACGCGGACGGCGCTGGAGCTGCATCTGGCCACGCCAGGAGCAGCAGGAGCAGTAGAGAGGGGAGGAGCCGTAGGGGCAGCACGAACAGTAGTAGCAGCAGTAGCAGCACTAGCAGCAGTAGGAGTAGAAAGAGCACTAGCCGCAGGAGCAGCAGTAACAGCAGTACGGGCAGGACAGTGCTCACCAGTGGCAAGAAAGGTAGGCGTACGACGGCTGCAATGGCAGGGCCGGCACCACTGTAGGGCGAGGGCTCCGCGGCAGCTGCAGGGGCCAGCTGCTCCAGGGGCAGCTGCTCCAGGGGCGGCTGCTCCAGGGGCGGCTGCTCCAGGGGCCAGGGGCGGCTGCTGCAGGGGCGGCTGCTCCAGGGGCCAGGGGCGGCTGCTGCAGGGGCGGCTGCTCCAGGGGCCAGGGGCGGCTGCTGCAGGGGCGGCTGCTCCAGGGGCCAGGGGCGGCTGCTGCAGGGGCGGCTGCTCCAGGGGCCAGGGGCGGCTGCTGCAGGGGCGGCTGCTCCAGGGGCCAGGGGCGGCTGCTGCAGGGGCGGCTGCTCCAGGGGCCAGGGGCGGCTGCTGCAGGGGCGGCTGCTCCAGGGGCCAGGGGCGGCTGCTGCAGGGGCGGCTGCTGCAGTGGCCTGGGACGGCTGCTGCAGGCGCGGCTGCTGCAGGGGACTGGGGCGGCTGCTGCAGGGGCGGCTGTTCCAGCGGCGGCTGCTGCAGGGCTGCGAAAGAGCGGCGTGGGGGGCCGCGAGGGGCCGCGACAGACCGCAGAGGAGCCGCGACGGGCGGCTAAGGGGCCGCGACGGGCGGCTAAGGGGCCGCGACGGGCGGCTAAGGGGGGGGGGGGGGGGGGGGGCGCGACGGGCGGCTAAGGGGCCGCGACGGGCGGGTAAGGGGCCGCGACGGGCGGGTAAGGGGCCGCGACGGGCGGGTAAGGGGCCGCGACGGGCGGGTAAGGGGCCGCGACGGGCGGCTAAGGGGCCGCGACGGGCGGCTAAGGGGCCGCGACGGGCTAGGGAGGGGCCGCGACGGGCGGCTAAGGGGAGGAAGCTGGGCGGGCCGAGGAAAAGCACGAGCCGCGCGGGCGGCTGACGTGGCGCGCGGGGCCGAAAACGGGCCTAAACGAAGAGCGCGCGGGCTGCTCAAGTGGCGCGCGTGGAAAAAAAAAGGGGCCGCGCGCGTGCAGTCGAGGCGCGCGCGGGCAGGAGGCAAGGCAGGTGAGGTAACGTGGTAACGGTGGGCCCTTATCTTAGGTCCTAGAGACCTCTAGGCTCTAGATACCATCTTAGAATCTTAGGCATGAAGTTGTGTGAGATTAGGTCAAGGTTGGGGTACAAGACTAGAGTGTCGAGAAAGTTTTGTGTACCCTCTAAGGCTAGCCCCAATATAGCCTAGATACTAATATGCATATGTTTTGACATCGTGTTCTTGAAACTAGATTTGCCCTGAGTGAAAGTTTCGTCGAGCTGCTATGCGACATTTGTGGTAGCACAACAACATCAACAAATACAGACACGTTGAACATTGCAGTAATTAATTTAGTAGCGCGTTTTGACCCGAGCAGCATTACAGCTCGTATCTTCCCAAAAGTTTGGATCATACAAAGCGGATGACCCAAACCCAGGAATACGCCCTAACTTCTCTGTGATGGAGTAGATACGGAATTCGCTTGTCGGGAATATACAGGAGAACAACTTTTTATTTCATGTATGGTACATTATGCCATCGTTGTAACACGCCTACACGTACATACCAAGTTAATCATAGGCTATGTATGACCCACTTGACCCTGCCACTTTTCCCCGCCACAGAGGTACCGCACTTGCTCCTCTTCCCCCTCATCCTCCACCCCTTGCCACTGGCAAATGTAATGGCTCAATCACCCTTCCGCATCTTCCCTTACAACACCAGCACCACCTCCTCACTCCTCGTATCCCCATTGTGCTGCTGCCCCTCCTCCTGCCAATGCTCCTCCCCCTGCCAGTGCTCCCTCCACAGGGGTACTTGCTCCTCTCTCTCCTCATCCTGCTCTGCCTGTTCCTGTTCCTCCTGCTGCTGTTGCTGTTGCTGCTGTTGCTGCTGCTGCTGTTGCTGCTGCTCCTCTTGCATTTGAAGCATCCTTTGATTCCCTGTACCCATCTCCCCTGCACGTACCCCTCCTGTATCCACCTCCCCAATTCCCACCTCCCCCGCATTTCCGTCCCCTCTATCCGCCTCTCCTGTTCCCATCTCCCCTAAATCCGCCTCCCCTGTAACCACCTCCCATGTAATCCCCTCCCCAGCACCCCCCTCCCCTGCATCTACCTCCCCTTCCATTTCCCCTGGATGCACCCCCCCTGTACCCACTTCCTCTGTTCTCACCTCCCCAGCAACCCCCTCCCCTGCATCTACCTGCCCTTCCATTTCCCCTGCATGCACCCCGCCGGTACCCACTTCGTCTGTTCCAACCTCCCCCGCATCTACCTCCCCGACATCAAGCACGAAGGCTGCTCCCTTGCACACGGGGCACACGGGGTGCTTCACAATCCAGTTCACTATGCACTCCGAGTGATATGCTGGGATAGCAGGAGAGCGGGGGGTAGCGGGAGAGAGGGGGATAGCGGGAGAGAGGGGGATAGCGGGAGAGAGGGGGATAGCGGGAGAAAGGGGGAGAGCAAAGAGGGGAGAGAGGAAGAGACGGAACACTCATGCTGCTGCGCCCTTGCAGACTGGACACACGGGGTGCTTGACTATCCTATTCACTATGCACTCTGAGTGGTATGCTGGGGATAAAAAGGGGGGAAAGGGGGGGAAGTGGAAGGCAAGAGGGCAGAATGAGGTGAGGGCTCCCTTGGACACGGGGTGCTTGACTATCCAATTCACTATGCACTCCGAGTGATATGCTGGGGATGGGGACAGCGGGAGAGGGAGGGAGGGAAGAGGGGCAAGGCAGCAAGGGAGAAGAGCACGTGTAAGGCTGCCCCCTTGCAGACTGGGCACACGGGGTGCTTGACTATCCAGTTCACTATGCACTCCGAGTGATATGCTGGGGATAGGGGGGTGGGGGGAGAGGCAAGGAAGGCAGCAGGACAGAGGGACAGGTGGGATGGAAAAACCCTCATTCTTACAGCCCTTACACACTTAAGGCGCTTCGCAGGTGCGCGCAGTAAGTGAGATCACTTATTTTGAGCCCAGGAAGTGAGATCACTTATTTTGAGCTCAGGAAGTGAGATCACTTATTTTGAGCCCAGGAAGTGAGATCACTTATTTTGAGCCCAGGAAGTGAGATCACTTATTTTGAGCCCAGGAAGTGAGATCACTTATTTTGAGCCCAGGAAGTGAGATCACTTATTTTGAGCCCAGGAAGTGAGATCACTTATTTTGAGCCCAGGAAGTGAGATCACTTATTTTGAGCCCAGGAAGTGAGATCCAGACATAGCGCAGTGAGCTGCGTGCGTGCAGTAGCCTCATTCTTGCAGCCCTTACACACACGGGGCGCTTGGCAGGTGAATTTTGAGCTTAGGAAGTGAGGAAAAACGGAAAGAAAAGAAAAGGGAGAGAAGCGAGGACTTACAGTGGGAGCACGGAAGGAAGCACACGCTTTGCCCCTCGTCAAAATCGCACAGGCAGATGGGACAGAAAAAGGTAACAGACAGAAGGACGGAAACAAGAGAGAAAGCAAGAAAGCAGAAACAGGAACTCACAGTGGGAGCAGGGAAGGAAGCACACGCTCTGACCCTTGTCGAAATCGCAGAGGCAGATGGGACAGAAGAAGGTAACAGACAGAAGGACGGAAACAAGAGAGAAAGCAAGAAAGCAGAAACAGGAACTCACAGTGGGAGCAGGGGAGGAAGCACACGCTTTGACCTTTGTCAAAGTCACACAGGCAGATGGGACAGAAAAACTCCTCCTCCCCTCTCCTGCGCCTGTTGAAGCACCTCAAAAAGGGCGAGAGGGCAACTTACAGTGGGAGCAGGGGAGGAAGCACACGCTTTGACCTTTGTCAAAGTCACACAGGCAGATGGGACAGAAAAACTCCTCCTCCCCTCTCCTGCGCCTGATGAAGCACCTCAAAAAGGGCGAGAGGGCAACTTACAGTGGGAGCAGGGGAGGAAGCACACGCTTTGACCTTTGTCAAAGTCACACAGGCAGATGGGACAGAAAAACTCCTCCTCCCCTCTCCTGCGCCTGTTGAAGCACCTCAAAAAGGGCGAGAGGGCAACTTACAGTGGGAGCAGGGGAGGAAGCACACGCTTTGACCTTTGTCAAAGTCACACAGGCAGATGGGACAGAAAAACTCCTCCCCCCCTCTCCTGCGCCTGTTGAAGCACCTCAAAAAGGGCGAGAGGGCAACTTACAGTGGGAGCAGGGGAGGAAGCACACGCTTTGACCTTTGTCAAAGTCACACAGGCAGATGGGACAGAAAAACTCCTCCTCCCCTCTCCTGCGCCCCTGTTGCTGCTTTTGATTCGACTCAAAAGTCAGGACTTACAGTTTGAGCAGGGAAGAAAGCACACGCTTTGCCCCTTGTCAAAGTCACACAGGCAGATGGGACAAAAAGAAGCAGACTGAAGATTAGGTTAAGGGAGGGAAGGCGAGAACTCACAGTGGGAGCAGGGGAGGAAGCACACGCTTTGCCCCTTGTCAAAATCGCACAGGCAGATGGGACAGAAAAACTCCTCCTCTCCCCTCTCCTGCGCCTCTGCTGCTGCTTTTGAGTCAACTCAGAAGTCAGGACTTACAGTGGGAGCACGGAAGGAAGCACACGCTATGCCCCTCGTCAAAATTGCACAGGCAGATGGGGCAGAAAAAGGCAGAAGACAGAAGGAAGGAAACAAGAGAGAAAGCGAGAAAGAAGAAACAGGAACTTACAGTGGGAGCAGGGGAGGAAGCACACGCTTTGCCCCTTGTCGAAATCGCAGAGGCAGATGGGACCGAAAAACTCCTCCTCTTCCCTCTCCTGCGCCTCTGCTGCTGCTTTTAAGTCGACTCAAAAGTCAGGACTTACAGTGGGAGCAGGGAAGGAAGCACACGCTATGCCCCTTGTCAAAATCGCAGAGGCAGATGGGACAGAAAAACTCCTCCTCCCCTCTCTCCTGCGCCTCTGCTGCTGCTGCCGCAGCCGCCTCTGCAGCAGCAGCCAATCGTAGCATGCCAGGTGTCGCTGTCAACGCTGCTGCTCCCACTGCCGCTCCTGCCGCTGCTCCCCCTGCTGCCCCCTCCGCTGTTTCCCCTCCCGAACCCCCTGCTACTCCCCTTACAAGCACTCCCTCCTCTCCTGCCTTCTCTCCTCCCTCCTCTGCCCTTTGCTCTCCTACCTCACCACAGCCCCCTTTCTCCTCCCCGCCTGTTTTCGCTCCTGCCTGCCCTTCCTTCGACTTCTCACCTTTCCCTGTCCCCCAAACCACGTGCACAGGCAGCAAATAAGACCCAGCAGAATGAGAAACGCTCACTCTGCTTCCTCCTGTCCTGCTACCCCCAGCAGAGGCGAGAGAAGCAGACAGAGCAGCAGCAGCCGTGGGAGACAGCAACTCCAGCGGCCGGCGTGCATTGGCAGCTAGTGAAGCACCACTGCCCTGTCCCCGGGCAACACTGTTCATCCGCTGCTGCTGCTGCTGCTGCAGCAAAAGCGGCTGCCAGAGCTGCTGCTGCTCCCGCTCCTGCTGCTGCCTGCCCGGTTGATGCTCCTGCTCCTGCTGCTGTCGCCTCTGCTGCTGCCCCTGCCCCTGCCCCTGCCCCTGCTGCTGCCCCTGCGGCCCCCCCTGCAAAAACTGCTCCTCTAGTTCTTGCCACCGCTCCCTCCAAGGCATCACCTGCTGCTGCTGCAGCTGCTGCTGTTTTATGATGATGCTGCTGCGTTTCCGTACCCTCGTGCCCTCCTCTTCCCTGCTCCTGCGCCCGCTCCTGTGTAAGCCGCCGCATCGACTCGAGCAGAGAACTGGCGCTTGCCGAGCCTATCCCCAAGGCTCGGCGGCGGCGGCGGCGCCTAGCTGCGGCAATGCTGCAGATGGCGCATACGATGCAGACGACTGCACACGGCCACATGACAATACAGAGGGTGATAGCCACTGAAAAGGCAATGCATGTGGTGCTACAGTCGCCCAGTGCCGTGCTGTTGCTGTCGTTGCTGCTGCTGCTGCCGCCGCCGCTGCTGCTGCTGCTGCTGCTGCCACTGCTGCTGGTGGTGGTGTTGTTGCTGCCAGTGCTGCTGTTTGTACTATTAGTGCTGTTATTTCTGTTGCTCCAGCTGGTGCGGCCGTTGTTCTCCTTGCTGCTGCTGCTGCTGCTGCTCCTGCCCGTGTCCCTACTGCTGCTGCTATTGCTGTTGCTGCTGGTGGCGGTTCTGTTGGTGCTACTGTTGCTGCTAGTGGTGCTGTTGATGGTATTGGTGCCACTGTTCCCACTGCTGTTGCTGTTTCCACTGTTACCACTACCATTCTGGCTGCCATCCCCGTTACTGTTCAATGCACTGCTGCTATTATCTCCATTTTCTAAAATCCCGGAGTTCGACAGAAAGCGCCCAAACCTAACGGCTCGGTTCTGCCCGAGCCTGGGCGTCAGACGCCACAACCGAAGCTTTCTCCCAGGCTCGGCAGGCACCGGAGCTGCGGATGCAAGGAGGGATGGAAACAAAGGCGAAGGGCTCAGCCAATAGAAGCACGGCGGAAAGGCGATGGCACTCTTTAGCACTGATGGCGAAGCAGCTTGTATCGAGTACGCTGCCCGGCTGATGGTAAACTCGTCTGTACTTGTATCTGAGTGGCTTATATCGGATATGCCTTGCGGGTTTGGAGGTCCTTTGCCTGATAGCGCTGCTAGGAGGAGGAGAGGGGTGAGAATATTGCACCTCTGAAGGTAGTAAAAAACGCGACGTGGTCGGATAAACGAGTCTGACTGTAACGGGTACAACCCTGCGGCGCTGCCCCGTTCCTTTCTAGAAATCATGGTGCTAGCGCTGCTCTCGTTCCTCATAACATCTCGTCTCCCCCTCGCCCTAACTGCGCATATATCACCCATAACCTTTTGGGAATATAAAACGCTAGACAAATATGAACCACCCTATAACGCGTACACGCGTTTTCCCAGGTGACGTGTCCGTTCGGGTTCCTTAAAACGGGAAAACACGCTTGTCCGACTGTATGACGGCGCACATGCCCGCTGAACCCGCGCTGCTGTCGCTGCTGCCGTCGCTGGCGCTGTGGAAACCTACTGCCGCTGCTGGCGCTACACCATACCCCTATCACAGGCGCTGCTGCTGCGAAAGCATCACATCAAAGCTCCGTCTTTCGCTTGGCGGGGCCGTTCGTCGCGAACTAAAAAACGGTGCATATGCCGCTGCACCCGCGCTGCTGTCGTTGCTGCCGCCGCTGGCGCTGTGGAAACCTACTGCCGCTACCGGCGCTACACCATACCACTATCACAGGCGCTGCTGCGAATGCATCACATCAAAGTTCCGCTTTCGCTAGGCGAGGCCGATCGTTGCGAAGCGAAGTAAAAAAGCTCGAGGGGGGGCTGCAGCGCAAATTATTACATATCAGCTCTGCACGGTTCTTGGAAACTAAATTGGCTTGATGGGGGTGCTCTCAGCCGTGCACTAAGTTCATTTGATACGGTTCAGTGAGGTTCCTCATGTTTCTGACTCGGTGCTCAAACGATACCGCTCTGGTTTGTAAACACACCGATCCGAACCTTTAAACATAAATTGGAATGAACGCCCTGAGGGATGACAACCTCCCCTTCCCGTGTCGACAGGTGATGCTGCTGTTGCATCAACGACGATGCTTCGTGGCAGTCAACCCCTTTTAGAGAATGCGCTCGCGGCTACACTTACTGATGCAGCTAAATTATTCTCGGCGCACATACGGATCCCAATTTAAACACACAGAGCGATTGAAAGAAACACTAGACATAACATGGCTATGATAGTGTATTATGTCCCCCCCCCCCCCCCAAAAAAAAACATGGCTATGAGGAGGCCGTAAAATTTTAGGGGAATAAGGGCACAAAAGTGCTCATGTATAAAGAGAACCTACTCAGCCACTTCTCGGCACCAACATAAGCATGCACAATCAACACTTGGTAATTAAAAAAGCACAAATCATACAGCTCCTTCCAACCACCCTCAACCACATCCCACCACTATTAAGATCACTTGCATGACCATGAGAAGCAATGTACCACCCTATGGCATCAGCATTGCCATGCACTGCCAACATTCGACCTAGTGACAACCACACCCTTCAACCGCATCCCACCACTAAAATCAATCAAATGACCGCTCGAAAGAAGCTATGGACCACCCTATAGCATCAGCATCGCCATGAACCGCCAACATCCTACCTAGTGACAACCACATCTTAACAGCATCATCCGTCGTCCATTCCCCCTCCGCATACGCCCTCCCACAACCACCCTCATTGATATCACTTTCACTTCCACTGGAACCACCCGACCTTGGAGTTACCTTGGGAGGGAGACAACATGTGAGCGTATGAAGCGTTGCGCTATAAGCTAAAATAGGAGCTATTTCTGCTGGTGTACCATCCCCTGGAAGCACTATTCGATCTAACCTTGTGGAGGGAACTTTCATCCTTGTATGCTGCTGACTCGCGGAACACTGTAGACCGCTTCCTGTAGAACTGCTGTCTCCTTTAAGAGCAGCTTCGATAGAAGCAGGCAAGAGGTGCCAATCATCCTCGTATGCTTGCCCCTCCACACCGCAATGACCCTGCGCCCACCTCCAATGCTCCCCGGGCTTATAAGATGCATCGCCAGGGGATCGCGAGAATGAAGGCTTGCTAGCAGGGTCAGCACCAGCAGCACCAGCATCGGTACCTTCACCAGGAGCAACAGAATTAGCAGTGTTAATAGTGTTGACAGCATCACGAGCATTGGAGGCAGCATCAGCGGAACTGCCAGCATTGGCCTCCGTGCCTCGTGGTTCGGAACAGGTTTGGGGAAAACCCTTGTAAGGCAAAGAGTGTCCTGCTGCTGACGGGGATAGGAGCGCATGGTAAGGGACCGGATCCCGCCAGTCAAGAAAGTCAACGCCAGTCTTCTCCCTACCCCGGTCAAAGTCAACCTCAGTCTCCAGCCCAAGAGGGACCCTGGGGCAAGTCAAACCCCCAGAGATGACGTCAGCGTCTGCCAGCCTGGCAGTCAGCTCGGTCAACCGAGTCAACAGAGCCAGCTCCTGCCGAGCCTCGGTCATAGCCTCGGGATTGGGCCTGTGTGGTGCTGGCCAATCAGAATGCGACAGCTGGCGCTTGAGCTCCTTCCAGGTGTCAGCTGCGTTGGCAGAGCATGCCTCCTCCAATCGTGTGTTGCCACATGGCAGCAGCTCCGTCAGCAACGCATCTTCATCATCCTCCACGTCATCAGCTAGTAATTCCATCTCATCCACTTCCCCTGCCACCTCATCTGCTTCCACTGCCACGTCAGCTCCCTCCACTGCCACCTCATCCATCTCCACTTCCACGTCATCCACTTGACCTTCCACTTCACCACCTTCCTCCAGCCCATTCTTGGCTCCCTCCATTGTCTCATCGCACTCCTGTTTCTCCTTTTCACTTTCCTCCTCATTCCCCTTTGTAACCTCCTCTCTGTCCTTCTCACTCTCCTCTCGCTCCCTCTTACAACCACCCTGCGCCTCCCCACGTCCTTCCCTCCCACCATCTGCTACAGCCACATCTGCTACAGCCACATCTGCGACAGCCACATCTGCTACAGCCACATCTGCTACAGCCACATCTGCTACAGCCACATCTGCGACAGCCACATCTGCTACAGCCACATCTGCTACAGCCACATCTGCTACAGCCACATCTGCTACAGCCACATCTGCTACAGTCATGTCTGTTACCAACTCTTTTGCTGCATCCACATCTGCTGCAGCGTCCTCTGCTGTAGCCACATCTGTTATAGGCTCCTCTGTTACAGCCAAGTCTGCTACAGCCTCCTCTGCTACAGCTGCATTTGCTACAGGCTCCACTGTTGCAACCAAGTCTGCAGTTACAGATTTGGCTGTAAACTCCTCTGCTACAGCCTCCTCTGCTACACCCTCCCCTGCTACACCCACGTCTGCTACAGCAGCCTCTGCTACACCCTCACCTGCTGCCACCCCACGGCCATCCACTGCCTCAATGTACGCCTCCTTACCTAACCCTCCTCTCACTCTGTCCTCTGCTACAGCCTCCTCTGCTACAGCCTCCTCTGCTACACCCTCACCTGCTGCCACCCCACTGCATTCCCCTGCCCCACTGCACGCCTCAAACCCTTCCCCTCCTGCCACTCTGTGCTGCTGCAAATGCTCTTGACTGCACTGCTCAATTGCTGCTGCCTCACTGCTCGATTCTCCAGCCTCCTCGTGCCTCTCATCGCCACTCGTACCCTCACAATGCCTCTCCCCCTCCTCCTCGTCATCTGAGCTTTGTGACAGGCGACGAAGAGGAGTGCAGACAACCACCCCTCTGTGCCTCTCCCTCTCCCTCTCCCCCTCCCCCTCCTCCTCATCATCCGAGGTCACAACTGCCCTCTGTTTCCTCTTCCTCAACCCGCCTTCTCTTTCCCTCTTCCCCTCCCCGCACTCTTCTGCTCCTTCCAGACCTTCTAAACGTTCTTCCTGTCCTATGGGCTCTTCCCCGTATTCTCCTCCTCCACTCGCCCTACTGCCTGCTGCTGCTGCTTCCTCTGTTCCTTCTGCCGCTTCTTCTGCAGTTCTGTCTGCTCTCACTTCTGCTGTTCCTGCTTCTGCTGCCGTCCTCCCTCTAACTACCCTTCTTCTGAGCCTTCTCCTTCTGCCCTCCACTAGCAAATCATAATTCCTTCTTTGCATGTCATGCCCTTTTTGAATACCATCCCCTCTTGGTGTGTCCTCATCTTTTCCGTTTGGTCTGTCACCGCCCACCACCACCACCTCCTCTCCCTCCTCGTCCATTGCAGCTAATCTCGCTGCCCGCTTTCTCGCCCTCTCCACCCTCTCCCTCTCTTTTTCCGCTGCCCGTTCTGCCCGTTCCAACCTCCTCCTCTCCGCCCTCTCACTCGCCTCCCTCTCCCTCTCCCTCTCCTCCCTTCTCCTCCTCCCCTCCCACCTCCTTCCAAGCACCCCCGCAACTGCCTCCCTCTCCCCCTCTGCTGCTTTCACAGCTGCTGCACTCAGCCGAGCAGCCAGAAACTTTGTAATTGGTGCAAAAGCCCTGTCTTGAACCTGCCCAAAAAACACGGGCAGGGATCTGTGTGGAGCACAAAGCTCCCAGAGGGCTTTAATCTTCTCCTCCTGCTTGACCCCCCGTGATCTCTCCATACTCTCTCCTGTACCCAGTGAGCCTTCGGCCCCATGACAATCACAAACATTTTTGCCACAACCACAGTCACTCTCAGTACAATCACAACCCCTTGCAGCACAGTCACAACTGTTTTTGCCAAAGTCACTGTCTCCTTTCCCACAGTTGACGGGTGGAGCTAAGTGGAGACCGATGGGAGCATGGTGGGTAGAAGTGGGGGAAAGAGTTGATTCCCTGGGTAACCAGAATTGGAGGAAGAGGAGGAGGGAGCGGAGGTCAGTGGGGAGAGAGGAGAGGAGGAGGGAGAGGAGGGGAAGGAGGCGGGGACGCAGGGGAGCAGAAACAGGTGCTTGCTCCATGCATATCTGGGATGCCAGTGGGGAAAAGGCAAACACAGCACAAGACATGGGGAGTGGGAAGAGGATAGGGCAAGGTTAGAGAGGGGAGGAGGGCCGGGTGAAGGGGTTGATGCAGCCAATCCAGTCATAGAGCCACACGACCGAGAAAAAGAACAAGCCCGATACACACGAGTATGGCAGATCTTACCTTGTGTAGCAGCGGGCCTAGTAAAGGGGATGATGAAGGCGGCCCAGTCACAAAGCCACACGAGCGAGAAAAAGCACAAGCCCAATACTCGCGAGTATATCAGATTTTACCTTGTGCAGCAGCGGCAGGGCTTGGCATGCAGAGGGCCTGGTGAAGGGGATGATGAAGCGAGTGAGGGCTGTGGGAAGGTTGGGGTTGGGAGCTGCACGGGATTTGGGGGAGGCGAACAGGCAGGGAAGAGGGGGAAGTAGGGTGGGGGGAGGAGGGAGGAGGGTGAGGAGAAAAAGCAGGCATGGAGAAGGGGACAATCAAACGAGTGAGGGCTGCAGGAAGGTTGGGGTTGGGAGCTGCGAGGGATTTGGGCGAGGCGAACAGGAGAGCAAGGATGAAACGAACAGTTTGTGTGTGGATAGCCTCCGTAGATGAAATGAAGAGATTGCATAGTAATAAGTGCACATTTAGAAAAAAGGTTTTAAGCCAGGGTCTCATGTAAGCTAAGGAGCCATCGAATGCAAAGCACTTGAAGCTAGGTAACCAAGTTTGTGCTGGCGAAGTTGTCTCTGGTTGGGTTGGAAACTCAGCTTGCGTCACTGCTCCAAAAGCAATTGCACAACACTTTGGGGACTTGAGACTTTCGATGAGTTGGGGGCATTTTAGGTTTGGCTCCAAACCAACTTTCCAAGCCTAGATGGTTCGGTTACCCCCAGCGATTTACGTTCGCTTCGCACCCCTCGCTTCTCCCCACTTCGAACCTTACACCTTGCCAACCAATCAAAGCCACGCTTTCAGCATCAATTGCAAAGCACTTGCATACGTGAGACCCTGCCTTTAAGGTATCGGGTTCAATACTCACAGTTGGCAGTAAGCATGATGGGGCGTTTGTTCCTCTGGCGGGAAGGACTCAGCAGCTGCACTAGCAGCGCAACGAAGCCCCTGTCCTCCTGTATAAGAAAGAAGCCCCCAAGCCTAAGGTCTCAGGTTCAATACTCACAGTTGGCAGTAAGCATGATGGGGCGTTTGTTGCGCTGTTGTGAGGGACTCAGCAGCTGCACCAGCAGAGCAACGAAACCCCTGTCCTCCTCTATAAGCACATCCACGTCCTTAAACAGAAGCAGTGCCCAAGCCTAAGGTCTCGGGTTCAATACTCACAGTTGGCAGTTAGGATTATGGGGCGCTTGTTGCGCTGGCGTGACGGACTAAGCATCTGCACCAGCAGCGCAAGGAAGCCCCTGTCCTCCTTTATAAGAAGAAGCCCCCAAGCCTAAGGTCTCAGGTTCGATACTCACAGGCCCTGTTCGCCACGACCACGTTAAAGGCAAGGGGCGAGGGATGGGCGGGGGATCCAGAAGGTGCGCCGGAAGATGCGAACTACGTCCGGGGGCTCGCCGTCGGGCAAAGGGATCTGGAAATTTCGCCAAGGGGATCAGGAAGGGGGACAAAGGGATCTAGCACCTGCCTCCCCCCTTCCTTTAGGGCGAGATTTCCCGGCCATCCCGTTTGGCGCCCACAAAATTCGTGGTCTGCACGAGGGAGAGGCGAGGGAGGGGTTGGGGTGCCTAGCTGGCAGGACAAGAAACTGCCGTGCGCATTCCGGATCCCCCGCCCATCCCTTTGATGGCCCAAAAAAGTGGGTTCGCCACGACAGCGAGCCCGCCGAGGCTCGGAGGGGATCGTCAAGTTCGACATGTTTTTGTCGGTCTGACCGGCCCTAAAACCCTGATTTCAGCCTTTTTAGAAGGTGCAGGGCGGGTTCCGGATCCCCCGCCCATCCCTTTGGTGGCCTATAAAAGTCGTGGCGAACAGGGCCACAGTTGGCAGTAAGTATTATGGGGCGCTTGTTCCGCTGGCGAGAAGGACTCAGCAGCTGCACTAGCAGAGCAACGAAGCCCCTGTCCTCCTCTATAAGCACATCCACATCTTCAAACAGAAGCAGTGCCCAAGCCTAAGGTCTCGGGTTCAATACTCACAGTTGGCAGTTAGGATTATGGGGCGCTTGTTGCGCTGGCGGGAGGGACTCAGCAGCTGCACCAGCAGAGTAACGAATCCCCTGTCCTCCTCTATAAGCACATCCACGTCCTCAAATAGCAGCACCGACGCTCCCATGCGCCTTGATTTGGCCCCAGTGGGGACAGCAGCAGAAGCAGGTGCAGCAGCAGTACCAGCACCACCATCAGCAGCAGGGGCAGCCACAGCAGCAGGAGCGGCACGGGAGAAAAGGGTGCCACGTGGCACGGCGCGATTGGCGGAGAGGCGGTGCGAGAAGAGGAGCTCTGAGAACCTTCCACGAAGCAGCGCCCCGTCGCGAGCATCAGACGCGTTGACCTCCACGACTTGAAAACCCAGATATGATGCACAGGCGTATGCCGCTGCTGTCTTGCCGCTCTGATGAACAAGGGCATTAAAGGTGGGATGGGAAGTACAAGGAGAGGAAGGAGGAATAGGGTTGAGCATCCGCAGTCAAAACGCCATAAGCTGCTGTCTTGCAGCTCTGAAACGGAGAAGGGAACGGAAAGGGAGGCTTGTACGGAAAAAGGGAGGCTGGAACCTTCACAGGCTTCTGTTAGCAGCACTGCACAAAGCAGCAAACAGAAGCGCCAACATTCTAAAAGAGAAAGAGAGGCTCTGAAGAGATTGAGAGGTTCTTACCCCCACGGGTCCAGTCAGCAGCACTGCACACGGCAGCTGCTCTCCTTCCTCCTCCATCCATCCATCCGAGTCGCTCCCCTCGTTATAGTCACTCTCTGCGCTGTACTCACTTCCACTACAGTCACGCTCCGTGTCGCCATCCCTGTCACCACCACCTTCACTGTCAAGATCACTACCAATCCAGTCCTCTCCGTCACTACTCTCTTTCCTAGATCCAGGCCCAAATCTCCCTTCATCAGATATCCTCCTCACTCTCCTTTGCTTCACTGCCCTTCCCCGCCTGCTTCGCCGGCTGCTGTCCCTTAATCCACCACCCTCCTCCACCACACTATCCCCCACTGCATCAGCACCAGCAGCAATACCAGCAGCACCAGCATCAACATCAGCATCCGCAGCAGCAGAAGCGGCACCAGCAGCAGCAGCGGCGGCACCAGAAGCAGCAGCAGGATCAGCATCAGCCGCACCACCAGCAGCAGCAGGATAAGCCTGAGTGTCACACACGGGTGTGAACCCAAGGCGATTCTGCCACAGCTCCAGCCACTGCAGCAACTCGTTAACAGCAGACTCGTTACCACCTATCTGATAGGGAGAAGGGGAAGGACTCCAGAGAGTCCAGAGAAGGGGAAGGATCAAGGAGAGAAAGAGGAAGGACTCCAGAGAATGAGAGTACATCCAAGGAAGACTTGCCACAGCTTCACCATTCAACCAACTCCCTACCTGCGTTGGCAAGGAGAAGTGACAGGGAAGCAAGAAACGAGCAACTGAAAAACTCCCACCCCATCCCCTGCCTGACCTCTGCCGGGCTCTTTGGCTGGTAATGGCGCGACCAGAGGTCACACGCTGCTTCCTTTCTTTCCCACCCCTGTCCCACCCCTCCCACTGTCCCAACCCACCCCATCTCCCCCCTGACCTCTGCCGGGCTCTTTGGCTGGTAATGGCGCGACCAGAGGTCACACACTGCTCCTGCTGCTCCTACTGCTGTGGTAGCACCTGCTGCCACACCTGGGGCATCTGTGGCAACTGCTGCTGCAACACGTGCCGCCTCTTCTGAATGCTTTGCCATATCAACCACGGAATCAACAGCCGCATCAATCGCCGTGTCAATTGCTGCTGCCTTCGTGTCCCCTGCTGCACCGTCTGGTGCTGCTGAGCATCCAGCATCAGAAGGCGGGCTGCACTCTATCTTCCTTCCCACTCCACACTCCTTCCCCTCCCCTCCCTGCGTTGTCTCCTCCCCTTTCACCTCTCCGATTCCCTCTTGAAGCATTCTCCCATACACTCCAGCAGCATGGCAACCAAACAGCACTTGGGCTAGAGGGGGGAGGGGAGGGTTCATACGATGCCCGTGCTGCTGCTGATCCTGAAATGTTCCAACTGATGCCATTATAAAATGCTGCAGCTGCTGATCCTCCCCCTCCTTCTTCCCCTCCTCCCCCCCCCCCCTCCGCCTCTTGAGTCACATGGAAGGGGTTCAGGGGCAGCAGAGACACCTTCCGACCAGAAAACCTCATCACCCGTGCACCAAAGAACCCCCCACCACCAACCTTTCCACCAGCTCCCCCTGCTGCCCCTCCTGCTGCCCCTCCTGCTGCTCCGCCTGCTACTGCTCCTGCTGCTCCCCCAGCTGCCCTCCCAGTAACACCTCCTCCAAAGCCACCAGATACCCCTTCCCTACCACTGGTTAGTCCCCCTGGATTGCCAACATCCCCTGGGCTGTCAACAAGACCAGACTTATTCACAACAGCAGAACCATCCACACCAACAGCAGAGATATCAAGACGCTGTGCACCGTTAACACCCTGCAACGCAAGCCCTCCTGCCCCAGTAGCAGCAGCCCCGGCTCTTCCTGGTCTCTGCAGCCACTGCTGGTACCACTCACCTCGTGGCCTCTTCACCTCTACCACCTGATCCTCCTCCCCCTCCTCCTGCCTCCTTACCCTCTCTTGTTTTGTTTCCTCTGTTGCCCCCTCTTTTGCCTGCTCCTGCTTATCTGTGCCAGTCCCAGTACCCACATCCTTTCGCTTGCACCCTTTCCCTCCTGCTCGCTTTCTCCCTCTCTCCCCTTGGTTTCCCCTCTTCCTTCCTTCCTCTCCACTCTCCTCTTCCTCGCCGTCTTTCTCCTCTTCTGTGTCCTCCTCCTCATCCTCTTCCTCTTCTGACGTGACATCTGCTTTGGCCCTCCCTCTCCCTCTCCCTCTCCCTCTACCTCCACCCCTACCCCTTCCCCTCCCTGTTCCTACCCCTTTTCCCCCACCTCTTCCTACCGCTCGCCCCTCTCCTCTCCCTCCTCCTCTCCCTCCCCTCCCTCTACCTCCCAATGCACCTCTCCCTCTCACTCCTGCTCTTCCTCTCCCTCGTCCAGTCCCCCTATTCCCCCCATCCACCCCTCTCCCCACACACCCCACCACCACCACCTCCTCCTTCTCCCCTGCTGATCCCTTCACCACCACTGCATCAGGAGCTTCAGCATTGCTGTTCCCGTTATTAACAGCCTCATTAGCGGCAGCTGCTGCACGGGCTGGCTTTGGCTGGCGTTGCCTGGGGAGAAAGAAAGAGTGCACAGGCCGACCAGCAGTTGACTGTGCAAAGAGCTGAGGGGAGGTGGGGTTGGGTGGGGATTGGGGGTTGGGAGGGATGGGGTCTGTATGACAGAGCAGTCGTTGGGAAAAGGAGGAGTGCATAGGCCGCCCAGCAGTGGACTGAGCAAACAGCTGTTGGGATGGCAGTGGGAAAGATGGACGTACAGAGTGGTGAAACGGAGTGGGGAGTGGTAGAGACAGGCAGGCAGGGTGACACAGAGCAATGGGAGGAAGGAGTTCATCGGCCAATCAGCAGTGGACTACCCGAAGAGATGAGAAGGAGTGAGTTAAAACCTCGCCTGAGCTGTCTTGTGTGCCTCTTCTCGCATCCGAGCCTTCTCCCTCTCCACCTTTGCTTGCCTCCATGCTCTCCTCTTTCTCCGATTAGTCGAGGCCCACTTGACCTGATGCTTACCTGCGCTGTCTTGTGTGCCTCCTCTCGCATCCGTGCCTTCTCCCTTTCCACCTTTGCCTCCATGCTCTCCTCTTCCACCTCTTCCTCCTCTTCCTCTTCCTCCTCCTCCTCCTCCTCCTCCCCTTCCTCCTCCACTTCCCCCTCCTCTAACTCCTCCTCTTCTCCCTCCTCTTCCAGTACTTGCACATCATCATCCGAGTCCTCTTCTTCCTTCTCCACCTCCCCTTCCTTCCCCACCTCTTTTTCCTTCACCTCAACTTCTTCCTTCCCCTCATCTTCTTCCTTCCCCAACTCTTCTTCCTTCCCCTGTGCCTCTTCCTTAACCCGCTCTTCCTCCAATGCCTCTGTCCTTGCCTCCTCCCCATTCTCCTGAACGTCAACCTCTCGTTTCGCCCTTCTCACACCCCCTTCATCCCCTGATACTGTCAAATCCACATCCTCACCAGCAATACCACCCTCCTTTGTATCACACTTTACCACCTCCGCACGAGTTTTGTCACCTTCGTTATTATCACACTCCGCCATCCCCACCCCGGCTTTACGACCTTCGTTTGTATCACAGAAATGCACCGGTAGCACCACCGCTCCGCCTCTATAAAACTCACCACCCACAGGCACGAACCGGGTTCCTAGCATCATCTGCTGCAACCGCTTCCCTCCTCTGGAAACCGCCCCTTTGCTCTCCCTCTGCCGTGCTGCAGTTCTGGTCCCTTTCAAATTGCCACGTGCGGCCGTCTGCGTCCCAGTAGCCTTCTGAGCCTTCTGAGTTGCTGTGGCCTTCTCAGTTCCTTCTGCGGCAGGCTTTCCGCGTCTCCCTGGCCGCTCTGGCATGGCCGTGGGCTGAAAGAGGCTTCTCTGCTTCAGCCTCCGACCTGGGATGAACGGAGTCAGTTCATGGGGAAAACGTTGCAGGGATTAATATAAGCGCAGTGCACACATGGGCTCCAGAGTCCCTTCGGTAGAAACAGGGATGGTGAAACCAGAGAAAGAAGGCTACCGTGCCAGAAGAGGTAAATACTTGACAGTTTGTACGAGCCACTCTCTAAACACTGAGGAGCTAGGGGAGTTACCATAACGAGAGGTCCCCATTTCGCCAACCGCCTCAGCTGTAGCAGGCGGCTGGGTTTCCACTGATGAAGCAAGCTGAGGCTGGTCTTCCGAGGGTGGCTGTGGTGCTGCTTCTTCCACCGGAGCAGCATGAACAGGCCCACCACAACCCGCAGCTGCTTTGCCAAGCGCCTCAGCTGTAGCAGGCGGCTGGGTTTCCACTGGTGAGGCAAGCTGTGCCTGGTCTACTGAGGCTGTCTTTGCTGCTTGTCCGGGTGTAGTGACACCAGCAGCAGCACCAGCTGCTGAGACGGCAGGAGAAACTTCACTGGGAGCAGGCGCATCAGCAGCAGGCGTGACAGTAACAGGAGCCTCATTTGCAGCAACAGCAGCAGCAGGCTCACTTTCAGTGGTAGCAGCAGCTTCAGCAGCCGCCAAAGTCTGGTCTGCAGCAACCCCATTCATGTTGCCCCCCGTGCCGCACGGCCCAGTTGCAGGCCCAACCACCTGGACTGTCCCTTCCCTGAAATTAACCACCCGCTTCTCCTTCTCCTCCTCTTCCTTCACCACCCCTTTTTGTTCTTTCTGCTTCAACCGTTCACTCTCCTTTTGCATCTGTTGCCCCGTGTGCTCCTCCCCATCCTCCTCCATCGCACTCAACTCCTCCACAACACTCACACGCTTCCTCCCAACACCAACGCCCACCGGCGAGCCCACAGAGGACATGGGCGCGATGATGGGTGTCGAATGAGCGAGGGACACGTCAGCTGCTGAGGCGGGTGACACGTCAGCTGCGGGGGCAGCTGACACGTCAGCTGCAGGGATAGCTGACACGTCAGCAGCTGGGGGAGCGACTGACACGTCAGCTGAAGGAATGGCTGACACGTTACCAGCCACTGCAGGAACCGGCTTTTCTACCCCGAAACCCACGACCGACTCCATCTGTTTCTCCCCTTTCCTCGGTCGACCCCGCTTTTTAGTCGACTCAAAAGTCACCTCATCACCAGCCATTGCATGAACCGGCTGAGCTACCCCGGAACACATGACCGTCTCCATCTGCTTCTCTCCTTTCCTAGGTCGACCACGCTTACGTTTTACCTCACCCGCTCGTTGCTGCTGCTGCTGCTGCTGCTTCTGCTCATCTTGGTGTTGCTGCTGTTTCTTCTCTGCTTGCTTGAGCTTTCTCCTTTCCAGCGCGGGGAGGAAAAATTCTGCAGCACACAATACACAACCACAAGAAAACACAGCAACAAAACCGAGCTTCTGAAACCCATAGACTCACCTACTCACAAATTGTCAATGAAAGCTCAAGAGATGAAAGGCTCTACTACTGACAATCCCAACTTTTTGTTTGAGTAGCAGTTCACGTGTCTGCTAGTCATGCCATACCATGCCTTGGTGCTGGTGGTGCTGCAGCGATGGGTGCTTCCTCCTCGGCGGCTACCACCTGCTTGCCTGCCTCCGCAGGAGGGACCTGCACTACACCGCTTACGGCCGCCATGTCAGGAGCCGCTGGTTCGAAGGCGGCTGCTGCTGCTGTCGGACTGGACGCTCGATCCTTGGCCGCAGCCGCCTCGTTGCTCTTGCCTCCATCAGCCTCCGCCGAAGCGTCCTCCAGTGGAACTGCCTTTTCCTCAACACTTACGCCCGCCATGCCAGTTAGCTTTGGCTCGCCAGCGGCTGTTGTTGCTGCCGCAATGGATGTTCCCTCCGCGGCCGCGGCCGCCTCGTTGCTCTTGCTTCCATCAGTCTCCGCCGAAGCGACCTCCACAGAATCAGCCTTATCCGCGGCACTTACGCCCGCCATGTCAGGAACCGCTGCTTCGCCAGCGGCTGATGCTGCTACAGCCATACCAGCTTCTACAAGCCCCAACGGAGCCGTTGGATTAATGGCGGCTGTTACAAACGCATCTGGCGACGTAACGCGTACATGATCGCCGGTTACCGGAACAACTGCTTCGGCAGCACCTGGGGAAGCATCAGTGGTTGGAGGTTTGATCTGAGCATTGTGAGTGGGAGCAGTGCTATTAGTACTAGCAGGCTGGGCCTTTGCACGAGAAAACATGTTCTTAAGAGTAGTCTCGCGCAGCCGTGTCGTGCGCACGGAGCGCTGCCTCCCCTCACCGCTCATCGTGGCTGTTTGTTGCAATGACAGGCAGAAAATGAGTAAGCTCGCTAGAGTGACCCGCCAGCGGAGGAGCGAATGTTCTGTCGAAGAGGACACGCTACTGGGAGCCGAACCGAGTTAACGAGGCATGAGCTAGAATCGAAGCGTATTACAGATGTACGTGCGTGCGCAACGCCGCGCACTGATTACTTGCTGACGGTTGGCTGTGTGACTCATTGGATAAGCTTTAAGTGCACACAACCATAGCGCTTGCATCAGGAAGCTCAGTGGCTTGGACCGCACCGTGGACAACCCTACATAAACAAGCCAAGAAAAACATGGCTGTCACAGTTGGTCGTCATTATAGCAAGCAAAATGAGCATATGCTAGGGGGAGTTTCTGAAATGGCGGGTTGTGGTTGAGACGAGATGCTAGGCATGGTGTGTGTCAGCGGCAGCAGGTGCTATCGGCGTTTATCCTGGTGGTGAAGAGAGGTGCGTGTCGGTTATCACCATGGTCTGTATCAACATGTTTCAGCTCGAAATTCAAACATTTGAATCCTCCCAGTGGCGAAATGCCTGGCGAACGTCCGTTACACTGGAATGTCGCAAACATTTTTTCGCATGGTTTGTGTACTCGCTGTGCGGTGCTGCGATGTGGGTTCTGATGGTTCTGCTCACCCCAATTTTAGATGGTGCTGTTCTTTCTCAGCTCCGTGTATCACTGATTAACGGTAAGTTTCACAACCACCTTTTACCACTTTTGAACGTAACGCACCGAGAAATACCGTGGCAATGAACAGAAATCCGCAACACTCGGAAGTATGTTCCGTCACCGTGACGCAAAACCGAAGATTGATCAGGGAAAATCCAACAGCTACTGCTGCAATTCATTCATTTGACCTAGGAACACCAGTGTCAGGGAATCACCTAGCGACAGCTTTGTTCACGCTTGAAGCCGGTGTTCCCGACATTGTTGCCTGACACATTTCGCGAGCCATGTCGGCGAGCTCACAGAAAGATCTAGGCGAGGACGAGACGGACGCTGTCTGTGACCCTGATGACGAGCAGATCTTCGAGTTTATTCAGCGGCTTCCTGGCGAGGCAAGCGCTGATGTCTATTGTTCCTGTTGTCGCCTTTCAATCCGTGCATTGTAAGAACGCTTATCTTGGCGTATGTGTTAGGTCAGGCCATATCGGGGAGAGAAGAGCTTCTTAAAGCAATCCTCGCGTCGGTTAGCAGCAACAAGCGGCCATCATCGCGTACTCAAGTTCTTCAAGGATTGCTGGTCCGTGCAAAGCTACATTTAAGTATTTTTTTTCACTTAACGGTTGTCCATCTGCGACTTACTTAGTCTGATTATTGTTTCTAACAGGATTGTTGGCAATCACCTTCGGATATTGACGAGGGTGCGAATGAAACGGCGAAATTATACGCGGATTTGTTATGGAGGACTCTGTGTCTTCAGACGGCTTATCATGCTGCAGCCACGGAAAAACCTTCTGTTGATTTCATGCTCTGCTTCTGGCAACTAACCACCGAGGTCCGGTTAATGGTTTTTTTGTCGTAACCAACGATCATCAGCAACAACTTACTGATGCATTCTGTTGTTTCAGGCTTGCAGGCATGTATCGTCTATCCTGGGTGATCACTTTGATGGATTGGCTTCGAATCTCTTGAGCATTCAACACCTTACCGAACAGGTCTTTTTCTGCTTGTTTGACTGTATGTCATGCTTCGCTTGATCAATCAATGATGACGCTAACATTGATCTATCTTCATTTTCAGGCAATGAAGCTTATTGCCTTGTCTGCAGGAGCTCTTCTGAGTTTAATGGAATCTCAACCTCTATTGCCTGTTAAAGAAATTGGCCAACTGATACAAGAATCATTCAAAATGATGTCTTCATCGTTTTTTTCCTCAAAGGTAGCCCCTTGGCTCTCAGTAATGTTGTATATTCCTATCAGATTAACAAAACGTTCTCTCAATCTAATGCCGTTTGTCTGTTTTTTTCAGGCTTTCCCATCTCAGTGGCAGGAAGCTTTAAAAAAACCCTTAATTGATGTGCTTGGCGCCTTTCACAACGTCAGTTCGTCTGCATTGAAACAGTTGGAGTCAGTCTCTCAGAGGATCAACAGCCGCTGGAATTCAGAGTCACCCAATGAAACTGATGACGATACTGACATGGACCATCACAGCAAGGCGGTCATTGAAGACTTTAACCACCTCGTGGCTCTTCTTTTTCGAAGCTTCGAAGCAGTTGGATCTGTTACAGCACGCATGGGCTCTCATTATGCGACTATCAACCTGGCCTGGAAGACAGTTGTTTCTATTCTTGCAACTATGGCCCGGATTTTCCCTTCTCCACCGCCACGTTCGTTGCAGCAGCAGGCCCCTAAACATGAGAGTAACTACGACAGCGGACCTGGTGAAATAGATGAAGTGGATTTGCCACCATGGAGCCGTGAAGATGTGGTGCATGCAATCAGCATGCTGTTCCAGCATACGACACGTGGTCTTGTCCTGGGAGCAGAGGCTGGAAGGCAGATGCTGGACGAGTTCAATGCAAGGCTTGGGAAGCATCCAAGCAGGGAGAAGAAGAAAGCGCATGAAGAGGTTTGTGTTGGGGAGGTTGACAACAGGTCAGAGGGAGATGAGGCGTACAGAGTTGAGGTGGAGAAGTTAAGTAAGAACCTTCAGCGAGTCTTCATGCTGACGAAGTTCTTCCAGAATAACGCCATTCGCGTGGCACTTCTTTACCCAGCAGAGGCATGTGATCCAGCCGCTTCAGAAGACATGGCTGGCCTGCTGTTCGCCTATGCAGGTCTCCTTCATTACGGTGATGGAGATGGGAGACGTGTGGAAGGCAGTGTGCAAAAGGGGGGCGGTTTGAAGTGGCCAGTCTCGTTTCTGGTTGCAGAAGCTGTGGCGCAGATGCTGGGTCCTACAATGTTTGGGCTTGTTCACAACATCCTGAATTCGGAGAAAGTCTCTGAGAGTGCCAAGTCCAACCTTATCCTCCAGATTCTCCCTGCAGCTGGATCCCGAGGGCCACCGCAGACGAATATGATTTGGAGGGTGGTTTCATCTGCAGGCTTTAATGCCGAGGGTTCAACAAGGGGGGGGAGCAGTTATCAATCAGCACGAAACAACTTGATTGGTCTGGAGGTGCACAGCCCAGAAATGGCTGAGTGGCAGTCGTGTGGGAGGTTGGTGACTGCCACCACAGTCCTGGAAGGCGCCGCTTCGTACAGCGATCAAGTGATGTGTTTGGTGACGAATAGCCTGCGTAATCTCATCACCCTTGCAGCAGACCAGCATTCCTACATCCCAGTGCTTTCCCGAGTCATCTGGCCATTTTCAAACCAGCAGAAGGAGGGAACTGACAAGGTGGGGTCAGCGGCAGCAGGAAGGACAACGAGGCAGGTGGTCCTGTTTTCACAACTAACTCGTGGACTCAAGGTCCTTGGGGCTGCCATTGGCACCAGAGTTACCAGTTCGTGTGATCCTGCTTCCAGAGATGTGGAACAAAAGATGCTGGGGACTTTGGCGCTTTGGGAAGAGCTTGAAGCCTTTCTCTTTCAAAATGCAGTGCACCAGCATCCCATCTGTGCAGAGCTTGCTCGGGACACGTGGTGCTTCCTCATTCGACATTCAGACCCTCAGCTTGCAAGAAGACACGCAGAGCTGCTGCTTCGCTCTGTTCAGGCCTCTTTGCAAACTGCTGTGAAGAATGAATCCAAGCCTCAAGCCAACGGTTGGAGAGGAAACAGTGCTGCAGGACTGTTGGCCATTGTGACTGGGGTGGAGGAGCGGCTAGTCTGTGCAACGGTTGATGTTCTCATGGCATGCCCAGATGCGACTGTATCGGATGTCTTCCTCAAGCCGTTTGTCCGGCACATCAACTCATCGTTTTCAAAGTTTTCATCTTCAGCAGGAACTGTCAGTGCAGCTTCACAACACAGCCGCGCTGTAACTTCCTGTCCCCCCAAATCTCTCAAGCCGGAAATTGCGTCTGTTATGGCTTTCTCTCTTCTTTTGGATCGTGGAGTGGCAGCAGGGATCCACAGACGCCAGCCAGCTGCTCTCCTCCCAGTTGCTCGTGCATGCTTTGGTGCTGCACGTGCGGCAACTGCTAATATCATGGCAAATGCATCCCAGGACGTTCCATGGGAGCAGGTGGCTCTGCTTGGAAGCATGCTGACAAGCATCACGGCTGTGCTCCGTGAGAGGTATTTATTATCAGCTGCAAAAGGAAATTCGCCCTTTTTCGCTTGTTCACCATTTCCTCTTGTCCCTGCTACTTGTTTTTCACATGCTCCTTCATCATTGTACTTATAAAGTCTTTGCTTGATTTCAGGGCTGAATCTTCCATGACTGGCACCAGTGGGCTTCCCGCTGTCTTCCCGAACACGAAGGACCTGGTCAAGTTAGCTGCAGATGCCGCAACTCTGCATGTTCCAACTGATATGGTCAATGGCAGGCATGGCCAACTCCCTGGCTCCGGAAGCAATCAGAGCAGGGTCCCCTACTCAGATACCCCCATGATCGATCTGGACCGCTGTACCAAGGAGAAGCTGAGTGATGGAACACAGCAGCCATTGCTTGCAAGGGCTGCCCGGTTACTTGCTGCTGTGAGCAGAACCTCAGATGGACTCAGTGCGGTTGATGTGGAACCAGTCCTCCATGCGATGCTGCAGGTGCTTAAACAAGTACATACCCAAGATGGTGGACCTTTCGGGGAGTTGTGGAGTGGGGCAAGAATGCTGGCGGAAGAGGTGGCTGCTGCTGCTGCCGCGCTTCTTTCCCAGCTCTTTGCAAGCCCCTGGACCCAGCAAAAGCTGATCCACAAGCCGGTCGCTTTGGAGCTGCTTCACACTTTGCTCTCCTCTCACAACCTTCCAGCAGCTTACTCATCTCTCTCTACCCTGTATGGTGCAATCACGGCCTGCCATGCAGCATCAGGAATGGATACCAGAAAGTACGCCTTCTTGAGCAAAGTCCTGCCACAGTCTGGATCTGGCACTGTGTTGGACGCCCTCTTGAAGCCTGGGTGGACTCCTGAAGTAGCTGAGCAGGAATTGAGTTTAATGCTCCATCACCAGCAGCATCAGCAGAAACAGCAGCGGCAGCAGCAACTCACTGGAAGCCGTATTAATGTGATGAGGGCTGAGGGGCAAATGCTTCAGGTTGGAGGAGATCGCATGGAAGAAAGGTTATCCAAGAAGGGCAACGCTCTTTGTATTGACTTGGACAGTGCGGATGGCAACGATGCGTCAGATGTGGGAATGGATAAAAGACAGGATGCTGAACTGGTTGGATTGCCACATAGGGTGGCAGAAGCAAATGGCATTTTGGAGGCTGTTTTGGCACATGTGAGGTCCAAGCCTCAGTCAGGCCACCATCATGTTCTTTTGGGAGATTTGAAGACTCAATTGACAACGACCAATCGCCTGCTTAATGAGCTGAATAACTATGTTAGCAACGAGAGCTAAGTCATGTTGAACACCTTGATTGTTTCCATGAATATTTAAGTATTTGTACACCCGATCCTTGTGCATTTTTTAAGGTTTATACCGGAGCACCAATCTGAAAAGTCAACTTTCCAGCTCACCCCAAAGTCCGAGGAGGTCAGTCTGCCAGGGTTGCAGAAAGGATCTTTCAGATGCGCGGAGGGCACCCCAAATTTCCGGGACTGCTGCGATGTCGAGATTTCCACGTCTACACACCGGGAAGAGCGTGGCAGTTCGGGTCAGACAGGCGATGGCGCAGAACTTGCAGATGCTCACTTTTCTGCATGATCTCCGACGACCCCCCCCCCTCTTCTTCTCCGCCCACTCCCTCCCCCATCCCCTCATTCGCTCTCTCGGACTCTTGTTTCCCCGGCCCCGACCAACCAGATCCATTCCCGCCACGCTGGCGGTTAGGCGGGGCATTCACAACCATTCTCTTGGCTCTCCTTTCTGCCAGGCTTGTGGTTTCCCTGGGCGCCACTGTAGCATCTTTGTGGGGCTTCCAAGGCCAAGATTACCTACCAACAACCATTTCATTTATGAACCTCCACCACCACCAGAATATGCAAGACTAATTCCGTGAGCTAGTCTAGTCTTTCACGGTTTCCCGTCAGCATAGGTGACTCTTAGCCGTTCTGCTAGAGCCACACCGTAATCTGCTAGGCGGCTATCGTGTCGCCTTGCGAGCCGTCCGGAAACCTAACCATAGTACATTCCAGGCTTGCTTACAGATTCAAAAAGTTCTTGTTTTCGTACTCCGTGTAAATTCCGTGCCATAAGTAAGCTGGAATCATGTTCCGGTTTCTCGGAAAGAAGGTTCTTGAGCACGGAGCGAAGCAGCGCTCGAACAGATCATACACCACTAACCATGGACGAGCTTGGAACCCGAAAATTTGGGGATGCTCCGCACAAGTCGCGCCAGAAATGGCGGTAGCGGAACCGGGTCATTTGCTGAATTCGTCGCGTGTGGGATCCAAGGAAGGAGATTTCGCTGCGTCGGGTGCTTTCAGAAGGCTTATCAGCAGCTCCGCAGCTCGCCAGCAGGACCAGGCTGCGAAAAAGTCCTCTGGCGGGTTTGAAGGGAGCATTTACCTTCACCACTCCGAGTACGCGCGTCCATTCATTTCAGTTGAAATTAAATCTATTTATATCTTCGTGTACCTCATCCACCCCGATGACCATCTCTAGCCGAGTCTAGCTCACCTCGGGTTTCGACCTGCTATGCCATTTTCACCTCGCGTTTGTACTTCTATGAGAGGTCTATTATGTTGAATCCAATGTTATCCCGTTTCTGCGTCGCGTCGCGTCGCGTCGTGTTGTCTGATTGAATTCGGGACATGCGTCAAATCGAATCTCCAAGCTTTCTTGTCAGTTTATTGAATCGGCCTGGATTATCTTAGCTTCGAGCTTCAAACCGTCCTCATGCATTCTCAATCCATCCCCCTCTCTGTTTCCTCTTTATACTCTGCTGTTTGATGACTGTGATGGGGGAATGCCAATGTGACATTAAATTGCGTATATTGATGTGTAATGTGGCCCGACGCCTGCTGTGTGGCGTACCTGACACGATGTCTGTGTTTGCGACGCCGGACGTGATGTGTGCGATGCCTGGCACGTGAACGACTGCAAACGACGCTCTTTGCCGCACGCCAGCGTCGGGAGGCAGGTCAACTCCGCTGCTCTGAGCGTCGGCCTCATCCACGCGTTGCAGGTGAGCCATGGCGTGAGATTATCAGGTGTATGCTCGCACGTGACTTCTGAAGCTATATTAACTCCGCTGCTCTCAGCGTCAGCCTCATTCCGCTGCTCTCAGCGTCAGCCTCATCTACGCGCTACAGCTGAGCTACTACGTGATGTCATCAGTGTAACTTTTCATTGTTGCAAACGTGTCTTTCAAGTCGCCTGTGGCTCTTGAGTCAACTTTAAGTTACACCTGATGGCCGAGTTTTGACAATTCTCGATCCATTGAACAGACTTCGAGCGGAGATAACCATTTGAGTCCATCCTTGCCTTGACACGATGCTCTCTCTCACTGTTACCACATTCCCCCCAATCCCTACTCAAACCAGGTGCTGCGTCCAGGCGTGGGTTACTTCCGCCCCATTGACCAGACGTCCCACGGTGGTAACCGCGTGGACCTGATGAAGAAGGTGTTTCACATTCAGACGCCCGCAGAGGACATGTTCGCGCTCACCCAGGACCAGGCCTACTCGCTGCTGGCTGCGGATAAGATCGACGATCTGCTTGAAGCGGTCATCTCAGGTGGGTGGGTTTGGTTCAGCGTGTCTGGTATAATCGGTTGGGCTAGGAAGCAGATTACCGCAGAGGGCATGTTCGCGCTCACCCAGGACCAGGCGTACTCCCGGCTGGCTGCTGACAAGATCGACGATCTTCTGGAGGCAGTTATTTCAGGTGGGTCGTATCGGGTGGGTTATCTCAGGTAGGTTCAATCAACGTCTCTGACTCTCTCGGGTACTGAGGCTGGCTCAGAAGCCTCTTCGCTCAGGAATCCATACGCCTGCAAAGGACATGTTTGCGCTCACCCAGGACCAGGCCTACTCCCTGCTGGCGGCTGACAAGATTAACGACTTGCTAGAGGCAGTCATCTCAGGTAGGTCGTTTCAGCTGGGTAGCTTCAGGTGGTTTTTAGTCAATGTCTCTGAGACTCTCAGGAGAGATGGGTCCAACACGTACATAGGATAGGAATGCTCCGTTCCAACCCAAATCTACCTCTCCCGCCGTTTCCTCTCCACCACCCAGCTTCCTCTTCCCCACTCTCCCCTTTCTCCTCTCTGTGCGCTCAAATTCCCCCTTTAACCCGATTTCTTTTCTCGCCCCTCCACCAGCGTATGAGCGCCACAAGCAGTATCACGACTTTGTGGTGGTGGAGGGCACGTCCATGCAGGATGGTCTGATCTAACTTATTAACCTACCCCTTCCCACCCCACTCACTTCTTTCCCCCTATCCCCTGCTTTCCCTCGGCCTCACACCAGCATACGAGCGCCACAAGCGGTATCACGACTTTGTGGTGGCGGAGGGCACGTCCATGCAGGATGGGTCCAACACGTGAAGCACTCCTGAAGCACCCTCACTCTTCTCCCCCTACCCCCCTCTTCTCCGCCAGCGTATGAGCGCCACAAGAGGTATCACGACTTTGTGGTGGTCGAGGGCACGTCCATGCGGGATGGGTCCAACACGTCGCCCATCAACGGGCTCATTGCGTCCGCCCTCGAGTCCCCCGCGCTGCTCCTCACTGACTGCATCGCCGCCTCCCACCACCACCCCAAGCACCACGAGGTGAGTTTGAGTCAACCCAATAGTCGCCCATCAACGGGCACATTGCGTCCGCCCTCGAGTCCCCCGCCCTGCTCCTCACTGACTGCATCGCCGCCTCCCACCACCACCCCAAGCACCACGAGGTAACACACACACACGCACGCACACACACACACACACACACACATCTCGAGTCCCCAGCTCTGCTCCTCACTGACTGCATTGCTGCCTCCCACCAACACCCCAAACACCACGAGGTAGGCATAAGAACAAAGAGAAAGGGAAACCTAAAAAACATAGGAAAGAGGTAATAACAAAGCAATGCATACGAAGTGTCTCACTTGTTTGTTTGCACCATCTCTTTTTTTTAGGAATCTGTGCTCCACCCCCCTTCCGTCTTCCTCTCGCCCTCCTCCCCCCCCCCTCCCCCCCAACACCAGGCGGGGGGCCGGTTTGAGGCGTGGGATTTTGAGAAGGAGGCGGCGAGCTGCATCTTGGACCATGCGCGCATCATGAGGCAGAGCAGCGTCGACATCGCCGGCGCGCTGCTCTACCGCACGCCCAGGACCTCCAGGGGAACGACCAGGCTCAGGCAGTACATTACTGAAGCTGGAATTCCGTTCCTGGGCGCTCTCCCTGCTGACAAATCCCTCGAGTCCTTTCAGGTAAGTCCCTTGTGCTGATCTCTAGCCAATGGGCATGTCATTGACTCATTGGCAAGGTCCCAAAGCAGGCGCCCTGCTCTATCGCACGCCCAGGACCTCCCGCGGAACTACCAGGCTCAGGCAGTACATCACTGAAGCAGGAATTCCGTTCCTGGGCGCCCTCCCTGCTGACAAGTCTCTGGAATCCTTCCAGGTGCGTGTCCCTTGCCTCTTTCTAGAGTGAGGGTGCGTCCTGTGCCGTTCTGTAAGCAGCGTCGACATCGCCGGCGCCCTGCTCTACCGCACGCCCAGGACGTCCCGAGGCACCACCCGCCTCAGGCAGTACATCACCAAAGCGGGAATTCCGTTCCTGGGCGCCCTGCCTGCTGACAAGTCTGTCGAATCGTTTCAGGTGCGTCCTGTGCTGTGCTGCCCTGGTAGCAGCAGTTCGTTGACATCGAAGGCGCCCTGCCCTACCGCACGCCAAGGACGTCCCGGGACACCACTAGGCTCAGGCAATACATCACCGAGGCTGGAATCCCCTTTTTGGGGGCACTGCCAGCGGACAAGTCCCTCGAGTCCTTCCAGGTGCGCCCAGCATGTCTCTATCCAGGATGGGATGTTCCTTCCCTGCTCTACCGCACGCCCAGTACGTCCCGGGGCAACACCAGGCTCAGGCAATACATCAAAGAAGCAGGGGTTCCGTTCCTGGGCGCGCTGCCGGCAGACAAGTCCCTCGAATCCTTCCAGGTGCGTCCTGTGTCCTGTATTCAGGGTGGGTAGGACGGTGCATTTGTGTTGCTAGGGTTTCAGGGTCCGCTGCAAGAAGCAGGTGCAGGTCCCTGTGCTGTATAGCTCTTCCAGGATAGGACCACCCCAGGGGACCTCCCGGGGCACCACCAGGCTCAGACAGTACATCACTGAGGCTGGGTCCCGTTCCTGGGGGCCCTGCCTGCCGACAAGATGCAGACTTCCTTCCTTCCCTGCTCTACCGCACGTCTATGATAAGACCTCCTGGAGCACCACCAGGCTCAGGCAGTATCTGATCAATGCTGGGATCCCGTTTCTTGGATCATCAAAAGCATGGTAGTGACGCTGCACCTCGCCGAGGGATCCTCACACACGCTCACCCCCTCTCTCCCTGCCCCTCTGCCTGCCCCTCTGCCCGCCTCTCCCCTCTCTGCCGGGGTCCCTGCCTCTCCCTCTGCCTCTCCCTCTGCCTCTCTCTGTGCCTGTCTCTCTGTCCGTCTGTGACAGGTGGAGGACGTGAGGAGGGTGCTGCACGCGCAGGTGCTCTACGGAGATGACAGGGGCAGGTACATCTCGCTGAGATCCTCACGCTCATCCCCTCTCTCCCTGCCCCTCTGCCTGCCTCTCCCTCCCTTCCGCGTCCCTGCCTGTCCCGCTGCCTCTCCCTCTGCCTTTTCCCTTGGTTTTCCCTTTTCCTGCCTCGTTCTCTGTCTGTGTCTCTCAGGTGGAGGACTTGAGGAGGGTGCTGCATGCGCAGGTACTCTACGGCGAGGACACCCCCCACGCGGCCAACAGCATGGCCACCGAGATCACCAAAACCATGGTGGCAACCCTGCACCTCGCTGAGATCCTCACGCACGCTCATGCCCTCTCTCCCCTGCCCCTCTGCCTGCCCTGCTGCTGCCTGCCCCTCTGCCTGCCCTGCTGCCTGCCCCTTCCCTCTCTGCCCGCGTCCCTGCCTGTCCCTCTGCCTCTCCCGCTGCCTTTCCCCCTGGGTTCTCTTGTCACGCCTGTATCTATTAGGTGGAGGACGTGAGGAGGGTGCTACATGCACAGGTCCTGTACAGCGAGGACACCCCCCACGCGGCCAACAGCATGGCCACCGAGATCACCAAAACCATGGTCGCAACATTGCACCACTTCCAGATCCTCACGCTCATCCCCTTTCCCCCCTGCCCCTCTGCGTGCCCTCTCCCTCCCTTCCGCATCCCTGCCTATCCCACTGCCTCTCCCTCTGCTTTTTCCCTTGGTTTTCCCTTTTCCTGCCTCGTTCTCTGTCTGTGTCTCTCAGGTGGAGGACGTGAGGAGGGTGCTGCATGCGCAGGTGCTGTACAGAGAGGACACCTGCCAGACCGCCGCCCATTCCGCCCTGCTCCCTGCTGCTGCCTCTTCTATCCACCGCTCTGCCTGTCCCTCCCTGTCAGGTGGAGGACGTGAGGAGGGTGCTGCATGCACAGGTGCTGTACGGAGAGGACACCCGCCACGCGGCCAACAGCATGGCCACCGAGATCACCAAAACCATGGTGGCAACGCTGCACCTCGCTGAGATCCTCACACACGCTCATCCCCTCTCTCCCCTGCCCCTCTGCCTGCCCCTCTGCCTGCCCTCCCCTCTCTGGCCGCGTCCCTGCCTCTCCCTCTTTCGGTCCCTCTGCCTCTCCCGCTGCCCTTCCCCCTGGGTTCTCTTGTTCTGCCTGTGCCTGTCAGGTGGAGGACGTGAGGAGGGTGCTGCACGCGCAGGTGCTGTACGGAGAGGACACCCCCCACGCGGCCAACAGCATGGCCACTGAGATCACCAAAACCATGGTGGCAACGCTGCACCTCGCTGAGATCCTCACGCTCATCCCGCCCTCCGACGACCCTGCTAGGGGCGCCCTCGTTATCGCGCACGCCAGCCGCCCGGATATTCTCCTGGGGATGATCGACCTGCATGAGACGCACCTGAGTACCCAGGTGGCGGCCATGGTGCTGACAGGGGGGCGCCGCCCCCTGCTGAAGTGGACGAGCTGATCCGGGTGAGTGTGTGGGTTGACTCGGGTTGACTTGTGTTTGACTTGTAGCAGCAGCAGCAACAACAACAGCACGCCAGCCGCCCGGATATCCTCCTGGGGATGATTGATCTGCATGAGACGCACCTGAGTACTCAGGTGGCGGCCATGGTGCTCACTGGGGGAGCTCCGCCCCCTGCTGAGGTTGATGAGCTGATCCGGGTGAGTGTGGGTTGACTTGGGTTGACCTTGTTTGACTTCGGTGCTGCTGGCCCTCAAGGCCACCTCCATGACACGTGCCTAGAGCCCATGAAGGCACACTGGGAGGAGCAGTGCCACATGCACTGCACTGTTTCGGGTTGACCTGGGTTAAATCGGGTTGACTTGGGTTGACTTGGGTTGACTTGGGTTGACTTGAGCCCACGTGCCTAGACCCCATGAGGGTACACTGGAGGAGCACTGCCACGTGCACTTTTTCCTCGGTGCATCCACCCTTTCCTCACCATCTCTCCGCCCCTCCCCCGTCCGTGCCTCTCTCCCCCCTTTAACGCCCTTCCCTGCCCCTCTCCCTGCGCGCCCCCCTCCCCCCCCCCTGTCCTTCTCCCTGCCTGTATCCCTCAGACCCGTCCCACGCGAGTGTCCCTCCCGGTGCTGCTGGCCCCCAAGGCCACCTACGACACGTGCCTGGAGCTCGCTAAGGCTGATTCCGAGCTGCATGCCACCTCCACCAGGAAGATTGAAAGGGCTGAGGTGAGTGCGAGATGGCAGGGACGAGATGGCTGAAGTAGGAATGGGTTCCTGGAAAGGTGAAGGCATGGCCCCCAAGGCCACCTACGACACATGCCTGGAGCTCGCCAAGGCCGATTCCGAGCTGCATGCAACCTCTCCCCACAAGATTGAGAGGGCGGAGGTGCGAGAGTGGGGGGAAAGAAAGGCTACACGTGTGTTGATGAAGATCGAGAGGGTTTTGATGGGTTGATTCAGGGTCGTTTTTTTGCAGAGTAGCGTGAACCTGAAGCCCTCGCGGCTCTTCCTTTCTCAATCCCTGATTTCCCGCCCCCTTCCTTTTCGCCCTCCCCCTCTCCCCAGGTCATGTTCCATGAGCATGTAGACATGCGTGTGCTCAACCAAGTGCTCTTCAAGGAGCAACCCCTCTGCATGAACCCCAAGCTCTCTCTTTATTTTCTGTTCTCCCTTCCTTCTCTTCCCCGCCCCTCCACTCAGGTCATGTTTCACGAGCATGTGGACATGCGTGTGCTCAACCAGGTGCTATTCAAGGAGCGCCCCCTGCACATGAACCCCAAGCTCTCACACTACCCTTTCCTGCTCTCCCTCTCCCTGCCCCTGCTCCCCTTTTCCCTGCCCCTACTTTCCCATTCCCTGCCCCTGCTTCTCCCCCCCCTCAGGTCATGTTTCACGAGCATGTGGACATGCGGGTGCTCAACCAGGTGCTCTTCAAGGAGCGTCCCCCAAACCTGGTTTCTTTTGCTATTTGTGCATGCGCTCCCATGTATGTGCAGGTCATGTTTCACGAGCATGTGGACATGCGGGTGCTCAACCAGGTGCTCTTCAAGGAGCGTCCCCCAAACCTGGTTTCTTTTGCTATTTGTGCATGCGCTCCCATGTATGTGCAGGTCATGTTTCACGAGCATGTCGACATGCGGGTGCTCAACCAGGTGCTATTCAAGGAGCGCCCTCTCCGCATGAACCCAAAGCTCTTCCAGCACGGCATCTTTGAGAAGGCCCGAGCCGCCCAGTCCCACGTGGTGCTGCCAGAGGTACGCACCACACTGCACCGCTCTCGAAACCTCTCCGCATGAACCCAAAGCTCTTCCAGCACGGCATCTTTGAGAAGGCCCGAGCCGCCCAGTCACAGTCGTGCTGCCAGAGGTACGCACCGCACTGCACCGCTCTCGAAACCTCTCCGCATGAACCCAAAGCTCTTCCAGCACGGCATCTTTGAGAAGGCCAGAGCCGCCCAGTCACAGTCGTGCTGCCAGAGGTACGCACCGCACTGCACCACTGTAGAAACCTCTGCGAATGAACCCCAAGCTCTTCCAACACGGCCTCTTTGAGAAGGCCAGAGCCGCCCAGTCACACGTTGTGCTGCCAGAGGTGCGTGATGTGCTGCCAGATGTATGCCTGTGACTGCCACATGCACCGCATTGCACCCCTGGAAACCTCTCTGCATGAGCCCCAAGCTCTTCCAGCACGGCATCTTTGAGAAGGCCAGAGCCGCCCAGTCCCATGTCGTGCTGCCAGAGGTGCGTGATGTGCTGCCAGATGTATCCCTGTGACTGAGGTATGCCTGCCACCCGCACCGCACTGCCACCTGCATCCCTAGAGACCTCTCCGCATGAACCCCAAGCTCTTCCAACACGGCATCTTTGAGAAGACCAGAGCAGCCCAGTCACACGTCGTGCTGCCAGAGGTACGTGATGCTACAGCCACCGCTCTGCACCGCCAGAAACCTCTTCGCATGAATGAAACCTAATCCCTTCCAACATGGCATCTTTGAGAAGGCTAGAGCAGCCCGGTCACACGTGGTGCTGCCGGAGGTACGCCTCTTACTGCCATTTGCACCACACTGCACCGCTCTAGAACCTCTGCGCATGAACCCCAAGCTCTTCCAGCACGGCATCTTTGAGAAGGCCCGAGCAGCCCAGTACACGTCGTGCTGCCAGAGGTACGGTCTGCTACAGGCTATGTGAAACTGTGATCTAATCTTGCCAGAGGTGCGCTGCAGCTGCATTCTGTGTGAACGCGGTGTGGTGAGTCCCGCCCAGGTGCTATTCAAGGAGCGCCCTCTCCGCATGAACCCCAAGCTCTTTCAGCACGGCATATTTGAGAAGGCCCGAGCAGCTCAGTCACATGTGGTGCTGCCAGAGGTACGCCTGTTACTGCCACCCACCCCCAGCGCACTGCTGCACCGCACTGTTCCCTCCTTTTCTTTCTTCCCCTTTGCTCCTCCTCTCCTCTTGCTTCCCCCCTCCTCTCCTTCCACCAGGGAGCAGAGCCACGCACAGTGCAGGCAGCAGGGGAGGTACTCCGCAGGTCTCTCTGCCATCTGACCCTGGTGGGCAAGCCAGACCTCATCCTCACCCAGGCCAAGCAGTGGATCTTATTGCCCCTACCTACCCTCCCTCCCTCTCTCTGCCTTGCTTTCGCCCTCCTCGTTCCACCAGGGAGCAGAGCCACGCACGGTGCAGGCAGCAGGGGAGGTGCTGCGGCGTTCCTTGTGCCAGCTGACCCTGGTGGGCAAGCCAGACCTCATCCTCACCCAGGCCAAGCAGCTTCGGGTGGACCTCACCGGAGCTAACATCGTCAACCCAGCCTCGGCGCCGAACCTGGAGACCTACGTGGACATTCTCTATGAGGCTCGGAAGTCCAAGGTGGGTAAGAGGGGTGGGGGGAGAGGGGGGAGAAGGGCACGGGAGGAGGGAGGGACAGGGGTGGGGGGTGAAAGCGGGGAGAAGGGAAGGGGGGCAGGGGGGAAAGGGGGGAGAAGGAAGATGGGGCAGGTACCTCGGATACATCTGCCCTGTCAGGCATTTATTTAGTACAACTCAAAGGTATGTCCATTACACTGCGATAGTTACATGAACGTTCAGTATGAATCCCCCCAGCCCCCTTCCCCCCGCCTTCCCCATCCCACCCCCTTCATTCCCAGTCCCCTCTCCCTCCCAACCAAATGATCTATCCTCCCCCCACCCAAACTTCTGTATGAATCTCAAGCTTAGTAATGGGTTGGAGATAGACGCGAATTGCCATGGTGGTGTCAGGCTCGTGGTGGTAGATGGCCATGGCAATTCGCCCACAATCTGATTCAAAAGTCCCTCGTTCTTCCTTTCCTTCCTTCCTCACCGCCCTTCCCACACACTCTTCGTTTTCTACCATTTTGTCACACCCCTTCAGGGCATGACCCGAGCAGAGGCACAGGAGGTACTGGTCACAGATGCCAATTACTTCGGCACAGCCATGGTGGCAGCAGGGGGTGGCGGTTACGTTCCCCTTCCCAACCCCTCCCAACGCCTCCCCACTCTTCCCTACTCCCTTTCCACACCCCACCAGGGCATGACCCGAGCATAGGCACAGGAGGTACTGGTCACAGACGCGAATTACTTTGGCACAGCCATGGTGGCAGCAGGGGAGGGTTGTGGTGACGTCCCCCCTCCCAACTCCTTCCCACACCTCCCCACTCCTCTCCACCCTTCCCCACCGCATTCCACCAGGGCATGACCCGAGCAGAGGCACAGGAGGTGCTGATAACGGACGCCAACTACTTTGGCACAGCCATGGTGGCAGCAGGGGATCATGGTGACGTGCCCCCTCCCAACTCCTCACCACACCTCCCCACTCCTCTCCACCCGTCCCCACCGCACTCCACCAGGGCATGACCCGAGCAGGGGCACAGGAGGTGCTGATCACAGATGCCAACTACTTTGGCACAGCCATGGTGGCAGCAGGGGACGCTGATGGCATGTGGAAGCAGGAGGTGGTGGTGACGATCTCCCATTCAACTCCTCCCCACTCTTCTCCAATCCTCCCCACCCCTCTCCACCCCTCTGTTCAGGGTATGACCCGAGCAGAGGCACAGGAGGTGCTGATCACGGACGCCAACTACTTTGGCACAGCTATGGTGGCAGCAGGGGACGCTGATGGCATGGTGTCTGGAGCTATTCACACCACCGCCAACACTGTGCGACCTGCCCTGCAGATCATCAAGGTGTGAGGGAGTGTGTGTCTAGATGTGCGTGTGAGCCTATAGGTGGGAGTGCAGGCCTATGGGTGTGGGTGAGTGGGTGAGGGGTGGAGGCACAGCAATCGTGGCAGCAGGGGACTCCGATGGCATGGTGTCTGGTGCCATTCACACCACCGCCAACACTGTGCGACCTGCCCTGCAAATCATCAAGGTGATCTTCTTGGGATGTGTGCATGGGGTTCTGGAGGTGCGTGTGAGTGGCAGGTTGTGGCTGTGGCTGTGTTGGCAGCAGGGGATGCCGACGGCATGGTGTCTCAGGCTATTCACACCACTGCCAACACTGTGCGACGCCGTGTTGCAGATTATTTAGGTGAGCCGCATGTGCAAGTGTGCGCACTCGGTTCTGGATGCGTTTGCTATTCTTTCTGTGCTTTCCCGCTCATTTCCGCCCCCGTGGGCCCGTCCTATCCTACCCCACCCTTTCTCCAACAGACCCTCCCAGAGACCCCCATCGTCTCATCAGTCTTCTTCATGTGTCTGCCCGATAAGGTTTTCGTGTACGGCGATTGCACACCCAACACTAATCCCCCCTTCCCAACCACCGACAAGGTCCTCGTGTACGGCGATTGCACTCTCCCCCAATCTTCCCCCCACCCACCTGTGTGCCCGTCCCCTCCTTTTCTCTCCCATCCTCCAACAGACCCTTCCAGAGACCCCCATCGTCTCGTCAGTCTTCTTCATGTGTCTGCCCGACAAGGTTCTCGTGTACGGTGATTGCGCCATCAACACCAATCCAACGGCTGAGGAGCTTGCGATGATCGCCATGTCATCGGCTGACACGGCAGCAGCCTTTGGCGTGGAGCCACGTGTTGCCCTGCTGTCGTATGCCACTGGGGACTCAAACACAGGTAAGACTGTGAGGCAAGGAATGTCTCTACTTGGGATCCAGGTGCGCGCACTGCAGCGCGTAGGGCCTCGTTTTGCGCTGCTGTCGTATGCCACTGGCGATTCCAACACAGGTAAGATTGTGAGGCAAGGAACGCCTATCCAGGTGCGCGCACTGCAGCCTTTGGCGTAGGATCTCGGATCTCGTATCGCGCTGCTGTCATATGCTACTGGCAATCTCTAACACAGGTAAGTGAGGTCTGGCTGCGGTGGCCAGAGCTCATGGTGAAGTGTCCGTTGCAGTACAACTTTGCTGTCGTTGACGTCCGGCCTGCTGCTTTCTCAGCTTCTCATGCATCACTCCCCCGTCCTCTCCGCTCCTCCTCTCCCTCATCTCCCACATCTCTCCTCCTCTGCTCTCCCTGCCCCGTTTCCTTCCAGGCCCGCTCATTCAGAAGGTGGCAGATGCAACGGCAATAGTGCATGAGCGCAGGCCAGACCTCATGGCGGAGGGGGGGCCCGCTGAAATACAACGCTGCTGCTGTCATTGACACCTGCTTTGCTGCCCCTCCTGTTTCCCCTCCTGCCCTCCCCCAGGCCCGCTGATTCAGAAGGTAGCAGATGCAACGGCAATTGTGCATGAGCGCAGGCCAGACCTCATGGCGGAGGGGGGGCCCGCTGAAATACAACGCTGCTGCTGTCATTGACACCTGCTTTGCTGCCCCTCCTGTTTCCCCTCCTGCCCTCCCCCAGGCCCGCTGATTCAGAAGGTAGCAGATGCAACGGCAATTGTGCATGAGCGCAGGCCAGACCTCATGGCGGAGGGGCCGCTGCAGTACGACGCTGCTGTGAACATGGAGACAGCTAAGACGAAGCTCAAGGGGCGGACGTCTGAAGTTGCAGGACAGGTGGGTGCAGTGCGGTGGAGTTCGGTGTGTATGGGAAGTTGAGAGGTGGGTGGAATGCAGACCTCACCTCGTGGTTCACTCATGGTGGAGGGGCCGCTGCAGTACGACGCTGCTGTGAACATGGAGACAGCCAAAACGAAGCTCAAGGGGCGGACGAGTGAAGTCGCAGGACAGGTGAGAAAATGGGTGCTGTGCGGTTGAGATGGGTAATAGGGGGGGGTGGATGGAGGAGTGCAGAGGGGTTTTGCAGTACGACGCTGCTGTGAACATGGAGACAACCAAGACGAAGCTTAAGGGGCAGACAAGTGAAGTAGCAGGACAGGTGAGAAAAAGGGTGCAGTGCGGTGGAGATGGAAGGGCCCCTGCAGATGATCGGGGAATAAGGAGCACAAGAGGGACGCTGGGACAGGGTAGAGTTTCTTGCTGTGAGTATACGAGTATACCTGGACATTTTCCACATTCGCTCTCTCCTCTTCTCCTTCACCCCATCTCCCTCTCTTGATCTCCTTCACCCCTCTCCCTGCCCCATCCGCCTCAGTGCCCACCTTCCCTCATCTCAACCCCGCGATCTCTCTCCATCTCTCCTATCCCCCATCTCCCCATCTTGGACTCTCCGTAAACTTACACCCTCCCCTCCCCCTTTACGCATCGGTGCTCTTTTTCCCTGATCTCAACACCGGCAACAACACGTACAAGGCAGTGCGAGGGTGTCTTTCCCTTTCGTAATCCCATCCTCCCCTCTTAATCTCCTTTACCCCTTTCCCTGCCACGCTCCCTCCCCTGCCCCACCAGGCATCGGTGCTCATCTTCCCCGATCTCAAAACAGGCAACAACACGTACAAGGCAGTGAGAGGGAGGCTGCTCTCTTTACCCCGTCACCCCCTCTTTATCGCCTTGACTCCTCTCCCTGCCACGCTCCCTCCCCTCTCCTTTCCTCACCAGGCATCGGTGCTCATTTTCCCTGATCTCAACACAGGCAACAACACGTACAAGGCAGTGCAAGGGTTGCCTTTTCCCCACCCCCCCCTCTTGATCCTTTTACCCTATTCCCTGTCACGCGTCCTCCCCTGCCCCACCAGGCATCGGTGCTCATCTTCCCTGATCTCAACACGGGCAACAACACGTACAAGGCAGTGCAGCAGGTATGGCTATGGCGGCAGGCAGGGTTTCGGGTTTAGGTAGTGGGGTAGAAAGTCTCTCATTCGCATTCTACCTCTTGTCCTTTTTACGAAAGACTTCTCAAGCTTCTCGGGAACTCCTAGCAAACCTATCTGAAGAATAACATGGAATCCCCCACTCCTGGACCCACGTTTTGCCTGCTATTACGCCCTCCCTCCCTCAATTCGTCCCTCTCTCCCCTCCCTGTCCTCCCTCTCCACCCCCTCCTCCCACCTCCAGTCCACGGGAGCAGTGGCCATGGGACCGGTGCTGCAGGAGCTGAGAAGACCCGTGAACGATTTGAGCAGAACTGTGAATCTTTATCCAAATACCTTTCTCACGTCTCTCCCTGTCCTCCCTCTCCACCCCCTCCTCCCACTTCCAGTCCACGGGAGCAGTGGCGATGGGACCAGTGCTGCAGGGGCTGAGAAGACCCGTGAACGATTTGAGCAGAACTGTGAATCTTTATCCAAATACCTTTCTCTCGTCTCTCCCTGTCCTCCCTCTCCACCCCCTCCTCCCACTTCCAGTCCACGGGAGCAGTGGCGATGGGACCAGTGCTGCAGGGGCTGAGAAGACCCGTGAACGATTTGAGCAGAACCTTGAATCTTTATCCAAATACCTTTCTCTCTTCTCTCCGTGCCTCCTCCCTCCCCCCTCCCTCAGTCCACGGGAGCGGTGGCAATGGGACCGGTGCTGCAGGGGCTTAGGAGACCTGTGAACGATTTGAGCCGGGGGTGCACTGTGAAGGATATAGTCACCACCACTGCAATCACGGGCGTGCAAGCTGCTGCCATGAAGACCAGTAGCATCAGGCAGGGCGGTGCGGCATAAGGTTCTGTGTTACACGTGCATGGGTCTAGATTCTACAAGCCTACCCCGGAAGTGAGTGAGAGCATGTGAAGCAGGGAGGAGGCAATGCCTGCCTGGGTGCTGGTACGGTACTGGTGTGTGGACCTGGGTTTGAACCAAATTGTGCGATATTGTACTTCTGATTATTTGTGGTTACGGGTCACAACATGCTGCTGTGTCAGTCTGCTGTTGGAACATGTTTTGACTGCCGTGCATGATTGATAATACATGTGGGGCTGTGCTGTGAGTACCGGTAGATATGCTTTCGCCAACATGTGTGCCATGCTGGATGAACAACAGCCTATGCAGCCTACATTGCAATGGCTATCACTTCCATAGCCATATACCTGTATGTTGCTTTTGTTGCAAGTACCGTATTAGACTGAGTCCCTCCCTCCTCTCATAACACATTTGAAATAGGAGATCGGAACAAATTACGGATGTTTTGCAACCATGGCAACCATGGAGAAGCCAACTTATATGGAAGACACATGGGTTTCTTCAGGCACATTAGTATATCAAATAAGAAGGCACCGTATGCGTGGTTGTACCTGTTTGTATTACTTAGTATCAGGGCTGCTGACTTGCCCTGTCGGGGCCAGGGAACAGTACATTTTATCTCAATGCTATCATCTTCCTGCACCTCGTTACAGTGCTCCTATGTTCCCAAAACGCGAGGTGGCTGGGTTCGGGGACCACCGCCGTGTACTGTACCCAGTCGGGTTGGAGTTCACGTGGGACACAGTGGTTCGTCGGCCTATCACTTGGAGACACTGGATTTCCACGCAAAAAGCACCAGCTTTGATTGGCCTTATCTGTGACGTGGAAGAAACTCAGCAAAAGTATTGATCTTCGTTCTCTGATGGGCAGCTTTCCGTACCCTGGCACGCGGTTACGACAATTCGGAGTGGTGGGCGAAGTTTGGAGTCAGTGGCGTGGCATGCGACCTGGGTTGACTCCTACGGACGTGATTTTGAGAAGTGCTGACATGGCGAAAACTATTTATGACTCGAACAACGTGGATAGAAACAGTTGCTACGATGTGACTCCCCCTGACCAGCTGGAGCCAGGGCAGGATAAAGTGACAGAATGCTAGCGGTGGACCACTCAAATTTGAAGGTCACACAAGTCTCGCAGTATGTATTTTTTTTCTATGCGAGTGCTGCGATGCTTGTGATTGGCAGGTAGGAATCAACGTTCATTCGCTACCGCGCTTACCGCAAGGGGCCGTCGTTTTGCGTGAAGCTCTTTGTCGAAGGGACTTGCATCCCCTATCATATAACTTAATTAAGTATATCAATGGGTGTTCACCACGATCACCACCGCCTCGACCTCCTGGTGCCATCAGTCGAACGATTCATGTTTTCTAGTCCATACTTAACAACCATTATTGTTTCTGAAACAAACCCGAAATACTGTATGTTCACCTCCAGAAAGCCTGGCAAACAGCCGTTTTTGCAGGCCGTAAATCTTTCCGCGTTCCTCGCACGGAGCGCGTCGTCGTGAAGCTGGCATTCAACCAAGCCAATACACAGCCCCCAGCGGCAGCAATCCCGGGCACCATCCCCGTCATTCCTCATTCGATTTCCCCGCCATGCCAGCTGAATACCGACATGCTGCCTATCAATCGACTGTTCTGTTCTGGGTATGGTACGCACGCACAACTCCCTGTTGCTCTGCCCACAACAAATGGATTGACATGAACACTGCACTTCCGTTTTCGACCGAGCAAAAGCTGTTCAGCTTTGCAGTGCTGGCGGCGTGTCTCGAGTTCCTTCTCTCCTTCCTTGCGCCGTCTTCCCCCCCGACCCCACCCCCCATCCCATCCCGTTCTTCCCTTCGACTTTCCGGACCGTTTTAGGGATCTCAATTTCCTCATCTGTCATTCCCATCCCATCTCAAACAAGCACAACCCGCAGCATCTCTGTCTTCGTAGCTAGACAGTGCTGGAGTAAAATCTCAAAGCCACTGACTGTAAATTATCGGCTGCAGTAACTCAGCAAGCGGCGGGTAGAAAATCGTCGACACATCCTGCGTGAATATAGCGTTCTCCAATTTAACTGCGCCGACTTTGAGAGCCGTCATACGCGATCGCCGTTCTCCGCCAGTTGTCGCGTCTCCATTGCCCCGTCGTCTGATTTCGCGATTGTTAGCCGCCTAACAAACAGCCTTATCTCCCTGATTTCCCCCTTTGTCGTCGCCGTGCCTCCTCCGATCGCCCAGCATCATGTTGCGCTTATTTGTCGCGCATGCGGCGCAGCAATTCCAGCGCCACGCCGCCAATCGCGCTTTCAGCGCGCTCGCCGTTTCCGCTGCAGGCGGAATGGGCGGCGTCGCGGCGAGCAGGTGGGGCAGCGTGTGGAAAAAATGCCGGCCGGACGCCGCCGCCGCTGCCGCCACGTGCGCCGCACCGTTGGATGGCACGCAAGCTCCGCGTCCGTCCACCGTTGATCTCGATTTCACGCAGCTCACGCCACTGGCGTTCGCGAGGCGCTTCAGCGCCGGTCCCGCCGCATCTGGCGCCGACGACATAGGCGTGGAGAGCGCAAATAAGCCGGCCGATAAGGCCGCTGCAGACAGTGGAACTGGCATTGGCAGCGCGGATAACATCTACTTACATCACACCAAGTACGCTTCAATAGTAACGACTAATACCGATGATTGATTTCCCCGGAGAAAACGCCACAGCCACCGTCATGAGAACGATTTGGCAGCTTGTCGTTTTTGTGCGGTCGGAATATTTTATCGCGTGTTTGATCCACTTCGTCCCCGCCATGCTTTCTTTTTGGCTCATCTAATTCCATACTCCAGAATTTTATTCCCCGTCAATTTTGCCTATAAAATTTCATTTCTGTTTTTTTTTTTTTTTTTTTTTTTTTTTTGGGTCCCAAATTGCAGCGTGGGTTCCAACGTGCATTCCGCCGCCGTCACCATCGGCCTGATCCACGCGCTCGCGCCGCTCCGCCCCGGAATTGGCTACTTCCGCCCGATCGACTGCACCACGCACGGCGGAAACCGCGCGGAGCTCATGCGGAAAATCTTCCGCCTAACCCCCCCCGTGCGGGACATGTACGGCGTCACGCAGGACCGCGCGACGACGCTGCTACACGCGAATCGCGTGGACGATTTGCTCGACGACGTGCTGATGTCATACGAGCGGTGCCAGCGAGAACACGACTTCATGGTTGTCGAAGGGACGTCGTTAAAAGACGGGACTATCTCGGCGCCCGTGAATGGGCTCATCGCGTCCGCGTTAGGAGCGCCCGCGATACTGCTAACCGACGCGCGAGTTGCTGCGGAATGCGTCCACGTATGTCCTCCCCTCCTCCCCTCCTCCTCTCCTCCCCTCGCTTCCCGCCTTTCTGCCCTCCTACTGCCCTGATCCCTCCTTTCTCCGTCCCCCTCCCCTCCCCTCTCACCCCACCCCTTCTCCGCTTTTTGTTTGTTTGTTTGTTTGTTTGTTTGTTTGTGTGTGTGTTGGTTTTTTTTTCTAATGCTTCCGTCCAGCGTTTTGCCTCCTGCCTTTAGACGCCACTCGTTGCTTCTTCGCCCAGTTGCTCTCTTCCAATCTTCCACTCTTCCAACCCTCCTTTGAACTTCCACACAGTTTCTCGTTCCCCAATTCCCAACCGCACTCCCCGTCGCGTTTTCCAGGGCAGGCATTTCGATCGTTCTTACAGTCCCCCCATCGCGTTTCCCCGTTCCGCCTTTCCGTTCCCCCATCGCCTCTCCCCGTTCCGCCTCTCCCCATCGCCTCTCCCCGTTCCGCCTCTCCCCTTCTCCCTTCCCCTCGTTCCTCTCCCCCAACAACCGCCTTCCCCCTTGCGCAGCCAACGTTTAGCATGGAAGAGATCGACTGGGAGGCGGACGCGGCGTAGAGCATGCGGGACCACGCGCGCATCCTAACTCCCCTCCTCCCCTCTTCCCCCTTCCTCCCCTCTGCCTACCCCCGCTCCCGCCCTTCCGCCTCCCCCGCTCCCGCCCTTTGCGCAGCCGACATTCAGCATGGAAGAGATCGACTGGGAGGCGGACGCGGCGCAGAGCATGCTGGACCACGCGCGCATCCTACGGAGCACGCACGTCCACGTGGCAGGCTCCTTAATCTACCGCGCGCCGCCCAATAGTAGCTTCAGCACTAGCACCAGTACTAGCAGTAGCAGTATCCGTGGTGCAACCACCGCCACTGGTAGCAACGCTATTATTGGAGAACGTACCTCCTCTCGCGGCTCACTCCGCTCCTCCCCCCACTCCGCGGCCCCCCGCTCCCGCTCCCGCTCCCCCCCTCGCTCCGCCCACCCCCTCCGCTTCCCCTCCCGCTCCGCCTCCCGCGCCGCTTCCCGGTCCGGGCCGCGCCTGAGTGACTATATCGAAGCCCACTCGCGCTCCCAGGCGTATATCCGCCCGTCAGAGCATCACCAGCATCAGCCAATCCCGGTGCTCGGGATAATGCCAGAAGATTCCTCGTTACAGTCACTCTCGGTAGAGGAACTGAGGCGGGCTGTTCTGGGGGAAGTGTTATATGGGCCGCAATCTGCCTTAGCTGCGGCTGGACTGGCGGGAATGGCGGGAATGGCGGGAACGAGGAGCATCAGCATAAGCCGCAGCCGCAGCCGCAGCAGCAGCAGCAGCAGCAGCTACGTTTTCAGAATTCCCGCAATGACTCCAGCTGTCGCAGCTACGTCCCGCCACGTCAGCGGCAGCCATGACACGTCAGAACCCAGCATGTACCACGTCAGCAGCCAGCTGGGAATGGGGCCTAAGGCGCCACAGATGGATGTGACTAAAACGATCGTGGCGACAGCGCCGTTTCACGAGCTCGTGGATGAAATCCCGAGCGCGTGTGACTATAACGAGAACGGGGTGTACAGTGGCAGTAACGAGGGCGGAGTGTGCATTGTAACGCACGCGAGCGACACGGACGTGCTCCTGGGGGCAATGCAGCTCAGCCAGGCGAAAGCTGACAAGCGGGTGGCGGCGGTTGTCCTATCTGGTGGTACACCACCAACTCTCACCATCGACCACATGATAAGGGTAAGACGTTTCATATATTTTACGTATATTTTCATTCTCGTTTCCACCTCTTATGGCGTACACTGCGTGTCTGGTTATCCTGTCCCTTTCCAAATACCTATCCTACAAGTTTCCTCCTCTGCAACCCACCCCTACCCCCTCTCCCCCTCTCCTCCCCAAACACCACTCCCCCCCCTCCACTCTCTTCCTCACCTGCACTCCCTCGCCTCGCCTCACCTGCACTCCCTCGCCTCGCCTCACCTGCAGACCACCAACCTGTCCGCCTCGCTCCCTCTGCTCCCCTCCCCGCTCGCCCCACACGCCAGCTTCTCATCTCACTTTTTCCCCATACCTCCCTCTCCCCTTCTCCCCATCCCCTTTCCCCCTACCCCTCCCTCCTCCCCCTTCTTCCCCATATACCCTCCACCTGCAGACCACCAACCTGTCTGCATCGCTCCCTGTCCTCCTCTCCCCACTCGACCCGCACGTCATCTGTCTCTCAATCGCCCGCGCCCACTCCTCCCTCCACGCCTCCTCCCCGGCCAAAATCCGCCGCGCCCGCGACCTCTTCCAAGACACCATAAAAAAGCATACTAATCCCATTTCTTGTTCCCCTTTTCCTCTTTTCTTCCTCTCCCCTCCCCTCCCCCTCCCCCCTATCCCTCTCTCTCGCAGACTACCAACCTGTCTGCCGCGCTCCCGGTCCTCCTCTCCCCACTCGACCCGCACGTCATCTGTCTCTCAATCGCCCGCGCCCAGACCTCCCTCCACGCCTCCTCCCCTGCCAAAATCCGCCGCGCCCGCGACCTTTTCCAAGAACACGCCGACACGCCCTCCATCCACCGCATCCTCTTCCAGGAAGCTTCCTCCGTGCACCACCCCGCGCACGTCACCCCGCGCGTCTTCGAGTGCGGGATTTTCTCCCGAGCCCGGGAGGCTCAATCACACGTGGTTCTAGCAAAGGGGGCCGAGCCCAAGGTGGTGCAAGCAGCAGGGGAGGTTCTGAGGAGATCGCTATGCAAGCTAACTCTTCTCGGGAATCCCGAGGAGGTGCTTTTGCAGGCGAAGAATCAGTGCGTGGATCTATCCGGAGCTAATATTGTCGATCCCGGAGCTAGCCCGGACCTGGACCGGTACGTGGAGTTGATTTGCCAGGCACAGCTGGAGCGGGGGGTGACGATGAGCGTCGAGGAGGCTCGGCGGCTGCTGCTTTCCGACCCTGCGTCGTTTGGTTCGGCAATGGTTGCCGCGGGGAAGGCGGACGGCATGGCGGTTGGTGGGATTCGGCCGGAGGGGAACGGGAGGATAGTGCGGGGGGTGATCAAGACGCGCCCGGAAATGCCCGTGGTTTCGGGGGTAGTTTTCATGTGTCTCCCAGATAAAGTGCTGGTTTATGGAGACAGCGCGGAAAATACCCTTCCTCTGATTGGCTCCAACTCCACAGCTGTGGCGCCGAGCCTGGGCGCTTCGGCGCCGACCAATGGGAGCGCGGGGAACGGGCTGGCCACTGCTGATCCGACGGCTGAGGAGCTTGCGATGATCGCCATGTCATCGGCTGACACGGCGGCGGCCTTTGGCGTGGAGCCACGTGTCGCGCTGCTGTCCGCGCAATCAAACCAGCAGGGCGCTTCTCGAGGTGAGGGGATAGAAGGATATTGGTTGCAGGGATGGTCGTAGGGAGAGCATGGGAGGGGGCTGAGGGGGGCTGGGCGGGGAGGGGGTTTAGAAGGGGGAAAGGGAAAGGGAGAGGGGGAGGGGTAGGGGGAAAGGGATGACTAAAGATTGGGTGTTTTTTAGTCCTTTTCTCAATCCCTGCCGCATCCTCCCCCCCAACCCCCTCTTCTCCATCTCCTCTCTGTGCCAGGTCATCTTGCGGAGAGAATAGAAGAGGCAGCACATATAGTGAAGGAGCAAAGACCCGACTTAGCAGTCGAGGGGCCGCTTCCGTATGCAACCGCCGTGGGTGACAAAAAAAAGAGCGGGTCTGTTTTATTTGATAACTCGGACGTCGCAGGGAAAGCTACAGTGCTTATTTTCCCCGATATGCACAGCAGCACGGATATGTACAAGCAGCAACGGACGTCGGGAGGTGTAGCGATGGGGACTGTTTTGCAGGGATTGAGGCGGCCTGTCAGTGACGTGACAAATAGCGATACTGTGAGGGACCTGGTTACCACGATTGCCATTACTGGTGTGCAGGCAGCTACCATGGCAGCTGGTCCTGGTACATCTTCATGTTAGCGCTGTCGTAATAGTTAGCAGATGTATGCTGAATTTCGTCATAATATACGCATAAGTACATACAATATACTACACCAGCTGAAATTTGCCTAGTGCGTTGTAGTTTTTAGCAAGACCCATAATATCACAGAAAATAACCCATGTCTCCGTACCCGTACGTCTCACAAAGACCATTCATCCAGTTGTGTTGTCCACGATTTCAATTGTGCTGTAACGGATCATTGGGTAATGGGGAATGTCAACCTCCGACCTGACCCGACCAGACCGAACCGAACAGATGGACGAAGTTGGAATGCTCCGCACTTGACGGTGACTTTCGGTTTTGGGGGCACGCGAGCTCGTCGAGTTCAAAAGCGCCGCTACAATTTGCATGCAGGTTCGCGTCAGTCCCCCTCACCAGAGTCAGGGTTGTGTGCTCGACAGTTGTCATGTAACGTCACCAATCCCCAGCAGTTTCGGCTTGACGGCTGAGGACGAACCGTCCGTTTTTTTTTCCGACGGTCCGTCTAGTCCCATGTGACAGTCAGAAGCCACGCCACGCGTCCAAAGGCCCTTTTTGTCGCTGAGTTGTACCAGTCAAAACGTTATTGACCGAGCTGTCCAATAAACCCCGTTCGCCAGTTTTTTCATCGTGCTGGCTGGAGCGTGAGCGCGATGCAACAAAAGGAATCTGCGCACCGACTCTCGGCAGCATCAACGAACCATACTGTACAGTACAGTCTCACAGAAAAGAAACAGCCACTTTCCCCTGCCCCAACCGAGCACTTGGGCCCACGCGGGTCTGAGGGGCAGCGAGTGCAAACCTGAAAACAACAGCAAAGCATTTTCCCATTTGCCCTGCCCATGTTACTCCACATGCCAAGTGGAAGAGATTTTCATTGGCCAGGGGCAGCACGCTGAAGCGGGCGTTTCGTTCCCCAGGGTGTCGTCGTCACTCGGGAAATGTAGTTGAGGGCATTGCGGAGCGGACACGGGCAGATGGATCAAGGCCCACCCAAGCAGAAGGAACGAACGATCCGAACGGGCAAGTGAAGCGGGCTAGCCTACCGAAACGAACGATTCGGCCGAGCCGCGCCGAGAGGTTGGGCAGCTGTACCAAACGAATGGGCGTGGTGGGAGATAGGCTGGGTGTCCTGGTTGGGAGCAACGAGGGGGGAGGTGGTTTTGACGACATCGATGCAGTACATCGGTGGGGGCGCGGTGCGGAGTGAAGTTGCGCGGAGCAGAGCGAAGCGCGCGCTATCCCAAGAAATTCGACAAGCCAGTGCGGTTGCCCGCCTGCAGCGCGGTGCAGCTGGCAAGGCGAACCCACCCCACCACCACTACCCAACGCAGTGCTGCCGCGCTGGGTTTTACCCTGCGTTGCGCTGTGGTGCAATCCGCGCCCCGCTGCTGCTCCAGCCCACACCAGACCAGACCAGACCACAATGAATTCCACCGGTTGCTGGAAATCCGCGGCCCCTCCGCCTCCGCATATCGCGTCACAGTTATTCGCCTCTAGCCGACTCCGTCGCCCATCGCGTACCTCACTGGTTCCGCGAATCGGAGTGCCTCACATCAGATGCTGCTGACCCAGCCCTTATTTAGAGATTCCATCCATTTCAAGCCTAACAAGACTCGTAACCCGCCGTGGCTTTCAACAGACGCGAACTCGTTCTTCTGACTTCCGACCTCGCTCTCCCCGTATGCTCTCTAAAGGCTCAGCGTGAATAATTACAGATTAATCACCTTCTTTCCTCTCAGCCTCGCTCTTCGTAAGAGCGTTTTAGCTGCAACTAACTTTTCGTACCAGCAATTAGAGTATACAATCATGGAGCATCGGTCAACCTCAGCGATCTCGCACCATCACCATCAGCACCGCATCGAACTCCTTCCCACCTCCGCGCTTCGCGCGAACTTCACTGCTGTCGACGTGCTCGGCAAGGGGCAGTACGGCGTCGTATGGCGCCTCGTCGACCGCCGAACCGCGCGCCAGTTCGCATGCAAGCGCGTCTCGCGCGCCGCGTGCGGAGAGAACGCGTACGCTGCGGCGCGGCGGGAGATCGAAATCATGGCGAAGCTTCTCGGAAAGGGCTGCGGACATATAATCGGATTAAAAGGAGTGTACGCGGACAGAGACTCGTTATACATGCTAATGGAGCTCGGGACCGGAGGGGACCTTTTAGCGAGGATACAGAACGAAGGGATGCTTTGTGAAGCGGAGTCACGAGATATTTTTGCGTCGGTGGCGCGCGCCGTTAAAGAGTGTCACGATAACAGTATTATCCACCGCGACATCAAACCCGAAAACATCCTCCTCTGCCCGAAGACAACAGCTCCCGGCGTCCCTGCGACGGATCGATTTTCGCACAACATTTCGCAATCGTCCTCTGCAACGGGTAACCCGCAACACGTCGCAAAACTCACCGATTTCGGGCTGTCGCTGGAGCTGCCACGCTGGCAGCAGGTGGTTGGCTACGCGGGAAGCTACCCGTACGAGGCGCCCGAAGTGATGGCTTTAGAACCGTACGATGAATCCGCTGATATCTGGAGCCTCGGCGTGTTACTGTACGCGATGCTTTCGGGAACCTGGCCTCTGTTTCGTAATAACGTTAGAGCGCTCGACGATATCGCGGATTGGGAGGCGCCCTGCTGGTCGTCGATCTCGGACGACGCGAAGAATCTCATCCGTTGGATGCTCGCTGTGGACCCCCTCATGCGCCCCACGATTGACCAAATACTCGCTGACACGTGGCTATCTCCACCTCCCCCACCTCCTTCCCGCCGCTTCACCACAGCTGACGACATCCCGGCCGCGTTTCCCGCCGCGATTCCCGCCCTTGTTGCAATTCCTGAGATCAAGTTCCCCCAACCTGACTTTCCCGAGCCTAATTTCTCCAAACCTGCGTGCAAGAAGCTGGAAATTTCTGTCCCCGAAGCTCCGGAACACCCGGTCAGCCCGAAAAAAAACTCTCCTCGTGGGAACTACTTCAGCAGCCCCAAGCACGCGGCAGCAGCGCTGAAGCACGTGGTCCCCACGTGCCTGGCTTTCAAGATGCGCGCCGGCCGGCGGGGATCGTCCCGTGTGGCGCCGACAGCTGTCTGCCTCTCGCAGTCGGTTGATGGGGCGGCAGGAGCAAGGCAGAGCCGCCCAATCGCTGCATAAAATGGGTGGCAGGAGCAGACAGAGCCGCCCAATTGCGGCGTAAACGGGCGGCGGAAGTCGAGACAACAATCAGATCGAGGATTCTTCATCGCACGGTTACCACGCAACTATGAGGAATCATTCTTACTCCATACAGTTACGTCCCGCGTAATATGGCCGTATGGTCTACAGTATCTATCAGCCGCCCCATCAGTCAGCGCTACAGGAGGAGTTGCCCTATTGCCCATCTTCCCTTGGCCTTTCAGGTTTGGGCAAGTGTGCAACTCCCTCCTCTACCCTCCTTCCGCCTCCTCACTCATCCCTCCTCCCCCTTCCTCTCCAAATCGTGCCTCCTCCCCCACTCCTCCACTCCCTCATTCCCTCCATCATTCTACCTACTTCTGCGGTACTCTCTCCTTGTACACTCTCCAAATACTATCCGCAGTCCCTCCCTCCTGCCGGTTTAGTCCTGCGAAGACCCTCTCACCCTTCCCCATTGGCTGCAGCGGCTTAATTGGTGTAGTATGGTTAAAGAGTTTCTTATTAAGATTCATTCTCTTAGAACCCCGTACAGTAGGTTGCTTGTGTAAACTTCTTCATTATGAATCGTTTTAAAGAAAATTGTGTGAAGGCTTTATGGGCAACACGGCAACAGGAGAGGTAGTGGGGTATACGGCATATGTATGTAAGTAAATAACAGGGCCAACTCCCAGAAGTCTATACAAAAGGGTAGGCAAATTCCAGCATGGAAGTGAACAAAATCCTCATGCAATCAGGGAAGTTAAACACCTCAAGAAGCAGTGTACTGTGCACAGATGACGGCAGGGTGAAACCTGGTATGAGAGAACAGGTCTAATTTCTTGTCTCTTCATCATCAGAGTCCCTCGAAATGTGATGCAGCAGAAAGGGCCGATTCTAAATTGACTAAAAATAGGCTCAATTTGAGACCTCCAAATGAGTGGGTGTGGGTGATGGTGGCGTGAACCCCGGTATGGGAACAGGTCTGATCTCCCCTGTCTCTTCATCATCCGAATCCCTCGAAGGGTGATGCAGCAAAAAGGGTTCCCGAGACGGGTCAGGAGGAGAGAGAGAGGAGGAGGAGGCGGTCGAAGCTGCGATGAATCGAGGAGTGGGAAAGAGAGAGGAGGGGAGAGTGGGGATGGAGGTGGGTGGGGTGGCGGACGGAGGGAAGGAGGAGAGAGAGGTTCCGGGAGGGTGGAGTGCGGTGGTGGGGTTTCTGGGAGAGTGGGGTCCGGATGAAGGCGAGGAGAGGGAGGAGGAAGAGGAGGAGGAGGAGGAGGTGCGAGAGGGTCTGGTTCTCCTGCTGTCTCCAGATGCAGAAATTGAGGGGTTGAGTGTGGTGTTAAAGAGACTAGAGGAGTTGGATGCGGTGGGCAGGGATGGGAGGGGTGAGAATGAGCGGATGAGGGGGTAGACCAGGGAGGAGACGAAGTGAGCGGTCGAAGCAGCGACAGAGGAAGAGGAGGCGAGAGCAGCAGTAGTGGTGGTGGAGGAGGAGGAAGGGGAGGTGAGAGGAGGTGTGGAGGAGGGAAGGAGGTGGGTGGGGGGGTGTGCGTCTCGCTTGCAGACGGGGCAGAAAGGGCGGCGGGTGGTCAACCACTGGTCAACGCAGTCAACGTGGAACTCTGCAGGAAAGAGGGAGAGAGGTAATGCAAATGAACAGAGCGAAGAGACTGAGAGAATAGAGAGGCAGAAGGGCCGAGGGGTGGTCAACCAATGGTCAACGCAGTCAACTCTGCAGGTAACGTGGGAGAGAGGCATTGGAGATAAGCAGAGAAAACACAGACCGAGTGAACAATGAGGGAGAATGGACAGCGGGAGGTCAACCACTGGTGGCACTTTTGGGTCTATTCAACAGTCACCTCTCACTCACTCACCATGCGAGCAGGGTAAAAGGCGCAGCCTATCCCCCCACTCGTAGTCCTCCAGGCAAATTACTGCTAACTGCCCTGCTACCAACCCCCCTCCCTCCCTACACAATAAGGCCAGTCTCATTTAAGTCGCTTCAGCTATCACCCCTCTCACTCACCATGCTATCACCCCCCTTACTCACCATGAGAGCAGGGCAGAAGTCGCAGCCTATCCCCCCACTCATAGTCCTCCAGGCAAATCGCACACGTCTCCATCTCTCTGCACCCTCCCTCTCCTCCCTCTTCCCCTCCTCCCTCGGCTTCCACTGCCCCCTCTTTCCCCTCTCCTCCCTCTCCTCCCTCTCCTCCCTCTCCTCCCTCTCCTCCCTCTCCTCCTTCTGCTCCCATAGCAGCAGCAGCAGCATCGTCACTACTAGTATCACCACAGATACAATCACCACCGTTACTATCACCATCCTCACTTCCATCTACAACTGACACAGCCACACATTCGCTGGGTAGCATTGGCCTGCTTTCCTCCTCTTGCTGCTGTGCTGCTAGAGCTGCTGCTACAGCTGCCATGGCTGTAGCTTCCCCTCCCTCTGCTGCTGCTACAGCCGTTGATACTGCTCTCATGCCTTCCCCCTTGCCGCCTCCACCTTTCCCCAGACCTCCTTTTCCCCCACAGCTGCTACAGCCGACCCTGCTACACCCCCCACCAAACCCTGACACACTGTTTGCATGCTTCCCTTTTGGCGGGAAAACCAATTCTGGGAGCGCCTTGACCTCCTCCTCTGACAAACCTGGCGGCTCCTGACGCGCAGCTAGCAGACGACCAGCTCCGCCCGCTCCCATGGCTGTAGCGGCAGCTGCTACAGCCTGCCGCAGCCGGTGCCGTCTTATAAAGAGAAACGAGGCGAGGACTATAGAGAGGGAGAGGAGGGAGACTAGAGAGGCGGTGATTACAGACCAGGCTGCGTTGTCGAATGTAGGGAGGAGAACGCAGATGGGGGGGGAGGATTCGGGGGAGGAGAGGGGGAGAGAGAAGGGGGAGAAAGGGGAGGGGAAGGGGGAGAAGGGAGAGGAGGCGGAGGAGGAGGAGGAATCGGAATCGGATGGTTGGGAGAATCGGTTGATGATGTTGATTAGGGCGTGGCCTGAGGATTGAGTGACAAAGACTGCTGGAATGGCGATGCCCCACATGTGCCGTCCTGACACTGGGGGGATGGAGGGGTGGGTGGGATGGGGGCAATGAGGTGCATTTTGAGGCGCCTCAAAAGCAGTGAGGTGCATTTTGAGGCGCCTCAAAATGCGATGCCCCACATGTGCCGTCCTGACACTGGGGGGATGGAGGGGTGGGTGGGATGGGGGCAATGAGGTGCATTTTGAGGCGCCTCAAAAGCAGTGAGGTGCATTTTGAGGCGCCTCAAAATGCGATGCCCCACATGTGCCGTCCTGACACTGGGGGGATTGAGGGGTGGGTGGGATGGAGGCAATGAGAGACGCAAAGAGAGAGGTGGGAGGAAAGACAAAGACTGAGCGAAGAAAATCTCTAGCGAAGACATATCAGCGGAGGATAGGTGGGCTGCGAAGGCAAATCACTGCGAAGGCATATCACTGCGAAGGCATATCACTGCGAAGGCATATCACTGCGAAGGCATATCACTGCGAAGGCATATCACTGCGAAGGCATATCACTGCGAAGGCATATCACTGCGGAGGCCTTACTCCCCACCTATACCTCTGCCCTCCTCCCTCCCCCCCTGCTAAGCATTGCACCTCCCCGCTCATCCCTTCCCATTGCCCATTACCCTTCTCCCTCCCCTTCCACCTCTCCCCTCCCCCCTTCAACCCACCCCTTTTCCCATCACAGAACAGACTCAGGCCACCCCACCCCATCCCACCCCACCCCATCCCACCCCACCCCATCCCACCCCACCCCATCCCACCACCCCATCCCACCCCACCCCTCCCCACCCCACCACACCCCACGCCACCTCCTCACACCGCGCCACACGACGTACTCGTTATAATCCTCTTCCCGGGCTCGTTATTGTACACCACCGCAGCGGCGTACCCCGCGCGCTGCGCGTTCAGAACCTTCACGTCGAACAGGCAGTTACCCCTCTCTATAAGCACAAACTCCGCCTCCCCCGCGGATCCCTCCGCGGATGCCGCCCCCCCGGATTCCGCGGACTCCCCGTCCGCGGATTCCGCCCCCGCGGGATTCGTGAGCGGCTCACACGCGTCGTAGGGGATGGCGCGGCGGAGCACTCCGCGCATGCCAGTCGAAGGGATAAGGCCGCCTGAAGTTGGGGGTTGGGAGGGGGAAACGGGAGCGAGAGGGGGAGGAAACGGGAAAGTCAAAGGATGGGGAGGGGTAAGGGAGGAAAGACCGCCTGGGAATGGGTGTTCCGCGCACGCATCGTAGGGGATGGCGCGGCGGAGCACCCCGCGCATGCCCGTCGACGGGATAAGGCCGCCTGGGGATGGGGGGAATACGGAGGGGAGACGGGGGGAGACGAGGGGGAGACGGGGCGGAAGGGGAAGGGGGAGCGGAAGGGGAAATGGGGGCGCAATGGGAACGGGAAGCGGATAGTGAGTCAACAGAAAGAACGGCGCGGCGGAGCACTCCGCGCATGCCCGTCGAGGGGATGGGGCCGCCGGGGGGAAGGGGAAGGCAAGGAGGAAAACCGGGCGGAAAGGGAAGGGGCAGCGGCAGGTAAGCGGAATGGGAAGGGAAAGGGTAAAGGGAAGGGGAAGGGAGGGAGGAGCGGGGAAAGGAAGGAAACGGAAGGCGGAGAGGGAAAGGGGAGCGGAAAGTGAGTCAAAACCCCGCGCGGCGGAGCACTCCGCGTAGAGGGGATGAGGCAGACTCGAGTTGGGGGGTGGGGAAAGCGGGTGGGGGGAAGGGGAAACGGAAAGTGAGCAACGTAGGTGACAGAAAATGAAGACATTGAAAGAACAAAAAAACAAGCAGTTGATTGTTACTGTAATAGAGACAAATTGACAACACTGCCATAAAGTGCTATGAGAGACTGGAAATAGTAATACCTAAAAAGAAAATTTCCGAAGTGGCACTTTTACCGCATAAGTGCGACTTTAAGAAGCGAAAAGAGGAGGACGTATCAAATGCGGCGTCGGCGTCTTCAAACGAGTACGTGGCATTGTCCGGAGCAATCATGATGATGACGCCAGCAACTTGAGAGTCGGCTCAAAAGTCAACTCAAACAAACTTATCAGCGCGTGTGTGTGCTTATAAGAGGCGGCAAGACGAAATCTCTGAACTCGAAGGGCAGCGGGGGTGGAGGGGGGGAGCGGGGGCAGCGTTCTTATAAAGGGGGGCAGCGGGGGTGGAGGGGGGTGGAGGGGGCAGGGGGAGGGGGGGTGGGGGGGAGTAAGGAGGGGGGAGGAGGGAGGGGGGAAGCGACGCGCGTACCGAACGCGGCGTCGGCGTCTTCAAACGAGTACGTGGCGTTGTCCGGAGCGATCATGATGATGACGCCAGCAACCGTCGCGACGCGCTGAAACGCGACTACTAGAAACGCGACGAGGTACCATAGCACACGCGCGCGGCTGTGCGCTGCTGCGCCGCTCCAGCTGCTGCGCGAGTCACTGCGCGCGTGACTGCGCGACGCTGCGCTCCCCCAGCTGCTGCGCGGCTGGCTGAACGGCTCACCCGGCTCAGGACCGAGCCTCCGACCGCGTTTTGTGATGGCTCTCATTTAAGCAGCTCCGATATTGAGTAATCTGTCGGGTTGGTGACTCTTAATACGAGAATCCCGTGCTGGCGCCACGGTCCTAAGCGGTACTGATATGAACTAAGCTACTGATACCGATACCGACAGCTATCCGTCATCTAGATTCGTCACCATGAGTAGCAAACTTATAACGGGTACGAGTTGACACTCAACTGCACACACTAATTCGAGAGCCCAGGAACGCGGAAAACCGTAGCCAAGAAAACGTTGAATCGAAGCTGGTGAGCTAGCCCGTCTGTCGTCTTTTCAAGCTGAGTCCTCATGCGTCGAATCCTAACAACCAAGGCTGTCAGAACGAGCGAGTAGGCCTTCTGATTCCGCCATGCCCAGAAGATAGCCCGTGAACGCGGTGTACGCGCTGCATTTACGGTCAAAGGCGGTTCAATAAAAACCTACAGAGGTGGAGTGTGTTTTCGGTGTGTGGTGTGTGTTTTCGTACCTGTCCATGGTGGCGGAACGCGAATGACTTCGCAGGGACGTGGCACAACGGTTCTGGTCGCGTCCGTGGAGGGATAAGGTTGAAAAGGATTCTGTACGGTGAATTCTGTTACGGAGAGGTAACGAGGCGATGAAGTGCACCGCTGGCAAACCCTAAAATTGGGAAATGCTGCACCTCACTCTGAAAGAACCACTCAGGGCCGTAACGACGTGTTGCGACCCACCCGGGTCGGGTCGACCACCCCCCGATCCCGAATTTCTAGGAAGCCCGCACTGCCGACCTACCCGACCAGGTCGACCCGACCCAACCCAACCCGGGTCGGGTCGGGTCGGGTTGACCTGGCTCGACCAGGTCGGGCCGACCAGGCCGACCAAACCCAACCCAACCGAGCTGGAGCAGGTTACCGGAGCTCGCGAATTCTGTGGTTCTCGCGCGGATGTCGCTTGTAGCTCGTTTAACAAAAAGATACCCGGTAATGTCGCCAAACATTGCCTCGCCCACCTTCCACCTGCGGAGCACTTGCTTCTTCTTTACTTCGAATTTGCAGAGAAGGCAACGGGAAATTCTTTGTTTTCTCGAGTCGCCTTTCTGTTGGGTTGGGTCGGGTCGGGACTACCCGACCTGGTCGACCCGACCCGACCCTGTTGGGCTGAGATAGCCCCTTAGGATCTTTCAAGGGAGAACTCTGGATGGATAGTGTTGTAATAGCGGAAGCGTTTAACAAAGTTTGTGAACCACCTTGCGCTGGTATGTGAGGGCAAAGTAGATTGATTATAGCAAGGAAGTACAAGATTATATAATAATACAAGGAATATGAAAGGATGCAGTTTGTAACTACTTTACTGTTGCTGTTGCGGTTCGATACAGTACGACTCGGGCAACTGCTTTGTAACGAGTCAGCTGTGTGTCCTTAACTGTCGCGCTGTATTTGTCAGGTCAAAGGTCGCTTGACCTTTGACTTTCGCGTAACCTCCAGCAACCTCTTTTAACCTCCGAGGGTTGACTCGCGGGTGCTTCGACATGGCGTGCTTCGCTTCTGGTGTGGTGTTTCGACACGACTGAAGCGCTTAAGATTCACTATTTCCAACACTCCCCTTCGCTTCTGGAGTGTCGTTGCTGATGACGTGGCTCTGTCCAGTCAGCAGCATGCAGTACTCGAATTTCTGTTTTCCGAGTTTCTTGGTCAAATAATCGGCTGCCATCTCGGACGTGGGACAGTATGACAGCTGAAGTCTCCCCTTCTCGATCTCGTCCTTCACGAAGAAGTAACGCAGGGCGATGTGTTTCGTCCTGTTCGCGAAGCCGTTCTTGTTGGCGATGCGAATTGCAGACTGGTTGTCGCAGAACAGGGTGAAGTTGGGTAACTCAGCTAACTTTGCTTCTTCCAGCAGCTCGCGAAGGTAAAGGCCTTCCTTGGTGGCTGAGCAGAGTGCGATATATTCTGCCTCAGCTGATGATAACGCGATTAACTCCTGCTTGTTCGACTGCCAGGAGATAGGTCCGATAGGTTCGAGGCGGTAGACGTAGCCGGTACGTGAGCGCCTGTTGTCGGAGTCGCCGGCGTGATCGGCGTCGACATAGCCGATTAGCTTAGTTGGTGTAGCTGCGTTCTTGTGGTAGGTTATGTCAGAATCCCAGTCACTAACCACTGGGATAAAAGGGCTTTTTTATATAGCGGGTGAGTGCGCCCATAACCCCCCAGGCCGACGTGCCTGTAACCCTTCCCTAGGATCATCGAGGATCCCCAGTGGACCTCTGACACCCCCCCGCACTGGGATGCCCGAAGTGCACACACCGGGAATCGAACCCGAGACCTTCGCTCTGATACCATGTCAGAATCCCAGTCACTAACCACTGGGATAAAAGGGCTTTTTTATATAGCGGGTGAGTGCGCCCATAACCCCCCAGGCCGACGTGCCTGTAACCCTTCCCTAGGATCATCGGGGATCCCCAGTGGACCTCTGACAGGTTAGGCCGATCGTTGCGGTGCTGATGAAGTAGTGAAGAGCGCGGTCAAGTTCCGCCAGATGTTCTGTTTCAGGCTTCTTGAGGTAGGTGGCGAGTTGACTTGCGGAGTATGAGAGGTCGGGACGGCAAGTGACGGCTGCGAAGAGGAGGCATCCGAGCTTCCTCTGATAGTCGCGTATGCCGGCTGGTTTGAGTAGAGTGGATCGTCCCTTCTCGGTTCCTGTCGTGTAGCGGTATGGCGATGGCGTAGAGATGGCGGCTGGTGTGAGAGCGAAGCGTTTGGCGATGGTGTCGGCATATTTCGCGGCGTTGAGGTAGATCGCATCTTCTTCTTCTCGGATGTTGAGGCCGAGGTACTGTGTGACGGTAGACGAGACCGTGAGCGTGAGGTCTTTCTGCAGCTCCCCTTCGAACCAGGAGGTGACGTTGTCTGTCGAGCCGATGTAGAGTAAATCGTCTACGTAGACGATTAGGAGGATGTAGTCTGTACCCTTCGTGAGCCGATACATTCCCTGATCGTGCGGTAGCTGCTTGAAGCCGATGCGAACGAGTCGGGCGTGCAGGTACTGTTGCCACAGTCGTGGGGCTTGTTTGATGCCGTAGAGCGATTTGAGTAGTTGACAGACGTGTGTGGAGTCCGTGCTGGAGCCGTGTGGTAGCTCCACGAAGATTTCTGCGTCAACAGGTGCGTAGAGAAAGGCGTTTGCGACGTCGATTTGTCGTAGCCTTTTCTTCTTCATGGCGGCGATCGCGAGGAGAATGCGTAGTGAGGTGTGTCGGCTGACCGGAGCAAAGGTTTCGGTGAAGTCGCGACCGTGCTCTTGGTCGAAGCCGCGTACGACCCAGCGCGCTTTGAATTTGTCGATGGTGCCATCTGCTTTCGTCTTCACGCGGAAGACCCATTTTCCGGTGAGAATGGTCTTGTTTCGTGCTACGCCGATAGGAACGATTTTCCAGGTGTTGCGTTCTTCTAGCGCTTTCAGCTCCTTGTCCATGGCTTCACGCCATTTTTCCCTGTGTTCCCCCCCCAGAGCCTGCTGAATCGTTGCAGGCTCTTTAGGAATGGCGGTGCCGTGGACTGCGGTGACGAGCCCGAGTATCTGGAGTCCACTCTGTGTGTAGCGGGGGAGTGTGGTGTCCTCGGGATAGACTGCCTCGTCTCCAGCTTCTGGATCAGGTGCGAAATTGGGCCCTACGCGTTCTGCTTCGTTGGTGTTGACTTCAGCAGGTGTAACGTAACCGTTGTCGGCGAAGTGGTAGTAGGTTTCGGCGTTGACGCTTTCGCGAGGGTTATCTTCGTCCATCGGTACGTCCACTGAGCAGTAGGGAAGAGGTCCGGCTTCTTCCGAGGCTCCGTCCACGTTCTGCTCGTCCCAGTCAGCTTCGTCTTCTGCCGAAGCGAAGGCTCGATCGCCACGGAAGCCACCTGTGGGGTCTCGATTTTCGTCCAGGTTGGCAAGATACGTTGGCAGTGTGAGCCGTTCGTAGAAAATCACATCACGTGCTGCTACTGTTTCCTTGGTGTGGATGTCGAAGATTTTCCACGCGTTGTAATGTTTTTCGATGCCCAGGTGTAGCCCCCACTGTGCGCGTTGGGAGAATCGGCCGGCTCGTGCAGATGGGGGTCGGTACTGTACCATGCAGCCGAAGACTCGTAACATTTTTGTGCTGCCCAGTTTCCCTGTCCACAGCAGATGCGGTGATGTGTTGTTCGGGAGTGACGACGAAGAAAGCAAGTTGTGCAGCATCACGGCGTGGTCCATTGCTTCGGGCCACTGGTGGTTGGGTAGCCGCATGCCACGTAACAGTTTGCGCATGGTGTTCTGCAGAGTCCTGTTCATCCTTTCTGCTACACCCTGCTGTTGATGGGCGTAGGGAAGGGAGATGAGTCTCTTGATTCCCTTCTCCGCCAGATACTGCTTGAACCGCTGTGACGAGTATTCTCCTCCTCCGTCTGATTGAAAACTTTTGAGTTTAGCTCCCGATTCCCGTTCTGCTGCTGGAAGCCATGCCACGAAAGCCTCGAAAGCCATGTCGCGACTTGGTAAGTTTAGGTGCCAGACGTAACGTGTAGCGGCGTCGATGAAGGTGATGGTGTAGTTGTACGCGTTTTGTCCGGGTTCGCGGTTGTACAAGATGTCGCTGTACACTTTCTCGAGTGGTGCATATGCAGGTGCGCTTGGGTTGTGATGCGAGACGAAGGGCTGATGCGGTAAGTCGGCTTCGGGGCAGGTGAAGCACGTTCCTCGAGCTCGCTGAAGTTCTCTGCCGTCGATCAGTAAGAGTGAATCCTTGTCAAGTACTCCAGCTCTTATCGTGTTGTTTAATACTGTGTTGCTTGGGTGTCCCATTCTTGCGTGCCAGGTTTCTTCGTTGGCGCGGTGTCCTGGCGAGCGTCGGTATATGTCGGAGTTGGAGTAGAGGCCGGCGATGATGTTCGCGCTTCTATGAACTTCCCGTGGTGCCGGGTTGAGCTGCTGCGCCGGTGTTGGCGGCGTCTCGTCGATGAAGGGCTGTGCCGTTGAGGGACCGGCGACTGGTGTTGATGTTTCTGCTGCTGCTGCTGTTGTCTGTGCTGCTGTCGATGTTGTTTCTGCTGCTGCCGATGTTGTCTCTGCTGCTGCCGACTGCTGAATTGTCGCCAGCGCCCTTGTTCTTTCTGTTTCAGGGATGGTGTGTGAGTACCAGAAGCCGCTCGGGCTGAAGTCTGGATCAAGATCTGGAGGATGTGTCCAGTCAGTGAAGTTGACGATGGCGTCGCTGTCGGCCGTTCCGAGATCGGGGACGAAGTCAAGAACGAAGACGTTGTTCTTGAGAACCGCCTTGCCGATGTAGAGACCTCCTCTCCCGTGGTACAGCTTGAATTCCTGGGTTGTGCTGTCTGCTTCAAGGTGAATGCCTTTCGCCATCAGTTGACTGACGCTTAGTAAGTTGTAGCCGAGGCCTTCTGCAATTAAAACCTTGGACATCTGTAGAATGACGTTCGTTTCTCGTGACTGAAGTTGAACAACTCCTTGTCGTCGTGTGCGCAGGTTCTGATTGTTGGCGACGGTGATGACCACCTCTCGTTGAAGCTGGTATTCTCGTTGTACGAAGCGTCCTGAGGAGCACATGTGTTGTCCGCAGCAACTGTCCAAGAACCACGTGTCCTTCCCGGATGGCTCGTTTTGGGCTATGGCAGCGTATGTCGGGTTCGGCTGAAGTGACTCGCGGCGTGGTGTCGTTTCGTCGAATTGCTCTTCTGGTGAGTAGTACGGTGGCGATTCTGTGATGCAAGAATCGTTCAGTCTTGCCATGCAGCTAACGATGTTTCTTGCTCCTTGCGCAGGTTGTCCCGTTGGAGTTGTTGAAGATTGGAGCTGGGTCGTTGGATTCGGCTGTGTTGATGTGACTTGATTGCTTGAAGGTCGTAGCTGTCGCTGCGGAGTCGTTGACGGTTGTCGATTCGGGCAGTGTGTGCGCGGGTGTCCTGAAGTCTTGCAGATGTGGCAGAAAGGAGGTACTGGCTTCGGTTGTTGTTGTCGATTGTTGTAATTGTTGTGACGTCGTTGAGTGTGAAACGCGAACTCTGATGTTGTCGTCTTCTTTCTGTGTCGTTCTTCTTGCAGGTCCATGTCCTGCTGCTCAGCGTGGATTTCGGCGCAGAGTGCTGCTTCAGAGATTCTGCCGTGGGCTCGGAGGATAGCTTTGGTGGCGCGCCATTGGGGACCGAGACCACCAATGATGACTGTCACGAAGGCGTCTTCAGAGATTGACCCTCCGCATCGAAGAAGCTTGTCGCGCAGTTCGCGACATCGGCTGATATATGCCATCCCCTTTTCTCCCGGTTTCATTTCAACTGTTGTCAACTGCGCCATTAACCTGCTTTGGTTTACGCTGTCTGTTGCTTGATACAGGCTCTTCAGGTGGCTGTACGCGAGCTCAGCGGAGTTGCCGTAACCCCGGTAAGAGCGTATGTTCTGCTGCTGAGTTGGTGTGACGTTCCTCAGTAGAATCGTATACGCCATCATCGATTGATACGTATACTGCTGCTTCTCATACTGTGTGCCGTTTGCTGGATATTGCAGGGACCCGTCGAAGAAGCCGAGTATCTGCGCGCCTTCCATCATTAACTCAAACTCGAATGACCAGGTGAAGAAGTCCTTTCCGTCGAAGGGCCTTGATGTCTGCAGCTTCAGAACGTGCGCGAACTGCGATTGCACTTGTAACGCGTCCAGTGGTTTATCTTGTCCAGGTGAAGGCTGCGGCATGAAGCTGATCGACCCGCGCTCGTACGGGGCGAAGGTAGGTTGCTGCTGTTGGTTTCCGCGCGCATATGACGACCCGTCAAGGCTCATGGGTGTTGCTCCGTTGTTGTTGCTGTTGTGTGATTGTGCAGGTCCCGACTGCTGGTGCTGCTCGTAGAAGGACATGAAGGAGAAGAACTTCTCCATTATACTCGGGTCGAAGTTCGCGGGGTGATTTGCGGGAGTTTCAGTAGATGTTACTCTTGGTCTTGTTGCCGTGCCTTCCTCTGTCTGCAGGCCAGAGGCAGGAGGTGGAGTAGGAGTAGTGCCTGGGGAGCCGTTAGAGGAGCTCCTTTCCTTGCTTGTTGCCATGTCTTGTAATGATTTGAAGGTAGTAGAGTTTCCCCTGTTTGCTCTCATACCATGTTCGGCTGAGATAGCCCCTTAGGATCTTTCAAGGGAGAACTCTGGATGGATAGTGTTGTAATAGCGGAAGCGTTTAACAAAGTTTGTGAACCACCTTGCGCTGGTATGTGAGGGCAAAGTAGATTGATTATAGCAAGGAAGTACAAGATTATATAATAATACAAGGAATATGAAAGGATGCAGTTTGTAACTACTTTACTGTTGCTGTTGCGGTTCGATACAGTACGACTCGGGCAACTGCTTTGTAACGAGTCAGCTGTGTGTCCTTAACTGTCGCGCTGTATTTGTCAGGTCAAAGGTCGCTTGACCTTTGACTTTCGCGTAACCTCCAGCAACCTCTTTTAACCTCCGAGGGTTGACTCGCGGGTGCTTCGACATGGCGTGCTTCGCTTCTGGTGTGGTGTTTCGACACGACTGAAGCGCTTAAGATTCACTATTTCCAACAGACCCAACCCGGGTGGGTCGCAACACGTCGTAAGCAGCCAGACAGCAACGCTTTGGAATTCATTGAACCCTGTTTACCTTCACCCAACCCGAACGTCCTGAAATGAAATGATGACCGTATACCGTAACCCGTCGTGCGATTTTTGGGGGGGAAATATTCGAGATTCCAACTCGGACTTGTTTGAAGAGAATATTTATTGGTAAAAAGAAAATCAATAAGAGTACACTTGGGTGCAAGGAATGGGTTGCTAGGGTGCTCGGGATCATACCTAGTGATCTCCGGGCACCACAGCAACTCTTCCTGTTGCCCTAACCTACACCTAAAGCTGCGAACACTCGTAAAGGATCACTTATAAACGAAGATGCCTAGAGAACTTCGATGGGGATGCACGACGCCTCTCTGTGCCGTGTGATCGGGGAGAAAGCCTTCATGACGTGGTTCAGAACGGTGCGCGGAGACAGCTTTCCGGCCCGGCGCGGCTTCTCCACGTTATTCCCGCAATCACTGTTAGTGCTGTTGGTTGCACTCGCCGAAGACATGCTTCCCGCCAAGTCTCTGACCGTTCCCGAGGTGATGTAAGCGTCGGATTGCGTATCAACGGCATCCGTTCGTCCGTCGGAAAGATCGACGGTCTCCATCCCTTCCTGACCTACTGCCACTACTGCTGGGCGAACCCACGGATGCGCCAGCACCTCGTCAATCGTGAACCGTTCGTTCACGTCCACGCACAGCATCCGACGGATGAGATCCTTCGCATCACCCGACACATGCTTCCAGTCGTCCGATGCGAAATCCACCTTCTCGTCCAGGACCCGCTTCCCGCCGCTGAAAAGCGGCCACTTTCCCGAAAGCATCGCGTAGAGAGTCACGCCGAGGCTCCAGATATCCGCCGACGCGTCGTACGCGACCCCTGCCATAACCTCCGGAGCCTCATACGGCTTGCTGCCGGCGTACCCGCGAATCTGCTGCCACCACGGCACGTCCACGGCGAGCCCGAAATCCGCGAGCTTCGCGGTGTACGCGAACGACGCGCCGTTATCAGCGGCGGAAGCGGCGGCGGCGGGGACGCTGTTCGAAGTCGGGCAGATGAGAATGTTTTCGGGTTTGATGTCGCGATGGACGATGCTGCTGGCGTGGCACTGCTTCACGGCGCGCGCCACGGACGTGAACACGTGGCACGATTCCGCTTCGCTGATAAACGCGCCGGGCTGCTTCTGGATGAGCTCGAGAAGATCCCCTCCAGTGCATAGCTCCATTACAAGATAAAGAGAATCCTTGTCCCCGTACACGTCCTTGAGCGATACAACACTATCGGAGAACCCAGAATCGCGTATTTTCTGGAGGATTTCGACTTCGCTGAGAGCTGCGAGGCGGGCCCTGCTGCTGCACTTGGTGAGATCAATGTATTTGAGAGCGAAATGCTCGCCCGTCGCGCACTCCTCGCAGCGCCACACGGTGCCGTACTGACCCTCGCCTAGAAACTCCTTGAGCGTGTATCTGCTGGAGAGCTCGCTGGATGCTGTAATCTCGATCTTCGAATCGACTGCCATAGTTCTATAAACAGGTACTAATGCGGAAGCTGGGGTTCTAACCTGGTGGCTCAAGACGCTCGAGTAGTTGTTCCTAAATGTCGAATGATCTGGACTAGATGAACTAAAATGCGCCTGGTGCTGAACAGGTGGACGGAGGGGTAGTCAAAATGTTGCTGAAAGCTGGTTGCATTTGTTCGAATGAAGCTGGATGGATGGATGGAAATGAGGAGAGGAGCCGAATTTGTACTGAGCTTGCACAACCTCTCCCCCCCAGACCGAATCACCGTCCGGACCGCGCGAGAGGCTCGGGAGGAAATTCTTGTTTGGCGGTGGAAGGTGTGGTGTGGAAGATGTGAAATGCTCAACCGCGACTCGATGTTTTCCAGTTCTCTCACTGGAGTGCTACTCGTGTGCTAGACATTTCGCGTCCCGTCAGCTTGTCTGTATCTGCTTGTCTCTTTGCTTGCGGACATTTGAAGTTTCAAGCATATGTGAGGTGCTCCGCAACAGCGTACAGGTAGGACGCAAAAACAATCAATACCGTCTCATATATCAACCCTTCATAGAACATGACTAGCAACAATATGAAAATTTACATTTTCATGACAAAAACCTCAAAAAATATATACTATCAGCAGATTTTTGAATTTATGTGAAGCTGTAAAATATCATTTATAGTTATGTTTTTAAAACCATTTTTCCTTATTTCGTTTATTAGGATTATGTTAGTGCGTAGTGAATAGGCCTCTATCGATGCAACGCCTCAAATTCTTCCCACAACTACTTTCAGCTCAACCCACTTCACCGTATCGAAACGCACACCAGCCTACACCACCACCCGAATTCGCTGCCCTGCGCCTTGATTCCCGAGACCCGCCGGCCCTCTCGCAAAAGCCGTGCGAAAGCTAGAATCTGGGTCTTGTTTTTGTTGGCCTGGAGTGTAACAGTGGGAGGCAGGCGCAGAATTGACAGACTTCGCCACTCGTCCCCACCACCCATCAATGGTTCTCTCGCACTTCCCAAGGAGCCATGAGTTGGCATCATAAATTGGTTGGGACCTTGTGGTGGGTGGAGGTTTCTAGGTCTCCTTTGAATGCTTGACCTCCGCATTCGTTTTCGCCGTTCTCATTCGTTCGTTTCCGTCGCCAAGTTTTAAATCTTAGCTTGACCTTCTATGCTACACACGTAGGCGACGGAAAAGACGCGAATTCGATTTATTGAGCCGCATTTGTCTGCGTTATTCCGCCGGGAGATTCGGCGATTCGAAGCGCTTGCAAGAGATTCGCAAGGAATTTCGACAGCCACTCTCCCATTATGTCGCTTGATCTTCGGTCCTAGTGCGAAAGCACCTGAGGCGGGAAATCGGAAGGAAAATCTGCAGTGACACTTCAGCATGGGCCAATCGCAGTCGCTCTCGCTGGTCGAGGCGTCGGAGCTGGTTCGCCGGCAGCTCTCTGCTGACGTGTTCGTCTCCCATTTGCTGGCCGTCGAGCCGCACTCGTGGCGTCGCCCGCCATTACCGCACTGCGGACTAATAGTGTGCGAGGTGAGACAGAACAAAGTCCGCAATAGCAGTGAATGCTGTTTGGTTCTTAACCCCACGCCGTTGTCGCACAGGGGACTGATAATCGTTTGCAAGATGAGACGGATTCTAGCCGATAAAAATAAGGAAATGTGTAACGTTCTTAGCCAGCCAACCTTACCACAAAGCGGGCTGTTGGTGTGAAAGGTGAGAGGTGGTTGGCTATTGAGTAGACAAGAAATGTAATTAATGTCGACTGAGAAGTCACCTCTGATTGAATCACACAGGTTCCACTTGTGCACAAGGCGAGGCGAGAGAAATCCCACGCGTGTAGGATGTTGGTTGTGGTAAGAAACGGTTGAGATCATTATGTTCTCCCAATGTGTCAAATATTCGTTTCATCCTTCCACTCCCTCCCGTCCACTACCCCCCTCCCCTACTACCCCTCCGCCCTTTCGCCTTCTACCCCTCTGCACCTTAACCCCTCCTGCTCTCGCACCCTCTTCCTCCCCCACCCCTTACCCCCCTCCCCCCTCCCCCCTTTTGTCTCTTATCCCCATCCCTCTCCCCCATCCCTCTCCCCCATCCCTCTCCCCCATCTCTCGCCCCCATCTCTCTCCCCCATCCCTCGCCCCCATCTCTCTCCCCCATCCCTCTCCCCCATCCCTCTCCCCCATCCCTCTCCCCCATCCCTCTCCCCCATCCCTCTCCCCCATCCCTCTCCCCCATCCCTCTCCCCCATCCCTCTCCCCCGCATCGCTCCCCCCCTAACAGGTGGAGGTGGATGAACGCGGAGTGCCCGTGGCCTCCTCTAAAGACTATGTCCCCACTGAAAGGTGAATTCGCCGCCCATCCCCCTCTCTCCTCACCACGCTCCCTCCCCACCTTCTCTCTCCCCATCCCCCCTCTCAACAGGTGGAGGTGGATGAGCGCGGAGTGCCAGTGGCCTCCTCTAAGGACTATGTCCCCACTGAAAGGTGAGCAGATTCCTTCAAGAGGGGGTCAGGAACTTTTGGGGTTTCTCAAGAGAGTATCGTGTGGTGGCGCCCCCTGAAGTCCATTCTCTCGATAGAATGTGAGCAGATTCTTTCTCTGAGGCCTTTTAACTGCCGCGCTAAGCTTTGCACCTCCTCCGAAGCCTCACTTCTAAACACTTACATTCCAGGTGATACCTTTCTCTCCCCTTCGCAATACCTTCTATCCAACCAGTCCCGGCTGTAGTCAGCAGTTTCTGCTGCAGCCAATCAGGTGCCAGAACGGAACCAGCTCCGTTCCTCTCAATTCACACCCCTGTTCAATCCATCAATACCTTTCCTTTCCCTTCCCTTTGCAATGTCTTTAATCCAATTAGACCCGGCCGTAGTCAGCAATTCTTGCTGCAGCCAATCAGGTGCCAGAACAAAACCAGCTCCATTCCTCTCAATTCACACCCCTATTTAACCCATCGATACCGTTTTCTTTCCCTTCCCTTTGCAATGTCTTTATTCCAACCAGACCCGGCCGTAGTCAGCAGTTCCTGCTGCAGCCAATCAGGTGCCAGAACGGGGCCAGCTGCTGCTTCTGCCACTCCCAGGGGTACGTTACTGTGCAGTGCGGTTGGGAAAGGATTTTGCCGTAGCGCAGTGTGGTGGGCAGGGGATGGGGTGGGGTATGGCATGGTGCAATGTGGTAGTGAATGGGGCATCCCATGGTGAAGTGCGGTGATTGGCGGTTATGTCACAGTGCATTCTATGCCATGGATTTCACAAGTAAAGCTTCCTTTTCCAATTCTTTGCCCTTCATTCCATTGTCCAACCCACATCCAGCACACTTATGGACTTTTCTGGCTTTCCCCCAACGTTTCTTCCAACATTGCAACACCAAACTCGACCTTTTTTTTTTTCTATTACCTCCCTGCTTTGTGTGGAACATCACACCACATCACACACCCACACAGCTTCTCTGCTGCAGGAGGAACGCTGGGATCTCTCCCTCTCTCCTCCTCCCTCCCCTCCCTACCAACCTCCAACCAAACGGACCCTGCCACTGCCAAACCTGCCGCCTCCGAACCTGCTGCCTCCGAACCTCCCTCCTCCAATGCCAACACCACCAAAGACAGTGCAGGAGGAGGGGGGCAGGGGGAGGAGCAAAGCGGGGATTCCTCTTCCCCTCCCATCAATGTTGACTCAATCCCTCTCCTCTCCCTCCCTGAGTATGTCTGTTCGCTAGGTTCAGACCCTTCTGTTCAATTCGACCATACAGCCCTTCCACCTGCCCTCCCACCTGTGACATCTGGTAACAAGAAAGAGGAGCAGCAGCAGCAGCAGCAGCAGCAGCAGGAGCAGGAGCAGCAGCAGGGGCAGGGGCAGGGACAGGGGCAGGGGCAGCAGCAGCAGCAGCAGCAGCAGCTGGACGAGCCTTGCAGGAGCGGCCAATCGGTGCTTTGCGGTGAGAGCCAATAAGACTGCGCCACGTCTGCAGTACTGCCGCTGCCGCAGCCCCTGTAAAGAGGGTGGGAGGTGCAATGGGGGAGGAGGAAGAAACGGAGTGAGTGGGAACAATAATGCCAGGACTGCCATATCTAGCAAGTTGCCAGACCAACCTCCGAACCAGTTGTCGGGCCAGTTTCCGAACCAGAGCAGGAGGCCCGAAGCTTGCTGTGATGTGGAGTGGGCTGTGGCTGTAGCTGCCAGGCTGGCACCCAATCTGACGTGGACACATGCCTCTGCCAGGTCACTATCTGCTGTCGTGGCATCCCTGTCTGTCCAGGAAGGGCTTGTAGCGGGTACCGGTGATGCGACTATATCAAATGGCAGCACGCCTATCGAAAGTGTGACTATATTGAAGGCTGTGGAGCCTGTAGGGGCGGAAAAAGGGCCCCAGTTTAATCACAGTGACTCTGATGGGGGGATATTTTCTTTTGGCACGGGGCAGGAGAGGGGAGAAGAGGGGACGGAAGGAGAAGAGGGGGTGAAAGGAGGGACGGGTGAAAATGGAAGACGAGATTTGTCTGAAGTGGGAACGGCTGAAGTCAAGAACGCAGGGGGGGTTGACGGCTTGGAGATTAGAGGGGAGGGTGGGGTGAGGATGGGGGATGAGATGCATGTGGGTGGTGAGATGGAGAGGGATGGAGAGAAAGTGGGTGAGGGAGAGAAAGCAAGGGAGGGAGAGAAAGCGAGTGAGGGGGAGAAAGCGAGTGAGGGAGAGAAAGCAAGTGAGGGGGAGAAAGCGAGTGAGGGAGAGAAGGGAGAGAAGTTACAGAAAAGCTCGAATTCAAAGCCTCCTCTTGCTCCCACTCCCTCCACACGACCAGCCACAGCAGGAGCAGTAGCAACAACAGCAGGAGCAGCAGGAGCAGTAGCAGCAGGAGAATCAGCAGCCGCAGGAGCAGGAGCAGCAGCAACACAGGGTTCCATTGACCTTTCGCACAAGGCCCCCTCCCTTCGAATCTGGGTGCCTGAAGAGGAGCAGCAGCAGGAGACGCAGCAGCAAGAGCAACAGAAGCAAGAGCAACAGC